CTGTCAAGGTATTTCCAATACCTGTTGAGACTGTGCCTCCTGTTTGATCCAGTGTTCCACTGCCCTCTCTGATGGATGACATGTTATGTTTCCTCCTTCTGACTCATTTCTGACTTGGTTATATTGTCTTGATGTTGTATTATGGCTCCAGTGTCTGGCTCCTTGCTGTGCATTGATTGTGCAGCCAGTGTAGCCTTCATTCCCCTGCCTACCCCCATCATATGACACCATATGACTCCTTCTGACTTATTTATTTGATTGATGCTTTTGTTGATTACTGTGGATATGTGTCACAATGCATCTTGGTGTGACTGGTATGGTACTCATACTTACAGGTATATAGTTTCATGTACTTTACTGTGTATCCTCAGTTTTTCAATTACTTGCAACTCAGCTTCATCCCTTTGCTCTTGTCCTTGTTCCCTCCCTGCATGATTCCTTAGTGGCTCACCAGAAGGAGCAAACCTCTGTCAGACTTTAGCAATAACTGAGCCATAGGGGTTATGACACATTCAGCCCAGAGTATTCCCCTTGCATGCATTGTGCCTAGTCCACTTGATGAAGTCACTCTGCTTGGGCATAACATGCATGCCTTCTGCTTAGTCAGTGAATTTGCAGTGGCTGTGGGCACAACCACCTGCAAATTTTTTGGAATAAATGTACTTTTTTTTTTTGACCATATACAGCATTTTGAAGAATGAAAAGAGAACAGAATCTATTGAGACAACTATGTGATGATATATCTAAGTCAAGAAGACTAGAAAATGTCTGAAAATTCAGAGATATTGAGCCATTGGTGTGATGCACACTGTCTGAGAGAAAAATCACAATATCTCTTTGGAACCTCCAACAGTGCAGCCATGCCTGCAGGACATGGGTAATGATAGTAGATTCCTTCCCAAAAAGTCACATTAGTTACAAAAAGTCAAAAATAGTAAAGTGTTATTTTCCTGATGTAGCAGGATGAGTGCATTCTTTTCTAGGACATCATTGCCATGGTAGCAGTTGGTACTTTGTTTGGAAAGCTGGAGCATCATGCTCCCCCAGATTTTGGACTTTGGTGAATTGCATTCTACAGTTGGGAGTTTGGCATTTGAGGACCTTGAGTACTGCAACTTACATATTTGACTTCAATAGTCATCAGCTGAGTTACAAATAATCTAATTCATCTGAATCATCTCACCTTAGGCACCACTTTTCAGTGGGATTAAGGGTCTATTAGATATACTTTTTGTGACATAAACAATGTATCTAATAGACCCACCATCTGTGGCAGAATCACCTGGCCAGTACTAATAATAGGTTTGAGAATCACTTCAAGAACCATTTTCCATTTTTGGGTGGTGCTCTTCCTGCCCCTATGCTTGCCTCACCTTCCCCAAACCTTCATCCCACCATATCCTGCATCTCTTCAACCCTTGTACTACCATCTTGCAAACTTGCTGGGGATGCTCTTGGGGAGCCTCCTCCAACATTGGCTCTGTATGGCTTCCATGTTTCATATGTCCCACAGTATGTGTCTTTGTCTTCATATTTTCTCTGAAATGTGCATCCCCATCCTGGGACTCACTGTTCATTGCCCAGCACAAGTTTTGGCTTGGGCCAGCATTTCTTGAGTCCAGCAAAGCAGCATAACAAGAGGAAAATGCAGACTAATGTTGTATATTCTGTCTTTCACATTATACTTTCATCTGCATCTCACTTAGTATTATGGTATGTGTTTAGCCATATTACATAATCACATTCATTTTTGTACTTGAGTAGCATACTCACACCTCAGTTGGCTACTTGACCCAACTGAGGTGAGCACTTTCCACCTTTCCTACAAAATAGTCACTTCCTTTGGGATACTTGTAGCCATCATCCCAGCAAGTGATCTTGCCAGTTTCCCAGTTCATTCTTGGTTTGAACTCCTTGAGGAACAGCATTCCAAGGAGGATGTGTTCTTTTCTGACAAGGGGCCCCACATAACACTTGACTTGAACAATGCACTCCTTGATCTCCATCTTGAGTGTCACTTTTTGTGTGACCCATTCTTCATCTTTTCTGGTGAACAAGGTCATCTTGAACTTCTTTTCAACCCAATAAGTCAGGACCCTGAGTTTCTGGACCATTTTCTCTGAGATGAGGGAGACTTCTGCACCTGAGTCAATACAGGCCCATATTCCTCCTTGTAGTCTGGCAAAATGACCAATCTGAGAGGAGAATGAATTTGCATATTTGATTCATCATGTATAGAAGTACATTTAGCAGACAAAACTGAAACAGGACTGACTGATGCAGGAGATTTATCAGTCCCCTTTAAAAACCCAACAACTTCCTCTCTTCTGCATTAGCCTCACAATCTCTGACATAGGCAGTCTTTGCACCATCTTCAGCCAACACAATGTGGATGTTGGACAGTTGAGTTTTGACCTTGACTTTACAGTCATGCTTGATGTGGCCATTGGCTCCACAATTGCAGCATTTAATTTCTGAACTGGAACATCTAACATTCCACTTGCATTTGTCAACATCCATCACATCAGGATCTCAGGAACCTCCACAGTAATAAATGAATTTCCATTCATACCAAGATTCCTTCCCTTCTAGGATATGCTTCATCATGATTGCAGTTCAAGCTTCTCCCATGCACTGTATCCACTCTATGACCATGGAAGGGGCACATCCAGAATTGAGAACCCAGTCACAATATTCTTTGTTCAATCCTTTTCCAAAGAAGATCCCTGCTTCACACAACTCTTCTTTCAGCTGAGCCTTGTTTACAAGTCTGGTGAACTCAGCAATGTATGCTTCAAGTTCTCACTTGCCTTGGGAGATGTCTGAAAGACATAGGATTGCTAGGGCAGTCTGATCACTGGACTCAAAGGTTGCCTTGAGCCTTTCAATGAACCTTTGAAAGGTGTCAGTATAATAGATAGTACTGTTGAGCATCTGATTTTCATTTTGATAGTTCTTGGTGAAAGAGACTGCCATGCCTTTGGTCATGTATGTGAGTGCAAATGAGATCTTGAGCAATTCCATTTTGTAGACATTTCTGTTAAGGTTCAGGTACCCTTCGACCTGTGTAATCCAGGTCTGGAGCCCATTGTGGCTTCCATCATATTCTCTGGGATGCCTGACATTAAACTCCTGACCTCTATTGGGTGGGCAGCTCAAGTAGTCATCATCCTCATTGGTCCTGGCTTTCCCCTTACTGTTGCCACCAGCAGGCAACGCTGGGGGTGTGGCCTTTCCAAAGTTCCTATGATACCAATCTTGTAAAGCCAAGTCAGTAGGTGTACCTGTTGGGAACAGGTCGTTAGTAGCTGCATGCATTGCCCAGTGGAGCTCATCTGCCATTGCAACTCTTTGTTCTTCCAACCTCTGTCTCAGTTCCTCTTCTGAAATGGTCCTCAGGGGCATTTCAGGAACCAAATCTCTGTGATTGATCATCATGGACATTTCTTCTGTATTTCATGTGACTTCTGAATCCCTAAACTGGGATAGATAAGATAACCAGGGATTTGTTGCAGTAACTGAAGGACCAAGTCTTCCTAAGGGGATGGGCAGCAAGGGAGGATTTCTGCTGAGCCCAAGAGGGTTAGGTCAAGGTGGGACTGGCAGTCTAGGTTTCTGTGGGTTAGACACTTTTACAGATAGTGACAATGAAGGCTGAGGGAGGATTTATTTTTTGAAAGAAACCTGTCAGCATGGGGGTGTGTTGATGGTGCACAAGTGACTTTACACATAGGGAGGCATGAGCACTGACTCTAGGGAGGTGATCTATTAAAGCCTAGTGGCTGCCTGTAGAGCAATGAATTTGATTGAGGGTAGAGGGATGCTTCTTGATCTTGTTCAAGTAGTGGGAAAAGAGGTGAGTCAGTTCTTACACATAGTGGAACCAACAAGCCTTTGTTTGGAGTGGTGGTTTGTTGAAGTTCAGTAACCAGGGACAAGTAGACTTTGTGCAAAGAGGTCAACAAGTCCTGAAAGCTGCACAGAGTTTTTCAATTTTGTTATGCCTGAGCAGAGTGACTTCATCAAATAGACTAGGCATGATGCACATGAGGGGAATACTCTGGGCTGAACATGTCATAACCCCTATGGCTCAGTTATTGCTAAAGTCTGACAGAGGTTTGCTCCTTCTGGTGAGCCACTAAGGAATCACACAGGGAAGGAACAAGGACAAGAGCAAAGGGATGAAGCTGAGTTGCAAGTAATTGAAAAACTGAGGACACATGGTAAAGTACATGAGACTATATACCTGTAAGTATGAGTACCATACCAGTCGTGCTGAGATGTGTCACAACACATATCCACAGTAATCAACAAAAGCATCAGTCAAATAAATAAGGTCAGAAGGAGTCATATGGTGTCATATGATGGGGGTAGGCAGGGGAATGAAGGCTACACTGGCTGTGCAATCAATGCACAGCAAGGAGCCAGACACCAGAGCTATAATACAACATCAAGACAATATAACCAAGTCAGAAATGAGTCAGAAGGAGGAAACATAACATGTTGTCCATCAGAGAGGGCAGTGGAACACCAGATCAAATGGGAGGCACAGTCTTGACAGGTATTGGAAATACCTTGACAGCTGGAGATCCATAGGAGCCTCACAGCATACAAACCCCTAGGATGGTGACAATTATGAGTGACACAACAAGGCACATGACACACATGACCACAAGAAGTCAAAAAAGGAAAGACCCCTGACATGGGCATAACAATGCACAGATAGTAGGTTCCTTCCCAAAAAGTCACAAATAGTCACAATAGTCACAAAAAGTCAAAAAGTCACAAAAGTAAGAGTAAAGTGTTAATTTCCTGATGTAGTATGCACTGAGCCTGTGATTAAGAGCCTCTGAGTGACATGTTGACACTCGCTGTGTGTACTCAATAGTTAGTAGTATGCTGAGCATGGGACACGTGGCAGACATGAAGACATAGAATCCGGCAATTCGAGGTTCTTTCCCTCGAAATGTCGATTGTTGACACTCGAGGAAACGCCAGGTACCGGCTTATGCTGATCCATGTGATGAATTCAATTAAGATAAACGCCACACGACACAGCCGCAGACAACACTTTGAGGTCAAGCAAGATGGCTGGTGGACAGAAGAACGACGGAAGAACATAAATTATAAGCTGACTATCTACAAGAGGAGGACGGAAGGACTTTGGAGGACCACGATTGGGGAGCAAGTCTGGCTTCGTCATCGATGTGGTCAGGTGAGGTTGAGGAATGTGGAGCTGCGCTTCGAATATGCAAGATAAGGCGACAGCCAATAGTACTTGTCATGGCGAGGCCGATAGAGAGTACCCCGAAAAGCCATTCGGACTGTCAAAGATATCAGACGTAAAGTTCGGATGACAAATTGCGACAAAAAACTTACAGGAAGAGTAAGTGACACCACAAAGTAGAAAATTGCATAAACCGTGTTCCTACGACACGTGTCATTTCACCACTCCGTCCGGATAAGGTGTTCGAGCATGTACGTACGCAAGAAAGTACACGACATTGCCTTCGATGAGAATATCCCTCAGGCGTTTTGCCCCGCTCCTGGCCGGGCGTGGTCCGCGTTTTTCGCGACACCGATGCACGGCAGCTGAGAGAGCAAGCGAAAAAAGCATGCTCTCGTACACTGCGATAGCGCCGTAGTTGATATAGACTTTACGGGCCGTAGCAGGAAGTGCGCTGATCTTGGATCCGAGCACTAGTAGGCCTTGGCCTTCTGGATATCGTCCAGATTTGCGTAAGTTCTCATTTGATAATGGATCGGAACATGACTGACCTGAGGAAATGCTGAGGAGTGTCACACACACAATCATGATAGTGCACTCCGCGATAAAGCCTAAGCCTATCACGAGTAGAACTTTTTTTGAACCATTATAAAGAGCATAAAGCCGCAATCCCAGAATAGCTAGAAGATTCGATTAGGTGTTTCCTCAGATCGCAAGGATAAACTCACCTTGCACAAACCAGACGCTCAAACAGTTGATCCACATGGAAAGGATGGGAAAATCATAAGAAACTACGACAAAATCAGTACTGCAGAACTTCACTTTCGTACCTATGGCTTACAACTGTTGGTTTCAGTCGGGTGCGAAGCAAGGTATCATAAGCCGCAACGCATAGATAAGTAAAACCACATACAACTAATACAATTATTATGAAGTTAGCACGATATTCGTCGAGCTGGGGAACACTTGCCTTGCTGAGGGTATTTGTGTTCGCGACGAATTCTAATGGTAGTGAAGACATTAATGCGTAACACGACCTGAATGCTCTATAACCCACCTGCCAATGAAAACCTACAGTGGTTCTGAGCTCTGCAATAATAGTCGCAACACATATGTGATGGACGCACACTAGATATACAATGCCGAAGTATCGGAACTGACATTTGTATTCAGTCCAGGATCAAAAATGAGATTAAGAAACTCACTATTAGATAGGCGACTGAGATGTTTGACATTCGTTTCTTCTACAATCACATACACATCAGCATTCTAGGATCAAAGAAGGATATTCGCCATATACCCAAATATAGTTGATCTTTTCAACGAAACTCGGGAGTCAACTACTATGAACCCAAGGATCGAGAAGAGGTACCGATACCTCTTTGTCCAAATAAAGGACTGACCGCATAGATAGTCAGTTTTCATCGTTGCAGGGCACGGTATACCTACCACAGTCGTACACCATGAAAGTGGTCGGTACAACTGATGTTTGGTACATTCTCAGCACCCCGAGGATCACGAAACCTTGAAGAGCTAATACCTTGTAGAAACCTAATCGTTTGAGCATTTCTTTCTATATAGAGAAGTTGGTTAATGGTCGTTGCGTCCATCTCCTCGAGTGCTTGGGGGTGAAACGAACGCCAGAGTGGTTGGCGTGCACCAACATATATGCTGCACTGTGTTCCTCCATCAGCTGTGCCACCTGACAGATTGAAGACCTCGGCCATCAACAAGTAATGGAGCGGCTCCTCACCGATAACACCGGGTCAAACCATTGAACTTCTATGATTGCCCCCTGAGAGCTCCTTAGGTGTCATGCTTTCAGGCTCATCAGCAAAACCTAGTTTGCTTATGCAGGCTCAGCGGAATGTGTTTGGTACTTGGCGGTTTCTCGTCAAGTAGCTGCATGATCATTGACACTGTGTAGTCGAGCGGAATGAGCGCTGGGCATCAGTAAAACGTGAGAAAGATATTGATCCCGACCAACAACCGACGGGTTTGATGGTAAGGAACGGGGAACTCAACTCAATTCCGAGTCCGACGGGTCGGGACGTGACGAAGAATTCGGGGTTGTGCACATGCAACAGGCACAGGGCAATCAGTCATTGATGTTGGGCTTCCCTTCCGCCCCGTTATTATCGTCCGCTGCAACAGTACCTTACAATGTCCACGAAGACATTGAACTTATCCCGAGATCAAACAATTGTCTGGACCAAAGGTTTAACCGCAACACAAGAGATACGTAGAATGCTCACAGAAAACTACCGGGTCGTTGTTGCCCTCCTGATCAAGTCAACATTCTCCGACATTTTGATATCAGTGTTGCTATTGTGCTCAACAAAGTCCAGACGGCCATCGTCACCAGTACGATGACAAGAACTCGATACTCCTCCAAGCGGTCCTTTTCTTTGCCTTTTGTGATGGTCTCACAGTCTTGCTATGTTATATAAGACGACGTTGCCCACCTTACTAAACCTGATGCCATCGATGCATCATCGCCGACTCAACAAGTGCCGCATTGCCCCAGCGCGCACCAGCGGATTGCGATTTATCCGCTGGTCCGAACCCGTAAAGCCCAATCGTCGGCTTGTATCTACCACCCGGCAGTGGTGCAAGTGAGTGTCAGTGTTATTAGAGGTCGAAGGTTAACCCCACTGTATGCGTCCATTCCGTCAGGAACCTCACTGCGGCACAAGCCTTGTGAAACTGAAACAGATGGACGTGACAGAATGAACACGAAATCGGAGAAAGGTGAGAAAATTGCTCGACTCGGATCATGTTTCATGTAGAAGCGAAACCGTCCGAGAAAATACATGAAATTGACATGCTCTCAGACAGTCAAGGCAAGTTGAAATCTCCAAGCTTTTAAGATCCCTTCGTCCGAGGGGACCTGGTCTGGTGACCACCTCGTCTCTGAAGTTCGTCATCCATAGACAGTGCCAGTCACCAGACTAGGTCGAGTTATCCAAGCTACCTCGCATAGAGGTACAGTGTGTGGAATAAAACCTGGTGTCCGTAGTCTTGCTTCCAGTCCCTTTCCTTCCCGATGTCTATCATTTGGCGCGCAGCCCTCATCCTGGTTCAGGCTGTCTTCAACCAGGCAGCCTGTACTCCCCCCAACAAGACCGAGGAAAAGTTCCGTTACCACACACAGGAACCTTTGCTCTTGCGAATCGCTCCCGTAATATTCAAGGTCCATAATCCACCAGTATATTCAATTTAAGAGACTTATCCACCCATCATAGCTCCACACCGTTGGACTCTGGTGGATCGCCGTGCTGGAGGGAGTAGCTGCAATTAACCGTGTCATCGGGACTTCGTTGTCACCTTCGCTCTCAGCCTATCTTGACGCAGCGCTGCTTTCCCCATCTCGTTCTCAGAAGCTTCTCACACCCATCTTTGTCACTGGTATCTTCCTTTCTGTTATAGGTTCATGCATCCGTGTCCGCTGTTTCCAGGAACTCGGTCAATTCTTTACGTTCGACCTCACCATACATCCTGATCACAAGCTAATTACCTCGGGTCCTTATTCATATGTTCGCCACCCGGCGTATACGGGGTCTCTGCTTCTCCTCATAGGCGTCACTTTCTCCCATCTCACTGCTGGCAGCCTTGTCGTCGAATATCTGTTCGGCTCGGATGGGGCAGTACTCGTGTGGGCAATCTGGTGGATTTGGACGATCGCGGTTGCGCAGAGTCGCGTGGTCGCCGAAGACCAAGAACTACAAAAACGCGTGGGCTCCGAGTGGGATGTGTATGCTGCTAAAGTCAAGTACAGGTTAATCCCTGGTGTACTGTAACCATTGGTACTTACGTTGAGGCGGTGGGGCGGTTTTCTTTTCGATGCGTAACTCCCCGAATTAGACTTGCCCATCTCTACGGTGTTTTTAGCATCAGCATGGCAATTCATTTTCACATTGGCTTCGGACGATATGTCATTCAGGGCATTCTCCCTTCAGTGTTCACATCACGCACAACCAGTGTTGCGGTTCCTCCCATTTTCTAAACTGGAATACGATACGTGATCCACTAATGCAATGAGCATAGCTCGGCGCCGCACTCGACCTGGTCCCCTCGTCGTCAATCAAATATGTGAATACTATGTAAGTACCATCAAAACGCCTGCCAGCTTCGTTATGCACCTATTACACCTAACACTCGGAGACAGCCTTGCTGAGCATCATATTATATGTTTATTTACACTGTAGTCGACATTGAACTCACGAAGTACCATAGTGTGGTACAAATTACAAATCTTTATAGTTAAGACAAGCAACAGAAAGGTGAGGGCCAGCGCACGTTTGTAATCAGAAACCAGAAGTCGATATAGACGAAGTTAATCGTCACCGTCATCCCAACCATACCTGGGATCATCACGTTGTAACTTGCCCAGGTCACCAAGCCCCGCCCTCAGCGAAGCAAGCTCCTCTGATTTGATCGAGGTTTCCTTTATCAACTGAACAATCATCTCCAGCGTATGGTCCCGGCCTCCCAGTGCCAGAACGTTGTGAGGGTTCTCATAGTGGTCCCTGATGCGCGAATGGACTTCATTGATTCCAGCCATGCTGTACGCCGTGATAGCTAATTTGATAGTTGGGATAGTCATATGACCTTGCGGCATCAAAAGGAAGAGTATTTGCATAATGGCCGTTAGGTCCACGATGTATGCGATGCATTGGGATGACGCTGTCCCACTGTTATGGAATATCGTGGCGAATAAGCAAACGTGCTCTTGGGGGCGGAGCACACTTACGAGTACTGGTACAAGTCATGCGCCCATCCCACTAACATGATGTTCGCTGTAATAGGCAAGACGACCCGAACGGCTGTCCCACGGATGCCTATGATAGCTGATGCTACAGCGAGTCCGAAACCACTTCGGATAGCGTCGTTACTTCCTGCGATGCAAACCCCGAATGAAAGACTCACACATCCTCCACATCTGAATCAGGAAAATCTCTCGTATCAGTGTTTGCCACCACGTTCAGCATCAGCGTCTTGAACTGGTCGCTAACCAAATACTACGATCACCTATGAGAAGTAGTCTGTCGCGTGCAAGAATGTGACTCACGCGATTGGGGTCCTCGAAATTCCAGCAAGAGACGATTTCCGTGTGAATCACATCCAAGCAATCTTTCAGCGTGTAACCCAAAAACTTTGAGCCTGAGGCAAGCCCACGCCAATGTCCTAACCCGCAGAGTAAGTTTCGCCCAGCGACAAGAAAACTGATACTGACGCTTCTTTCCGGCACTACAAAACGATCAGAAGTGGAGGGGAAGGGCACTGGAGGTAACGCACGAAATAGAATTGCTAAGCTTCAGAGATATACTGGCCCTTTGAGCCATAAGAGCGGCCATTGCTGCCTCGTTGGCAACATACTTGTCCACCTTCCCGGCCGTGACCTCAAGCAGCTGCTCGATGGTGCTCTCGTAACCTTCCTGAACTGTGGCGGATGTTATCAGGTATCAGGTGACTCGAGATCAGAGAACGGTCGTTACCTGAAATAGCAACGTTCGGTATGTCCGTCCCAGCTAGTCGCTGGAGGGGCTGTATGCAAGACTTCTCCAGTTCATTACGGAGGCGCTCTTCCAAATACCATGCTTCTGGGTCTTCCCCGTTGCCAAAGGCTTCATACTCAATTCCTCCAACCACTAAATCCAGCTTGGTAAAAACGATGACCAGAGGTACTTGAGATTCACCATCAATCAAGATGTCAGAGTACCAGATGTTTTTGTCTTACTGTCACCCAGAATCTGTCTCCGACGTTCAATGAATTTCTTCGTGTCCTCATCAAACAAGGGCTCGTTGGCACGAGGAATCGCTAAGCACAGCCTGAATGGGAGTGTTGTCAACGTGCTTCAATGCTGCGGAGGGACGTCTTACCAAACAGCATGAACCCTGTCCTTTAAGTCAGGCATACTCCGTCGCCGTGCAAGGAAGGCCTCTACATTATTACTCGTTCCCGGTACGGGATTACGACTGTTGTGGAGAACGACCTTGTCGTTTTCCTGAAAGATAAGTTCGGTGTCAATGCCATCCTGGCGTTGACATGCTTCGTAGAATCGCTGTGGTCGCACGTATTATGAGCACCAAATGGACGGAATCAACGGAAAAAAGATGACTGAACTAGACTGCGTATCTTGAATGCACGGCCTATCAAGGACGATTTTCCTACTCCATCCTGGAATCAATGTAAATGACGTGTCCTGTGCAGCTATTAGATGAAACAAACCTTTCCCATTATGAGTAGTCGAAATCTTGTAGCAGTTAACGTCGCATCCAGGTACATGAAGTGACCATACGACTTACCTCGGACAAGTTCGGAGGATGCTGTCGCTAAACGGGATCAACTTTCCTGTTTCCGGCCGATACTGAGGCAATGCTATCAGTGTACCGTAAGGTACACGGCGGAAGGGTTTTGTGCATACAAGTGTTTCGGAGGCGCTGACGACAACTTGCAATTTCCCCTCCGCCAACCGCAGGGCTATACACAATCGTCGATGATGTCCATTCAACGGAGAAAATCGACTCGACTTACTTCTCTTTCCACTTATCGCGTTTGGGCTCAACGCTATGTCCTGCGGCGCAAAGGAGAGATCCACGACGGTCTTCTTATTAATACCGATGATACCGATGACACGGTGACAACAATGAACGGAAACCAAGCACTGCTCGTCATCCGACACCTCTCTTGGAATGGCTATTTAAACAAGAGAGCTGTGAAGAGCTGTGCGACTCACATGCCGGGAATGAAGGTTTCACTGAGAGACTTGCTGGGAATGGGTACATGACGGACTGCCAGTGTTCGGCTTCCCACCCTAAGTTCGACGTATTCAACCTGCCTTCTCGAAGTCTCAAGCAGGTCTACATTGATACCTTACAGTATCATGTGAGTCAAACAACTGGAGGAGAACTGAAGGAAACTCTTACTTGTGATGAAGAATTGTGTGGGGCGAATGTCGGTGGTGTGGAGACTGGGAGACATATCTACAAGCAGAATAGCAGGGGAGAGGCGAGATGTGGTTAAAGGAGCTTTGGGATAGGGTTATCAACATGAAGCGTGTTAGCTGCATGGCCACCAGGGCACCGCGAAAGTACGCATTCAACGCTGCCGGCGTCTGGAGATATCCTCGCCCTTCGGGGTTCCGTGGGTCTCCAGTTGGCTTCGGTCCGAGTGGATGTCGTATTCGCAGCCATGTACGTAGCTACAATGGCCCAGTTCAGTCTTTCAGACACTCGAACTTGGCTGGCCAATCGGCCTTCCGAGTTCCTTGAGTGCAGACACGGAAGGATAACCAAACTAAGCACTTTAGCAGAACCATCAGTCCACATCCACTGATTACGCAAAGATGGAATTGAGTACTAACCCTCTACCCATAAGTTGCAGTTGGGACATGGTGCATGGTGACCAGTACGAACGTGCCAAGGCCACCAGTAGTTCATCTTCGTCACAACAAACAATACTCAGCAATTGTCCAGCAATGCGTCATTCATTTCACTGATCCGATCCGATTCTGCTGGTACATCCTGGCACATACTGTAACCGAGACAAGCTTTGAAATACCAAAACTCTCTGCTAACTTTGCCCCCGCATCTCGCCGAAGGAAGGAATCATGCGTCATCACCCGCAAGTTCCGTGTTCATCGATGTGTCTTCCGTGATTTCTATTTTTATTATTTCCGACCACGCTCCTTGGGTTTGCCGTTGAGTACCCCATGGGTTCTCCAGTTGCTCTTCAAGTCTTGTAACATTTCCTGTGCCGGAAATATCTTCCTGGGCTCTTCAAAAAGGGGATACCGGGTACCACTGCAGGAATCACGGCGACCCTGTGGAAATTGCCTGATGAGCACGGATTGGCCCCTGATCTGTCATCTATTGCTTTCTCACCGTAGCGAACATTCTTGCGCAATGTCCACTCATCACCGGAGGGTGAGATGTGGAGGATCGCCTCGGGGGCTGATCGGGAGTAACGTGGCCGATCTTGTCATATTTTTCGCCCGAAGGCCGTTGAGGGGATGAATATTGGTTAGCGCTGCAAGGTATCGCGGCGACCCTGTACGACCCCAAGCGCCGATATGACCTAGATCAACCTTTGAATGGTTATCCATGCAGTGGGTATGCTTACCTGGAGAACCATTCTCGAGCAGTGTCCGTTCATTACCGGCGGGTGAGATGGCGAAGGTGAAGTTGCACGGAACTTTTCCTCAGGTGACATAGCATCACTCGTACGCCGCCCACCCCTGGTCTCTCTCGCCACACTCCCTTCACTCCCCTTCCTTGACTCCTGTCATGGGGTTGGATGATCGGCCACCCACTGAAGCTGGAATTCCCTACCTTGCGGAGATACATTCGCGCCTGATACCCGTTCATGTTGCTGACACTGGGGTTGTATTGGATGGGCAGTCTATGCAGATAGGAAAGGAGATCAGAGATGGGTGTTGGGGACCAAGTGGGTGCTCAGGTGCTTGACCTTTATCAGTGTATGGCTCACGTCGATACGTTATCATCGGAACCAACATGTGGTTCGAGCGCTTCGTTTCATGCAAGATGCCACTAGCAATCGCTACTTCTGTGAGCCGTCCCAGATTATTTGTCGAAGCAGTTGTTTGCTACATGCCCTCCAAGGCTTCGTACTGACCTTGCTGCAGTGAATCAGCGTAGTCGTCCTCTCGAGGGTGATATGCCAGGACACCTCCTTCGAGCGCTTCGCGCCGTTCACGGGCCGGAGCACGCTATACAGCGCACGTTATACAGCTTGGAACGTTGAAACTTTTTGACAGACTAACGCCTTGTGTCCCTGTGCCCCTTTTTGGGTGAGCAACGACCTACCAGTGAAGATCACAATGAGGAAGGGTCCTAAGGGTGGGATGCCGTCTTGTGTCCATGGCAACCCGCAACCCACCCCCTCTGCGCAACTCGACCTTGTACACAGTTCCAGGTGTCCACAGATGCAGTCTTGTGTTCGTGGCACAACAAAGTTAAGTTTAATTTGATTGAGACGGGCAACGTGCTATCCACAACACATGGTGTGGCGCGGTCAACCACAAGAACGCCGTCTGTTGTCCAACTTCGCCAGAACCAAGCCATCTTGTTTGGTGGTAACATATCCCCTAGCCACGCACGCGCACAAAGCCTACGATAGGGTAGTATGGGCCACAGTGTACCTATGACGATCTTTACCCCAGTGACTCACCAACAAGTTGCGACTTTGTAGCTTGTGAGTAGACGAATACGTCTTTTCGGTCTGAGTACGAAGATGCTGTTTTACCTGACCCTATAAGGCAACCGAACGCAATAGCCTGACAGCCGAGACCACTATAATCTCAGGCTCGGCTGCCCATGTTGACGGCCCGTTACTGGGAAAGGGCGACCAAGCCTACTAATCAGCCTATGATCTGCTTTCGAGGAATAAGTGTGTACCAGTTGATACCCATGGTAGAAGTATCCTTCATTTTGCCCTTTCAAAGTATAAACCATCACAGGGAGCTGGGACCGTCTTCAGCTTAATTTATGGCAGAGAGCTCGTCCCTTCACATAATTCCGCTTGGGTTCTAATGCTCACGGGGTATATGCATACCGCGGATCGCATAGGTATGCACAGGTGAAGTTTCAATTGTTGCGTGTCCTGCATCTACCAGTCACACCTTCAACGTCTTTCAAAGACACTTGCAGGTTGTGTCGTCCCGCATCACATCAGAAACCTTCACTTTTCCAGATCCGGATTTGTTAACCTCGTTTCTGTACTCCACGCCCACGCCTTCCAGGATTCGAATGACGGGCGGCGGCTTCGCACATCAACAGCGAACCTGTAGTACTTCTTCGTTCGGGGTCATAGTTCGGTCAACCGTGCCTTGGCTTGGTTAGACTGGTCTGGATTGAGCACGGCAAAGGTGTGTGCTTTCCTTAGGTGAGTGGTACCTCACACCACACCATGAGTGTGGTACCAGGCCAGCCGAGCGCAGGGTCACGGAGACCTCTGCATCTTTATATGTATATGAAAAACATCCGAATGTGGAGAAACCGGCTGGGCAGTCCCGTGCTGATGTTCTCCTTATGACAGCGTCATTTATTGACCTGGTCTCTGAGACAGCGAAGCGTTCATGCAACTCCATCAGTTTGTATAGGGCTCCTATCTGTGCTGCGCCAGTGCACGTGTTATGTGAACACGGTGGCGGGCGTAGCAAGGTGACTGCCATGTTCGGCCGTCCAACGGCATTAACTCTCCCTTAGAAGACATGCCATACCGATCTTTATAGCTCATCCTCGTTGCAACGGTCTGCGAGCTGGCCATTTGCCATGTTCCATGGCGGTGATGAAAGAATGATCGTGCAAGAACCAGGTGATTGCTGGACGGAGGCGTTGGACCCGCGTTATAAGTTGGGCGTTGGACCAACATGGGCACGTCTCTGACCATCTTTGACTCGACCTTTTCCACCTTACTGGTACCTCCTCGAAATTGTCACCTCGGCAATTATGGTCGCTCGTGGAAGAGAATGTCGTATTGCGTACTTGAAACCTCTTTTTTCGATTGAGTATCCCTCTAAGATGACTCTTCAGAATTATGGGAGCCACTGGGACTGGAAAGTCAACTGTGCGTGTACCCACATGTGTCCCCGGCCTTGCTGATGATTATCCCACGTAGTTCGTCAACCTTGCCAGTGGGTCCAAACTGCCTGTTGGGCGGGGTCTCCAGAGCTGCACCAGCGATGTAATGACTTCCAAGCCGTTCATTCTGAATGGAAATATCGTCACCTTAATCGACACCCCGGGATTTGATGACACAAACCGTAGCGATACTGAAATCTTGAGATCCATCGCCGCCTACTTATCCAACACGTGAGTGAATTTGCTCTTGTAATTCCCAGTTTTGATGACCAAATTGCGAAGGTACGAACAGGGTGCAAAACTTGCAGGCATCATTTATATGCATCGTATCTCTGATACTCGAATGGGGGGTACATCTGCCCGGAACTTCCGCATATTCCGCGAACTATGCGGCGAAAGTACGCTCCGGAATGTTCTTATCGTAACCACTATGTGGTCAGAAGTCAGCCCCGAACTTGGGGAGGAGAGGGAACGAGAGCTTGCGAGCAATGGCAAATTCTTTAAACCCGTCCTCGACAAAGGTGCTCGGATGTTGCGACACAACAACACTCGAGAGTCTGCCCATGCTATCCTTCGACACTTGGTCAATGCACAAGCCCACACCTTACAAATCCAGCACGAGCTTGTCAATGAACAAAGAGATCTTGCCCATACCTCGGCAGGCGTGGAGCTTGGGCGTCTGCTGAAAGATCAGGCGGATCGTCACGAAGCCCAGCTGAAGGAAGTGCGCAGAGAGATGGAAGAAGCTATGCGCGTCAAGGATGAACAGTCACGGAAAGAACTCCAACAAGTGGTCGACGAAAAATTATCTGAAATAGAAAGAATACGTCGAAATGCTGAACAGATGGCCGCGGACTTCGTCGCTGAGAAGGCGCGGCTTGAGGCCAGGATCGCGGACATGGAGAAAGAAAACAGGGAGCACCTGCGAAACCTAGAAGAACATGCTCAACGAGAAAGAGAGCTAATTGCCGCGCGTGATGTGGCGGAAAGGAGGGCTAGCGATCTAGAAAGAAAACTGGAGTATGCGTCAACCGAACGGAGTACTAAGGTACGCAATGTAGCCCCTTGTCGGCCATTCAAAACATCATTCTCCTTATAGACAGATATCCCGGAACAGAGTGCACGTCCGAAGGAAAAGCGAAGCAATCACGGGTCCACTCCAGATGCGAAGGAACGCTACGCACCTAGACCCAGTCCTAACCCAGGGCGTACTCGCGACTCGAATTCCGAGCAAGGGGAGAAGACAAGGAAAGAGAAAAATCAGGAGACATTCGTTGGATCCCTCTTTTCCGGTGTTATCAGTATTAGGAAGGCCATACTGGGGTTCTGAGGGACGAATCTGGTAGAGGCCAGAGGAAAGCGGCACGCAGTTCTATATATTACTATACTACAATCGCGTTGGTCAACGGACGGGATATGGGTTATCTATGTGTCCTCAGGATAGTGACAATAGTCTCGCTCTATGCTCGCAGTCAACCTTGAAAGGCACTGCCGTTCGAGTCTACACCAATTCCCTCTGGACCCTCGCTAACATCCATTCTCGGGCCGTATTGTCCGATAACAACACAGGGACTTTGGCTTGTCCGGAACCGGCGTTGGCCACTTCGATTTTCCATTGTCTGTACTCTCCGAACGTTCCAGGCTTCAGCACCCGGATAGTCGGTATCTGCATTCTCTGTAGATCAAACTCCTCGTTCAGGCGGCAAAGTTCGTTGTGTAGCTTCATGGGAGTTTTGGCAGCCTCGGGATCTTTGAAATTGATAGTAGTGAGAACAATCATGAACTAACTGGGAGATAATGATCACGTACTAAGTTCGCCATGAACTTCAACAAGATACCCCAGAGTGGGAATCCCGCTGTGGCTATCGATGATGGCGGTGAACTCGACTATCGGGGCAAGGGTATCTTGCACCGCTAAGATAGCAGCGGTGATATGCCTTTTCAGTCAGCTCCCCCCCTGCCATCCACGTAATGACACTACGCATTTCCTTTAGTCAAGAAACGCAGTGAGGTCATCAGCACACTGACTTGCGTCGTTCGAAGTAACGAATGATAGGTGAGCCATCGGTCGGATCAAAGCCCGCAATTTCGACGACATCTCCAAGACGGTAGCGCCACAATCCGTCACGAATGATGCACATAATCTCATAATGTTTTCCGACCTCAACTAGCCACTTTCCTTTGAATCAGATTGGACCGGGTGAAAGAAAAAGCGGACAAACTTACGGGGGGTACAATACTAGACGCATTTTCTTCCTTGACCACGTCAAGGTATTCGATAATGTCTTGTGATGTTACTTTGAAAAGGTTCATATCTGAAAGGGTCGTAGACTGCAGCAACAGTAGGCTTCGGAAGTGGCAATCCCGAAGTTACGCAACTGCACGTCGGGGCCCAAGTAGAATCGTAACTAATGCAAAAGCTGGGTGTGAGGGTGTCTGTCGATGTAATGAAGCTGACCTTCGGAACCCCGACAGAGAAAACACCGCTACCGATACAAATAATATTCTTGAGCATTGGCCAAATTTTCAACAGCCAGCCCGGTCGGTCCGTTGCTTTACCGACTACACGGAGCTCAGCAGCGCGCTCTGGGCGTAGGAGAAAAATGGAGCTGAAATAGAATATTTAGTTCAGCTTGCTACAATTGTAACTGGTAAAGAAATGATTACTTGAAGGTACTCCCGAACGTCTTTGATCCCATCCCAAGGGGGAAGTTCACCTGTCTCGATGGAATGCAATTACGGATCTCCCACTCTTCTTCCATATATCGTATCATATCGACTGCGGACGTAGAAAAGAGCATAGATATCCGTTTCAACCTTGCTATTCGCGAGTGCAAAGAGTGTGTGCGTAAGCAAGAAGGTCCGATAGTCGCGGACGAAGCCGACGGCGATCGAAGAAATGGCCCACTCCGCTGGTAAGCGACGATTTTAATGCAAAATGCAAAATTTGAGCTTGGAGTGGCGAAACGTACTTGCTAAGTTAATATTCAAGTGATCGTTTTCTACTTCCAAACCGTGCCGCATACGGATCGCTCCAGACGACCCAATACCGGCGGGGACTGTTCTAACGATGTCTCCATCGCGATTTTGGATGTTCACCAACTGACGGTAGTGGAGGGAAAAGGTCCAGAAGGTTTCCCCTCCATCGCCAAAGGCATAGGGCATCGAGCCCTGATGCTGATACTTGCAGAAAATCTTTGGCTTTGGACTCGAGGTCGAACTCGTGATTGCTATGTTATGAGGCAAACCGGGCGAGAACATATCTCGAACATCGTCCTCCTGGCAATTTTCTGCAAGGAACTGAGCTGCGAATGGCTCGTAAGCGTTGTAGGTCGTTAATGGAATTTTGGTGCGATAGGTTTCCAGGGGAATATCATCCGAAATGCCACCATAATCCTCCCTCTAAAATTGCGTATCGCACTGTGAAATGCCGCAAAGACGGGACACTCGGAAAAACAGCGAGTGTCTCTGTTCTTCTTGATAAGAGCTACCAGTGTAGCCTCCACGCGATTCCTGAGTAAACTGGCAAGATCGGGGGACAAGACATGGACGGGCTGGGGTACCTGCGAGGGTGACATTGTGGACAAGCAGCTCGCCTGAAACCGACATACTGGCTTTAAGTATTACTACACATATGCGCTGGCAATGGCACCGCGCAACCCCCGATGCCGGACGAATGAAACATGATCTTGTAGTACCACCCTACCAACAGAATTAGTCAACAAGTTCGAGCTTGACTATATCTAGCCCTCTACGCTCACAACTGAGCTCAGGTGACCTCGCCAAGTATGGAAGTACTTACATCCTCCATGAGGGCTTCCAGTCAGCAGGGGGAAGAAAGGCGGACCGTGTCCTTATCAAACCTAACAGCTCGCGATCATGAGATATCGAATCTCCCTAAAACGTCATATGAGGTCGTTGACATCCCTTCGGCTTCGAATTCCATCGCGACTGATGCGGGATTCTTGCTGAAGAGAACCATACGCAGTCGCCTTCAGGACTGCAGAAGATCAATGTGGCAATACTCTGTTCACTAATGCTAACTGTGAGCCAGTGGCGAAAAGAAAAGGAAAAAACCTCATCAAAGCCACGAGAAATTCCTGCTCCCAAGTTTGATCCTAATCAGCCACGTGAGCACTCGTCGTTCGGGATTGAATGTTAACCATTCCCTGCCGGCAGTTAAATATGACCAACATCGTGTCTGTCAGGCACCTTCACCGGACCTGAACCGAACCCTAGAACTTTGACCTACGTTGCTTATAGTCCGCAAACCCATTCAAAATCTGGGCGGGTTTGGGACCCCGTCAAAAGCCGCGTCAATACCACGAGGGTGGGGTATATTGTTACCAGAATGCCACGTCGGGTTCATTCCGCTGATCGACGAGGGTGGATTTGCGGAGGTGCACACCGACAGGTATCTTCTTTAAAGAGAATGTTATTAATGAGGTCCAAATATGTCGCTCTTGCCGAACATGTAATGAACTGGCTTGGGGCATAGGAGGACTGGCTAATGCAATGGACCGAGCGCCTCATAATTGCGCGACCCAGGTTTCGATCTTCGGCATGGGACACGACCCCAGGAAGCATCATAACCTGCCATGATGTGGATGATCAATATGACTTGTAGATCTGACCCCAACACCCCGTGGGGTTCCGAACTGATCAAATGTTGAGAATTTTATATAAAAAGATGAAGAATGCCACCGGCAGGCGGGCAGGGAGAACGGGTGCAGTCTGGTGGTCGCTTCCCGCGCCCGAACCAGTCATTGTCCAGCAAATTCGGGGGCATGGTTTACATTCAGTGGCTTGCACCAGAGTACAAACGAACGGGTAAGGAATATGTGCAGCTGAGTCGCCTGCTCTTCACCTTCTCCCACGCACGCCCTTCGCTGGCCACCGCATTTGCAGTGGCTGTGAGCACAGCCGCTTGAAATACATTAAACGTGCCCTGCTGAGTCAGCCCTGAAGCAAGTCGAAGTCATCGTTGCATGTGATATTCATTGACCTGACCAGCGATGGCCACGTTCGAATACGTGGACATACCTGCAGAGGCCATCCGACTGGCACCGTCCTCGCAGGGAGAACATTCTGTGAGACCAGCACCCAAGATACCCACCACGTTCCCAGATCCGTCATCTGCGTCTGGCTTTTTCTCATGGCATTCGTATATCGACAGCTCGTCGTCGGAGAACGATGCTACTCCGTTGAGCCTATCCAAAACTTCCCTCTCAATCATCCCACAGATACTTCTATCGACGTCCGTTCCGACCGCTGCTACGTCCGCCGCGACTAGCGCCCCCTCCAGCACAGGTCTATCGTTGTTCACCACTAGTCCAAGGTCAGGACAAACTTCACAAAAGCTCCTAAGTGCACGCGACCCACTTTCTCTTCCCATCATGACAAACAATTTCCGCCGGTTCGTGGCAAAGGTGGGACCGGTATTTTGGTTGCAGGATAGAATAGAAGAAATCATCCTATGGAAAAGGGGCTGGAAAAGAACTGCCGTCTGGTTAGCTGTTTATGGTTTCATATGTGAGCGTGTGTCCAGTCGTGACCTTGCTCTCGATCGATCATCACCTAGGCTACTACCCCAAGTTTATACTGCTCTTGCCCCATGTATTGCTATTGGGCATCATGCTGGCTTATTACCCTGCGCCGGGGTCACCACCTATCCCGCTAAACATCAGTGAAGGAACGGTCGATTGGCAAGCCAATATACAGGCGATACAAAACCTCATGGGAGCTTTGTAAGTAGTTGCCGGAGTGTGACGTCTTGGTACCCACCTTACTGTCACCCAATTACTGACTATTTACCTATCCTTGTTCAGTTCCGATGCCCACGACGCAGTCCTTCCTCTTCTCCCTTTACTCGGCTCCTCAAAACTGCGATCTTCCACTTCTACTCATTCTACTTCTACTTCTACACCGCCGTCTAAGTCCGCGCCAAAGTTCGCCTCCTCGGCCACGTCCTCTCTTTCTGCCCAGCAGAAGTTAGGTTTATCATCGACGCCAACAACGCAACGTCCAGAAACCGAACCAGCCGCTACACTTAACTCGAGTTTGGAACAGAAAATTAATGGTGCTCAAGTGCAGTCGACAGTGCAAATATCTTCATATCCGCCCCATCCCACATTGATGCTCACTCTCACTTCCTTCCTCATCCTCCTTCCAGTGGTGATGGCTGACATTCTCCCAATGAGACTTCTGTTCTTTTTCCTGGGCGTCGGGCCAGTGTGTGCCCTGCATCCAAACGTACGGAATGCCCTCACTGGTGCATGGGTTGCACGCCACGCGGTACTGTCTTCCAACGTCTTGTTCTCGGTATCCATTCCTTTCCCCACGTTACCTCGACCTCACCTGCCTTTGTATTTTCGTTACGGTGACAATCGAAGATCGCTCACTCATCAAAAGAGGTACTTGCATTTCCAGGTTACTCGGAAGAATGTCCGTGCAGTGCTGCGCCGTTTCGTAGACAACGACAGACTATTAGATCAGGTATGGCCGGCGCCGATGTGCACCGTAGAGCTGTGGGAGAACGAGCGGTGGGAACCAACAAGCGGCGCAGCCCCAAGCGGAGGTAGACGAGCGTCGCTTCTTGGTGGATCCGGAGCTAGTGTTTTTTCAAGCTCGAGCGGCGGTAGCGAGGGCGGTGATGGGGAAACTGAATCTGGGGGTGTGAAGCCCAAGTCCACTATACTACCTGTGGGTTCATGGAGCAAGACGCATCTTCGACAGAGTGAGCGTGCCCCATGGACGAAGGGTCGGGACGGGTGGAGTGGAGTCGGTGGGGAAATCAGGTGCGTCTCGTCGATACAGGTTTCCCCGATCCATGGGTCGCGCGGACCTTTCCCTGTGTCCGTAGCGTGAAGTGAGCTGATGTTGTGGTACCCCAGCAGCAACCTCACGTTTTCCCTTTCACCTGGCTGGGCATTCGTCGAGACGGAAAGCTGGAGAGCCGATTTGGAGGGCTGTTGGGTCCTCGAGGGCCAACATCTAAGCAACGAACATTCGAATGTTGAGGCGGACCGTGTGTGTGCAGACGAAGGTGGGCGCACCCGACTTTGCACAGCGCTCTCCATTGACTCGTGGTACCTAGATGGTTGGGTATATACTACCGATACTTGGTCTAATCCCCGCCCAGACCCTTGTCCGATGGAAGGATGGGTCACGCGACGGCGACGTTGGATTCGGAGGGTGTATTGGAAGGGCTTGTGAGTATTCGCCGTGGTATGTGCATACGAGTGGTGTACAGCTGGTGTATATACTGGCAAGCTCGTAACTCGCGACGCCAATCTCCAAACGCGGATAACTCCAGATGCATCCCAGACCGACGGTGATCTTTCTGTAGGCGTTTCCGTGCTGCTTGACGGAAGCCCATTTCGGTGGCTTTCTCCCTCACACGTCATCGCCTGCGCAATATTGCTGAGGCAAGCCGGCGGGAATATATGGCCAGATGACGCACGCGTCTTCTTGCTAACAATCATGCTGAGGACAAATCCATGAGTGTGGGACTCGCTGAAACAACGTTGGGTATGTTTGTTCCTCGGATCTGAGAGATTAGTATGTTACTCTGTGTGCACGCTTCTCGATTGCATCAACGAGAAACCTCCATTGGCGGGTTACAACCTGTGTTGACTTTCCCGCAGCTACATAGATAGGAGAGCGGTGATCATTACGTAACACAAGTTCGATGCGTCATCGAAGCCGACGCGCCGCATACTACGCTTGACTACACGCTGCTTACAAGCGTGCTGACTCTGAGTTCCCATCCTACGTCGACTGGCATTCCCTCAGTGATTCAATATTCAGGTGCGTTGCTTTTACAGCGTCATGAGGTAACGACCATGGGCGACCTGCGAAGTGGTTCCGAACATAAATATGCCGGTGTGTACTGGCGTGGTTCTCCACCATACGGCACTCCCCCCTCCCCTCTCTCTGCGAGCACCCGAACTCCTGCTAGGTTGAAAATCGGCAATGTCATCTGTTCCGAAAGTCTGGTTCAGTGCGTCCGCCCCATACGTTCGATTTCGTTATTGACTCAACGTATCGTCAGTCACTGGTAGTTCGTCGGGTTTTGGCCTGGCCTCTACCGAATTAGCTCTTCAAAGAGGCGACAAGGTGGTCGCCACTCTGCGAAAACCCGCCGTTTCGGCCGACTTGGTTTCAAAGTACCCAGATACGCTTTTATTGCTCAAACTAGACGTTGCACAGCCAGAGGAAGTCAAATCGACCTTCGCGACTGCCCGCGAGAGGTTCGGTCGCATCGATGTCGTTTTGAGCAATGCAGGATATGGCGTCATCTCTGAGATTAAAGGAGCCTCTGAGAAGAACGCGCGTGGCCTGTTCGAAACGAACTTTTGGGGAGCGTCATACGTCTGTAGAGAGGCTGTCAAGTTTTTCCGTGAAGATGAATCGACCTGTCGGTGGCAGATTGATACAGGTCTCAGTCAGTGTTTGGTATTGCATCGAGCCCGGGATCGGCATGGTATTGTGCATCGTATGTAGTGTGAATATTCTCTCTAAGGCAGATGGCTAACCCTCACTGTAGGAAATTCGGTGGGTTACCTGCCCTCTATTTAAGCGTTGGAACTTGACATAGTGCAACCAATAGCTATCGAAGCACTGGCGGAAGCCCTCGCAGCTGAAGTCTCCAAGCTGGAATATCAAGGTACTTGCTTTGGAAACGTGTCATCGAGCATACCTGACCCCGGTTTACAGGTGACCATTGTAGAACCTGGACCGTTCTGTACCAACTGTCCGACCACGAATATGGTCACTGAGCCCATCCATCCGGTGTATAACGATCCTGTGCTACCTTCGATGCAGCTCCGAAATGTGATGTCGAACACAGATACAGCATTTACGGGGGATCCAACCAAGCTTGCGGAAGCTATCTACAAACTAGTTTATTTGGGAGATCCTCCTTTGAGACTGCCCCTCCACAACATTACTGTGGAAACTCTCAAGGAAAAGGGTCACCATTTAATCGATACCGCAGATACATGGGCCTCTTGGTCTGAAGATATGTATGTGAAGGAGTGAAAGAGGTTGCAGACACCCCTAACTTGGAGCTTGGCACCGCAAAGTACAAAGTGTTCAGTTCGTGCCTTAGAATTATGTTCCATACGATGGCGTCAGGTTCCCCTCCTACAGAGGGTGAAGTCGACTTTGAGTCGTGACATTTCCCTGCAATGCATGTTTCATTCATCTCCGAAGCTTACGAGGCCCTCTATCTTTGTGTTGAGCTGGTCAAAGAGGAACTGCGAGATTTTGATCACTCTGATAACGAGACTACACCATCGGTGCCCAGAGGTGGCGACCACAGTGAGTGATGCACTAAGTGTTGCAGCACTCCAGAACGAAATGGTCTCGATGTCCAGAAGACATTCGCGACTTCTGCTTACACGAGCAGACAGCGTCGAGAGTCGAGACGCTGCACCAGAGAAGGATGACGGTGCTACTGTAGTCCAAGATGCCGGAGTGTCGAGAATTACGTCTGCACCTGGGAGACTCCCTCTCAGGATCATCGTGTAGTGTGCCAGCAAAGTAAGCGCCAGTATCCAGAACTCAAGACTCGGAGGAAGATTAATCGATAAGCGTAGGCCACTTCTGGACACTTCCAAATGGTTGCATCTTGCTCAAGTCTAGGTTGTTAGTGACTGCACACTGACTCCGAGTTCCATCATACATTGACGTTTCCAACGTCCCTGCCTTGCTTTTACGGCGTCACTCACAGAACGACCCCGGTCAAATCCGCCTTTGCGTCTATCTCTACTCTCAGCCTTTGCCTCTAAGCATTCTTACTCTTCTCGTTCAAAAGTACGTCTCTATACATTTCTACCCGACCTCTCAAATACTTAGTTAGCTCTCCGATCTATTGACTCTACTTCTCCTGAAAACAAAGAAAACTCCGAAAAAAAAAGGAATCTGTCTGTGAACAAGTAAGCCCCCTAGTCCGCTTAGATCGATCATTACTCGTTGCTGACCTTTGGCTGCTTTCATTCTATCCTTTGCTGCCCTCCTATTAACAGTGTCGTCCCCTGCTTGAGCTTTAAGCACGACGACAACAAGTCTCCTATTTCCCCCGCCTAGTCACAGTCTGTCACCGTTACTCTCGGAAATCTCATGCACTCGGAGGACGGCAGCGAAGTGATGGCTACGGCCGATGGTGGTCAGCTAACCGACAACTACGCCAATGCTTGGAGTGACTTCTACCCCAGCCGCGCTGGCTGTGTCTATAAGTCTGGGCCTGCTTGGGAAGTCCGCAACGGCCCCGAGACGCAGGGAATCGTCCGTCAGGCTCGTGCCGTCTACCGCCCCGACATCGCGCCCAAGTGGGTCTCCATCCTCCAGAAGATTATCGCGTGTCTCGACTCTGTGGGCGTAGACTTCACGTGCATCAACCCCTTCGGCTGGGCCAACGAAGGGGAGGAGGAGCCCTTCTGTCCTTTCCTCCTTTCTGTCGGTGTAATGCCCTATTCGCTCGCCTACGGTGTCGCCGTTGCTGCTGCTGCCAGTGTTAAGGAGATCCTTGCCACTTCTGGCCTCGCCGAGGTCGAGGTTGCCTTTGTCGAGATGGTCGTGAAGCATTCCGCCAGCGGACCCAGGCTGCTCCCGCTGGACCCCGTCCTCGACACCGTCCCCGAGTATCGCAAGCACTTCAGCTCCGCGCTTGGCCTCCCCATCGCACCGCTAGACACACCCTACTACGAGGGTACAGGTGCGCTCTACTTCCGTCTCAGTAGCCAGACCAAGGACATCGCCTTGCTGACGTGCGCGCACGTCGCCCGGCCGCCTCCCGAGTTCCCCGACAACAAGGGTATGACACGTACCAAGAACAGCCAGCCCAAGGAGTTCATCGTCGCGCTTGGTTCTGGGGGCTACAACAGAGCCATTGCTGGCATGATGACCGAGATTGCCAAGCTTACTCGCGATATCGATTCGTGGAGGCGCCAGCTGGATCGTATACCAGCTGCTAATGCCGCGAAGCGTCAGGAGCTCACCGTCGAGGTTGATAGGGCGACGAATCGGATCTACCAGCTGGACGAGTTCCACACCGCGGCCACCAAGTTTCGCTCCACCCCTGAGCTGCGTACTGTTGGTTGGGTGCTTCACTCCTCGCCGATCCAGGTCTCGGGTGCGCCCCTTGGTTACACCGAGGACTGGGCCCTTATTCAACTAGACCCCAAGATGATTGAGGAGACGTTTATGGGAAACAAGATCTTTTTCGGTACACTTTCCCCTTTAACCCATCGATTCTTCCCCTGACTACCACCTTTTCCCTTCACAGGCGACAAGTTCACTTCTGGCGACTTCGCCGAACTGATGTACCCCCACCACGAAGACCGCGCCAACTACAAGATCCTCGACGACCGCCTCCTACAGGCGTTCGGCGTCGTGTCTGCGGCCGAGATTAGCAACCCGCCGCACCTCGAAGCCAATGGCCAGCAGTGCCTGATCGTCATGAAGAACGGTGGCACGACCGGCACCACCGTTGGCCGCGCCAATGGGCTCGAGTCAGTCAAGCGTACGTACCCGGAATATGGCATCGTGAAGCAAGACTCGCTTGAGATTGCGGTGGTGTACTACGGCAAGGGGCACGGCAGGTTCTCCGACGGGGGCGACTCCGGGTCTATAGTCGTCAGCAGGGATGGCAAGATCCTTGGAATGCTCAACGGTGGCGCTGGGCCGACCTGCTGAGATTGACGTTACGTGGCTCACGCCCTTCCATTACCTCGACAGGCAGATTAAGAAGAAATACCCCGACGCCTTCCTCTACGGCGTTAAGAATTAGGTATCTCTTGCTGCCTCTGTCCCTTCTTCTATCCCCCTCCTTTTTCCCCTGCCACCACTGTACCACTTTTTCATTTCTCGTTTTTTCTCCATTCCCGCCTTCTACGGCAACCTCGCCTCGTCTTTTGTTTTCCCGTCTTTTCTTTACCTACACTGTCCTTCCCCCCCTTATCCCGTGCTTCTACTTTCTCTCTACTCGTTGTCGGTGCCGTCGGAGATTATAACTGCTTGTGTTGTTTACGTATTGTGCGCACTTTTAATTTGTTTGCGATGAACAGTGTTCACGCATGGCGTGCTTAGAAACTTGGCTGCCATGCGAGTGCGTTTGAGTTCGATACTAAAAGGAGTCGAAGACCGGATGATCGTTACGTAATACACGCTGCACGGCACTAAAGCACTGCTAGTGACTACACGCCGACTCCGAGTTCTCATCGTTTCTAACGTCCCTGCATTGTTTTTACGGCGTCATGGGATAATGACTATGCCAGGTGACCGAAGTGGTTCCGACTCTCCGAGTATAAATATATCTGTACGGAACTGGTGTGGTCTTCTACAATAACAGCACCCCCCAGCACTCGAATTCCTGCTAGGTTGACCAATTGAAAATGTCATCTGTTCCAAAAGTCTGGTTTAGTATGTCCACCCAATACTAACGTTCGGTTTGGTTATTGGCTCAATGAATTGCCAGTCACTGGTAGTTCATCCGGCTTTGGCCTGGCCTCTACCGAACTAGTTCTTCAAAGAGGCGACAAGGTCGTCGCCACTTTGCGAAAACCCACCGTTTTGGCCGACTTGGTTTCAAAGTACCCAGATACGCTTTTATTGCTCAAACTAGACGTTACACAGCCAGAGGAAGTCAAATTAACCTTCGCAACTGCCCGCGAGAGGTTCGGTCGCATCGATGTTGTTTTGAGCAATGCAGGGTATGGCATCGTCTCGGAGATCGAGGGAACCAGCGAGAAGAACGCGCGTGGCCTGTTCGAAACGAACTTTTGGGGAGCATCATACGTCTGTAGAGAGGCTGTCAGGTTTTTCCGTGAAGAGAATCAACCTGTAGGTGGCAGATTGATACAGGTCTCGTCAGTGTCTGGTGTTGCATCGAACCCTGGATCGGCATGGTATTGTGCATCGTACGTACCATACATTATAATTAGCCAAATGATTAACGCCCAATCACAGGAAGTTCGGTGGGTTACGTGTCCTCGATTTTTAGGCGTTGGAACTGGACATAGTACATCTAATAGCTATCGAAGCATTGGCGGAGGCTCTCGTGGTCGAAGTCTCTCCTAATTGGAATATCAAGGTGCACCTACTTCGGATACGTGAAATGGAGTACGACTGACTCTGGATACAGGTGACCATCGTGGAACCTGGACCATTCCGTACCAACTGTCCTACCACGAATATGGTCATTGAGCCCATCCATCCGGCGTATAGCGATCCCGCACTACCTTCTATGCGAACCCGAAACATGGTGTCGAACCCCAATACAACGTTTACTGGGGATGCAACCAAGTTTGCAGAGGCCATTTACAAACTAGTTTACTTGGAAGATCCTCCTTTGAGGCTACCCCTCCACCACTTTGCTGTGGAAGCCGTCAGGAGAAAAGGCCGTCATTTGATTGACACCGCGGATACATGGGCCTCTTGGTCTGAAGATATGTATGTGAAGGAGTGAAAAAGGTTGTAGACATCACCGATTTGAAGCTTGTCAATGCAAAGTGCAAAGTGCATAGTCCATTCCTTAGAATTGTGTACCGTATGAGGATCGCAAAATTATTACAACATTCCCCTCGAAAGCATCCTTTCATTTACCAAGTTTCCACAATCCATCTTTAACAGTCACAAGGCCCTCCCTCTTTGCAGCTTCCATGAAGCTCCCTAACTGTTCGATGGTTCGGTCATAACCACGGGCTAGCTTCAGCATGGCTTGTATGCGGTCCAATCCAAGCGGTCCTAGGTTAGTGAGCATGCCTTCGATGAACTATAGCAAGAATGTGAGTGAAAATACCAGAACTCCTTGAGTCAACTCACCTTCCAATATACCCTCATTTGTTCGGCCTGTTGTTGCTGTACGCTTATCACGGGAGGCAAATCTTCCCCTCCGACAGCTGGGATAACATGTCGCGAACATAACAAGTAAATACAGAGACTGGTCATACCTAATTTCGGGGGAGCGACTTCTGTACCATCTTCTGCCACAGAGAGCAGACGGAAGACATTCTCGCTATCTTCCTTGAGGAGCCGCATATCAACCCAGGTGCCAAGCGCCTTCAAGGCTGCACTGCGCGTCACCGTGCCTACGCGCTCAATGAGTTCGTCTACTGTCCACGTATCTGATAATATCCAGTCTGTGAGCTTGGACTCAAGCGAGTCACAGGATTGAACACACCCTTTTCAGAAAAAAGTTCAATGAACGCAGCCTCCAATGGCGGTACATCCGCTTCGACGGTTCGATCGTCTAGCTCGAGTTCTAATTGGATTCTACCAAGATGAGGATGCCAACGAATAACTTTGTCTGGTTTAAAGGCCGAGAACTCCTTAGCGTATTGCTCCTGCAAGCTAAGCATATCCATGGTCAACAGCGAGCGAGCGGGCAACCTTTCTCGTAACATACTCGTGGAACTGGCCAGGCATGACCATGTCACTGGCTTCCAATGCCGGCCAAAAGTGACGAGAGATGATAGTCGGATGCATGACACTCTGGGGTCAGAGATGCTTAACAGCCAAAGTAATCCTAGATCATAAATATCCTACTCACGGGTTTCTGTGACTGAACATGCTGGTCTATCCTTCGGGAATCTGTCATATCCCGAAGCATGACCTCACACACTTGTAATGCAGGTTCGCCAAACCGTATCTTCAAAATTTCGACGTTGCGCCGCTGTCATTGCAACAACAATTGACGTGTTGGAGGGCTATGCAATACTGTTTCCGGCTCACCTCTCGATCAAGATTCCCGTCTTTCAGAGCGAGCAAGCGTTGTGCCAGCAATACTTGCAGCTCTTTAATGAAGAGGTCTTTCGAGTCGTAGATGCTGACCAGTGTGCTTATTATATCGCTCGTCTTGTTCGCGCGGAAATCTTTCAGAAATCGTTAGGTCGAACCGATCATATACAATACATGCTTACCGGGTCCAGCATCAACGGGTTCTGGGGTCCACTCGGGATCTGCATAGTTCTCCGCCTCGGGTTGTTGTAGGGGATGAATGGGCTCATTGTCATCGATCAGTGAGTCGCCGCTCTCACCGTCACCAACCAAGCTGGCAACAATACATCGAATGGTATCGGGCCGCTCGCTTGATTTCCGTTGGCTTACTGACAGCACGGACGCAATCACGAACGCACCGAAGATATCGTCGTATGGGATCTGCCACCTTAAATAAGAGCACTCCGGGAGGATCTACGATTCGCAAACATTTGATCGTTGACACGTATTGCAGTAGAATGTCTTTCGTATCTGCACCAGGGTGGAGAAGTCGCATTCGATTTCTAAGGAAAGTGTGGGCGAGCAGTAAAAGCATTCGATCCAAGCTACCCACGCTCGTCTGAGAGACTGCACTAATTCTGCACGCTGGTCTACGCGTTGCAGGCACTCCTAAAACATAAAGTAATCACAAGAAAAACCGAAGATTGAGAAGAATCAACTAACTTTCAAGTCATGAAGCGCTGGTACAGAATCTGGGAAATCCACGATGATATCAAATATTTCCTTGGTACTGTTGCGAACCCTCAGATAGCGCTACGGGGAACAGTTGCTAATATCCGTACCGCAGATCGCAAAGCGTTTTGTGCATGTGAAAGTCAAACCTGGATCCAACACCTTGCATCATGGTTTTGGCTTCCTCAGCTGTGCCAAGTTAGCTGGAGAATAATAACCTCGAAAATTCATAATACCGTTCGTTGCGCCCCTCGCAAAGGGCCAAATCATCCATGGCACTATTTTTTCGAGCATCCACGAACGCAGTTTGGGAAGCATGGGTTCAGACCATGCCCCTGCACACGTTTCATGTACGTGAGATTCGACATATTCGTACCCCACACTGGTTATGAGCGTTTCGTAGCGTTCAATTAAGCTCAATGTGTCAAAGGCGAGCCACAGTGCGCTATCACGTTGATCAGAGGATTGGGACACGGTGCCAAGAAGCGTTGCAGCAACGAGCGACTTGATGCCCTTTGCGAATGACGCAGGAAGGATGGAAAATAAGTGTGTTTGGAAGGCCAAGGTGTAGGCAGAGATAATAGTTTGTCCCAACCTGTTGAAGATTTCATTATAGACCGGGGAAAGATAACGAAGGGAAGGCTTGCTCTGCTGGTGGTTTCCACGCATTGTACCACTCAACCAGGCGAAAGATGAGGGCTCGTACCATTTCAGGATCAGAGTTTCCCTGATACAGCATGAAAACTCCGCGCAGCACCTGCAGAGATTGCTTACTGAGTAAAGATTCATGTGGGACTCTACTTCACGCGCGATCAAGTGCTGGCTTTTATGCAAGTCCTCTAGGATGATATGTAGGATCATAAGCAGCGTATCTATCCGGCACCTTACCGAGAAAGATTTCCATCATGACAGGCAAACGCCTGCACTTGTTGATGGTGTCAAAAGCCATCCTGACCCGGCGCATAGTCTGGTAACCTAAGTAAAGTCAAAAGAGACCACGGCCATGATACCTTTGCGCACCGTATTGGCGCCTCGACTTGAGGTCGTTCAAGTCGCAAGGTTTCAAGAATTCAGTTGCCAAGGTCCATGCCTATGAGCGTTGACTCAGTTCCACTGCGTGACGCCCCCGAGAACACGCACATCGCTGAAGGCCATGAGACCCGATATTCCTGGTTCCGAGCGGTTGAGACGCGCGAATGAGTCCTGCCATTTTGCAGCTACTTGCGCTCGGACGGCGCTAGACACCATCACGGCGAGCTCGCTGTGCAGTAATTTGACAGAACAAGTATAATATTCAAGATGGTGGCGCGTGTGTGGTCACCAGATCCACCGAGGGCGCCACTCATCCTACATATGCGCTGATCGGCTCAACTGCAGTACTGCTCGGTTGCCTGGCAGGTCACCATCACTGCTAAGATTGTTGAATGGACGCCGTGCCATTCATCCCAACGCAAGACGATGTTCCGGCATCTCCAACCTCTGACGTAGGTCATCGCAACCAAATCCTCACCATCAAGGAAGCGTTTTCGTCGTCGTAGCTCGAGCTCCATCACCATGGATCAGCCTCTCCCTTCGCAGGCTACTTCTTGTCCGGATAGCAGCAGCGAGCCACGCAGAGATGATAAGTACTACTTCTGTGATGGAAGCTGCATATTACAGGTCGGGAACACCCTTTTCAATGTGAGGAGATCCGCTGTTCCGTGCAGGCCAAGTGCTCAGTAGCCGTTCTTGCAGGTGCATCGAAGTATCCTGTCTCAAGATTCGTCCTCATTCTTCACACTCTTCACCCTTCCTCAAGGTGACATTCCTGAAGAGGGGACTTCCGACTGAGAGACCGATCATCCTCCAGGGTGACACCCCAGACGAATTCCGCAACTTCTTGTGGTCCCTTTATGCCTTGTGAGACACGCTTCCCCGCCTTTCGCAGTCCCTTACCCTTTGACAGGCCACACGAAATTACGATGGTCCGGTCCTCCCAAATCGACCTCAACCGTCTCATAGACGTCGCAAAAGTAGCGAGCAAATACTCCTTCAGATCAACAGAGTCTTGGGCTCTTGATGCCATCCAGAAGTATATCGAAAGACAACCATCCCCCTTATTCAACCCCATTTCTCCGAGCACTTCCTTCTCGTTCAACTCAACGGTATTTGCACCACCCGACAGCAAGGCCCAAATATCGCGTCTCCTCCGGTTAGCTGAAACATGCGGTCATCAGAAACTTCTCGAAACGATGGTGTCTCTACTTCGTCAGCACATGTCGACGTCCTTGCACTATTCCTATCTGGCTATGACCCTAGCCGATGAACTTGACTTGCGGGAGCTCCGCGGCCTGGCATACATGGAAGTTTTGCAGCGTGCTGTCTTTATCTCTGTTCACGGAGACGGCAGGGCTGAGGCGGAGGGGGAAATACAAGAGACTCCCGATGGGCTCGAACGCCTCGTCGTCAGTCCCATACAGCAGCATCGTCTTCTGTCTGGACATTATCGTCTTTGCAGGGTATGGGAAAAGCTGCGAGCCGTACCCCTACCGTTTGACCACTCGTCATCGTGCGGAAGCAACTGGACTCAGCACTCCTGCATGCAAAACTGGATAGACTTTTGGAAAGAGAAGACAAGGGCAGACGGGCTCCTTTCTCTCGACAGCGCAAATGTCCTTGGGAGATTGACATTCATCTTGAAGGAGTTTGAGAAGTGGGGATCAGTCTCTTACATGCATCCAGACTGCAAAGTTGTGGCGAAGCGTACTATCCACGAGAAGATCAGGAGCATTCAGGAGTCGTTGCCCGATTATTTTTATGAAGGAGGAGAATATTTGTAACAAATTGCCTATGTTGTTGTTCTTTCGCTTGTTATTATCTTCCTTTACATAGTGTAGTAGTTCCTCCTGATAGATTAAACCCTTTGCTTCCCCTTCATTGCGACTTCGTGGCTCAGAGTCATGTCAAAGTCATCGTGTTTTTTGTTCCATGGTCCATCGGAAACCTGAGGATTGGTGCCATGCGTGGGCATCATGCTACGCATCAACGCATCAATGTCGTTGTCCGAAGGTCCTTCTAATCCGACTTTAGAGCCGCTCATGATCAAGTGCTGGAAAACGGCATCCTCTTCCAACTGCCGGACCCGCGACCGCAGGCCAGTTAGAATGTTCTGAACCAGTACTGCGAAGAGAAAGCGTTGAGATTAGTCTACATTCATAAACAACCAACTGACATTTCTCCTCTGGAGAGTCTGGAGGGGGCCGCGGGTCTATTAACACTGGGCGTAACTTTTCTTCTTCCTCGATCTTTAGGTCGTCGAGGTGCAATTTAGCCAACCATGTCTGTTCAAACTCCTCCTTGCTCAACTCTACGTCTGACTGAGACGTCTGATCTGGCTCATAAACTGTCCCTACAGAACTAGCCGGCGACGGAGGTCGGATGACAGGGGGTGCATATGCCGGATCGCTCGCGTGGATGAGCTGAGCGTGATTTGGCATGGCTGCAAAACAACACGACCACAAAACGCGGTGTGACGTGTGTGACTTCGTTGATTGGCGCGTTTGTGACATGTCACGCGTCCATTAGTCAGAAACACGCCACTTAAAAATCTCGCGTTCGCGTGCCCCACTCCCTCCTTAGTACTCTCATACTGTAGTCTCATCGGCATGGCGTACGTTTTCAAGAGAGGTCAGTATCCGTTCTTTCTAAGATCTCAACGACTGTCTTATCTTCTATCCAGATGGGTAAGGATCTTTTTCTGGACGCGTCTCATGCGTGTTCATGGCCATCGATATCACAGGCGGAAGGAGAAAGTGCAGTTCGACAAGGTACTCCATGTCTAGTCACTTGCAATTACATCATCTCACTCGCGTAGATTACTGCTAGAATCAACAAGCTTTGTTACGGGCTTGACTCCGATTATGTCGATCCCATCGAGTAAGTTCTCTTCCCACACACAGAGGATGAGCTTGACGTCCCGTAGGGTTGCTAAGAAAGTGATCGCTGGCGTATATCACGGCGTCACCACCGTCGAGTTAGATGTACGCCATTCTTGTCGACATCTTACAGCAGTCTCACAACTTTACTCCCTCAGAACCTTGCTGCTGAAACCGCAGCCTGTCTAACGACGAAACACCCTGATTATGCCGTGCTTGCCGCGCGTATCGCCATTTCTAATCTCCATAAGGAGACAAAAAAGAATTTCTCTGCAGTGATGAAAGATCTCTATGAATACGGTCAGTTAAACCGTGGTGGTATTACGCTATTGTTAATCTCGGTGCAGTAAACCCAAAAACTAACAGTCCAGCCGGTTTGATATCGGACACGACATACGGTGTTATTAAACAACATGCCAATCTTCTTGATTCAGCCATCATCTATGACCGCGACTTCAACTACAACTAGTAAGTTAGATGTAGTCAGGTGCGAGCAAGTACTGATGTCTGTAGCTTCGGTTTCAAGACCCTCGAGAGGTCATATCTCCTTCGCCTAAATGGTCGTGTTGCCGAGCGACCACAGCACATGATCATGCGTGTTGCAGTTGGGATTCATGGCGAAGATATCGAACGCGTTCTTGAGACTTACAACTTGATGTCCGAGCGTTACTTTACCCACGCATCTCCTACACTTTTTAACGCAGGCACCCCTCGCCCACAGCTCAGTTCATGCTTCCTTGTCTGTATGAAAGAGGACTCCATCGAAGGTATATATGACACTCTGAAGAACTGTGCCATGATTAGCAAGACTGCTGGTGGTATCGGATTGAGCATTAATTGTATTCGAGCAACTGGGTAAGAGGAAATGAGGTCGTGCTTCGTATGCTGGCTAATCCTTTGCTATCCACCCAGGACCTACATTGCTGGCACTAATGGCTACTCGAATGGCATCGTTCCAATGCTACGTGCCTATGATGCCACGGCACGCTATGTTGACCAGGGAGGTAACAAGCGCCCGGGTGCTTTTGCCATATACCTTGAACCATGGCACAACGATGTATTTGATTTTATCGATCTGCGAAAGAACCATGGAAAGGAGGAAGCCCGTGCTCGAGATCTCTTCTATGCTCTCTGGATTCCTGATCTATTGTGCGTTACTCGATCCGGTTCTTTTGCAATCCTCTGACACAACGCCAGCATGAAGCGCGTGGAGGCTAACGGAGATTGGTCATTGTTCTGTCCTCATGAGGCACCAGGCCTACATGAGTGCTGGGGCGAAGAGTTCGAGGCATTATATGAGAAGTACGAAAGGGAGGGTCGCGCGCGACGTGCCATTCCTGCACAGAAGTTGTGGTATGCAATCTTAGAAGCGCAAGTTGAAACAGGCGGTCCTTTCATGGTCTATAAGGACGCCGCCAACAGTATGTCATTATACCAGACTTTCCATCACCGGCTGACCTTGCCTAGGAAAATCCAACCAGAAAAACCTTGGAACCATCAAGTCGTCCAATCTCTGCACTGAAATCATCGAATACTCTTCACCGGACGAGATCGCTGTCTGCAACCTCGCATCTCTAGCACTGCCAACATTCATTTCGAGTGGTAAATACGATTTCCAAAAGCTTCACGACGTGACCAAGGTCGTCACCCGTAATCTCAACCGTATCATTGACACCAACTACTATCCCGTTCCCGAGGCTCGTAGATCTAACATGCGACACCGTCCGATTGGTATTGGTGTGCAGGGTCTTGCGGATGCTTTCATGATCCTGCGCCTGCCGTTTGACTCGCCTGAAGCGAGGGAACTTAACCTCCAGATCTTCGAGACGATCTATCACGGTGCTCTTGAGGCAAGCTGTGAATTGTCCGTCCAGGAGGGCACGTACGAGACGTACCGTGGCAGTCCTGCAGACCAAGGAATTCTTCAGTTCGATATGTGGGGTGTTGCGCCCACCGACCTTTGGGACTGGTCATCCCTCAAGGAGAAGATTGCTCAGTGTGGATTGAGGAATTCTCTGCTCCTTGCACCCATGCCTACTGCCTCGACCAGTCAGATTCTTGGCTTTAATGAATGCTTCGAGCCCTACACAAGGTAAGCAAGCGAATTATCTGGTGGTAGGTTAGAGTTGATGATTCGCTTTCAGCAACATTTACACTCGTCGCGTGTTGGCTGGTGAATTCCAGGTTGTCTGCCCGTGGCTTTTGAGGGACCTCGTTGAACGTGGTTTATGGAACGATGAGATGAAGAACATGATCATTGCCCACAACGGTTCCGTAGCCAACATCCCTACTATCCCTGACGACATCAAGGCCATTTACAAAACTGTCTGGGAAATCAGCCAGAAGAAAATCATCGATATGGCGGCTGACAGAGGCGCATTCATCTGCCAGAGTCAGAGTCTCAACATCCACTTGCAGGCACCCACGATGGGCCAGTTGACGAGCATGCACTTCTATGGCTGGAAAAAGGGTCTTAAGACTGGCATGTACTACCTCCGCACCCGCCCTGCTGCGCAAGCGATCCAGTTTACTGTCGACCAAAGTATTTTGAAGGTCGCAAGGACTCAAGATGCTGACAGCAGGAGCCGATCTGCTGCCGCGTCTTCTACACCTGCACCTGTTCGTCCCTCAGCTCTCGCACCAGTGCAGCCACCCGCCGCAGCGCCGTCTTCGAGTGAGAATGGCGCCGCGTCGAGCTCATCGTCTACTGCGCCTTCCGCGTCTAGTTCGAATAGCAACGGGGAGGTTGACCCGGAATATGCTGCAGCTCTGCAGCGTCAGAAGGATCGTGAGCTTGCAGAGGGCCAGCTTATGTGCTCATTGGAGAACAAGGAGGCTTGCCTGATGTGCTCGGGCTGAAGGATCTGTGAAACAACGCCTTCAAAATGTCTGTTATGTATATGCTCCATTTTTTGTGTTGTAGCTGTCTCATGATACCAGCGCGTCCCTGTCTGTCCCCATGCCTTGTAGTACCATGCATCTGTTGTTGTATGTCCACAGAATGAATTGAATCATAATATTTACCTACATGGTCTCCAGAACCAGTAGTTGTCGAGCTAGGTGATCAAGGTATACAGAAACTGTTTGGGAAGGTATACAGAGGCCTGCGGTCAATTAATGGCACACCTGGAATACATACCATCCCTACAACCATCTCCGAGGGAGTAGCATACTTGATACGTCTACAGTGTCTTGACGAAGAAGAAAATACATACATACAAAATAGCGGTGGTCGGAACTGTCTATATCAGAGACGGTGGATCGTAAGAATGGCGATACGACCGTCTTGAGCGATGGCGTGATTTATGCCTGGGCAGACGGATGAGAGATCTGCTAAACATCACAGCAACACAGGTGGCGCTGACCTCTGTAACCGGGCTCAAGCAAGCCTTCACGCCATTCAACGTCGGCCCGCCACCATATGTTACCCCAGTAGCTGCCAGTGATAGCGTTCTCTACCAACATATCACGACCGATGTTGTACCCGTCTGGAACGATCATATGGTTTTTGGTAGAGTCCTAGGAACTGGAAGGTAAATAAGGATGTAACGGAAGGAAGTTATGCCAAGAGAGACCTTCTCCTTTGATACGCTGCCCGAAGAAAAAAGAAATGACATGAAAATCACGAGAAACGTGGACAATTGATGTAGAAGCTTACGCGAGGAACCATGCGCCAGTGTTCGCCAACGTCCCGTTCTGCTTCCAAGCACGGAAATGGTTTCCCCCTTAAAAGCGGCCCCTTATACGGGACATAACATGGATGCCAGGATAGGAGCTCACCAATCAGGCTCTCCCAACAGGTACCCCATCTCGGGAAGTAATGTTGGCGGGCTAGGATATGTTCCGACTTCTTTCCATCACCATCGCCGAGGTCGGCCTTATGGACATGACCATAGTGCAAACCGAGACACTCCTCGGAGAACCCGATGGATCTTTTCCGAAGGAAAGTCAACCCGAGACGGATGATTTGGAAGTGCTAGCTAAGACATACTTATAATAGAGACGGAAGCCAGCGTCTGTAAGAACGAATGGGTCTGACTGATTCGATATAATGACGTTGAGTGGTTCGCCATATCTCGGTGTCGTGAACTACAACCAAGGACCACGTTCTCATAGCAGTATCGCAGGAGTGGAGACGGTACTCACGTCGATGAATTGTCCTCCCAAGGTCCGTGGATCAGCCCAGCCAAGTTCCTCCGCTGGCGCCTTTACGGAGGCAGGGAATACGAGTGGCCGTTGGCCCAAAGGAGTGGCCGGTGCCAGAGAAAGGAGGCTGGCAAGGCAAAGGAGGTTCTTGAGCATGGGCAGCGAGGAGGGAATCGAAGGGAATCGTGTTGGAGCGCTCCGCTCTGTGAAAAATCCCGTCAACAGCACTGCAATGTCGTGGGCCTGGCATGTCCGTCTCTTAATCAGGACCACTCGGGGTTAGATAGTGACCCGGTCACGTGCACCCCATCACTACGCGCCTGCCTGGATGAGTTTTCAATTGGGACCGTTGCAGCAACAACAAGACGGGTGGAATGTCAACGACAGACAGACTTGATGCCGCAGGTGGCTACACAGATGTTGACTTGAACGACGAACGGCGTCGTGAAGACAGCGACCGCGATGCCGAGACTGCTTCCCAGCACTCGGTGCCGCTCGACTCGGCTCACGCTTCGCCTCTCCGTGCACTCAACACACCTCTGCGTACACAAGAGTTCTTCGCTCGGAGGGACTCCCAGGGAGATTCAATTGAGATCGACTTCAACTCAGAACCAGATGACGTGAGCGATTCCAAGAGTGAGCTCGATACACATCGCAAGAGCTCTTCGGTCGCTTCCCAGACTCAGTCTGCGGCCATTCCACCGCTACAGACAAACGAAGAAAAACCTCGCCCTGCGTCCATAACCTATCCACCCACACCCTCCTCCGGTATTACCGATTCGGACTCATTCGCCTCTGCCGCTTCGTCCTATTCGAAGAAAGCAAGGCCTGAATCCATGCTGCTCCAACCCCCTGAGGGACCATTGATTCTCGGGATCGCTCTAATAGATTTCAACCATCTGGTAAGTGTACATCCGTATACGACATGTTCGTAGCCTATACTCCGCGCAGGTCGGTCCGCGAATCGAATTTAGCCAAGGCGATATCTTCGAGGACGATGAAATTGCCAAAATGCTTCCATTTCTGGCGCTTCCGGATGGTGCTCATTTGGTACATCTTTTTTGATGAGTCGAATGAATCACCATCCTTACTTCTGTGTGCAGTCGATGGAGGACTACTCGTACTTCCACCTTGTTCCGAGTGCGCCAAATCCCAGCACGATATTTGGTATATCGTGAGTCATTAGGCGTAAAGCCTGGCGAGAATTAAACCTTCATAGGTGCAACCGCCAAATAGCTACTTCTGCTCTGCTCGTCAAGGACGTTGACGTAACGCGTTCTATCGTACAAAAGGCGGTCGTCGTTTTGGCAAGCAAACCGGTATTTGGTCCAATACGGTGGGTGTTGATGCCAACCTGATACTTTTCCATCACTAACTAGAGGTAGAGATCGGCTGGGAGTTGTTACCAGGGCACTCTTTCAACAACGGTATGTTTCCACCCGTGTCCTCTATTGGTCGCACTACTTACCTGTTTCAGAGATTTCTCGGATACGAAAATTCTGATCGAGTTTGGAAATTCTTTGGAGGTGTCGTTGCGGACTCAACTTACAGAGAGCGGTCTTTACATTGGTCAGTTAGGAGTCATTCCACAGACATGTCCATACTGATGGCGCGGTAGGCACGGGTTTGTGAGTGACATTCGTATGCTCGGCGTTCTTTAGGCTGCACAGATCGGCAGGAGAGCGCTCGTTCATACCTTCCGACAAAAGACGCTCGTAATGCTGAAGGCTCTCATTCTTCAAAAGAAGGCTCGTTTTCCGCTGTTATGTGACATTAAAGTTAACATTATCCAGATCATGTTCTTCGGCCACCCAGTCGAAAGGCTTTGCACCTACCAGTATTCTTTAATTTCCCTCATACCAAGTGAGTAACACGCGAATTGTGGAAGGATAATCTAATTTTTCATAGGTCTTCTCCAGACGCTTGATGATTGTGGTTCCCCACCTCTGGCAGCCCGAGCGCCCTCGCTATCCCGTCCGAACTCACTCAAAACATCTGACCGTAAGAGTATGCTGACTTACATGGGTTTGCCATTAGATCTATTTGGGAAGGTGACCCACAGTTGCTTTTACAAAAACAACGATGTTATCACTCATTCGATTATTGTTTTATTTTTAGGATGCTTTTTTTCAACCCTATTTACCCCTTCAACAACTCGATCTTCTAAAAGATTCTCAAAGTTGGTTATGCGGAAGCACGAATACTATTGTCACACAACAAAAGGAAATCGATTTGCTCATCAACGTTTGTCCTTGGTGCATGGATTCATAATCTTTAATCATGCTCGTCTCACAGACAGAGACTGCTACTCTTGAATTCCGCAATCCCCGCGTCGAGCGGCTGGTTGCACTTACACCAGCCGACCGTAAGTGGATGGATGAAATAGTCCGGGATGTCAACGATGCTTGGGACGATGCGGAGCCCACGAAGCATACTTTGTGGTATGTTATGCGATCCTTCTCACCTGTGGTTCGACTACAGGTCGCTGATACGAAGTTCCACCTAGCTTCAAGGGGAGTGATGATTATCTTAGAGCCAAGGTATAAAATGGACTCGCTCAGGGAATGCCAAGACTGCACTACTTATGGTTTCTTAGTTTGAAGAATACGTGTCTGCAGCATTGGCTTGTGTACGATATCGGGAATTCCTTCTGAAGGGGAAAGGAAGTAATGTTATCATTGCCGGAACAGGTGAGCTTTCAGATACGAAGGCACACTATCTTGAGCAGGCTAATATGAAGGTTTTTTTTCCGGAAGGGGATGTCAATTCTTTTGAGGACTTCAACGCTGTCTGGTTGTCAGAGTTTACGAAGACCAATGCATACGAGGTATGGGATCGAGCAACAGACCCAATGTTATTCGACATCGTAGAACCACGGTTGGTCCTGGTTCCTCTTACACTGCATTTTGATGTGCTTACCTTTCATATGCAAGACATCCTTGTAACGAGAGACCATCGGTAGTGGCTGACTTGGGATTGAGGCTCTCCGAAGGTATCCAAGACCTCAAACTGGAGCAACAACTTGCTCCAACCCGTGAAGCTATCTCAAAAACATTCACCGCGAGCTCGACCAATTTCTTTAAAGCTGTCGAAGGTGTTCGCGGCCGCTTGCAACAGCGTATCGTCAGTTCGACGTCCGTAGCCTCAGACCTTTCTTCTTCAGGGTCACAAAACACCCCTGTCGAGATTTCAAAGTCCGAGGCTGACATGACGCAATTGCCAGATACGAACAAGAAAGACGCGGAGGTAAGGAGTCAGACGTCAAGGGATTCCGTCGCAAGCGTCTCTTCGAGCTCTGTGGTGCAAGCGGCAGCAGAAACAAAGGCTGTGCTGAGCTCCTGGGGGGCTGGGATACACTCACTATGGACGAATAGGTCATCGCGGTTCTCAATGGCCCGCTCGAGCGTCGTGAGCACCGCGTCGCGGGAATCAGTGGCCTCCCCCACAACCCCTTCGCCCCCTATTCCTGGTACTACGCGCGGAGCAACGTCACCGGCATCACCGGTACAGCAACGCTCAACGGTGGGCACTGTTCCAGAGTTATCAGAGCACGATGTGGGACAATCCGAGGATCATCCGGATCATGACAGTGGACTTAGCGAGCCAACAGGGTTGGCGCTATGATCGACGATTGGTGGTGTAGGGTATTTTTTGGCTTCCCCTCTGCACATGTTACACTACCACACACATATGTACTTGGCCTGCGTACCACTAACGCTGGTGTACTCTGGCGTAGGTCAAGTCCCACAACTCACATGCACTTACCGTATCATGCACTGTCGGACTTAGTTGTTTGGTTATACTACTTACCTTGTGATGTGTATGGCAAGACATGCCCGAAGACCGCACTGCATCGGCGTCGAGGCGGCCTCTTGAGGCCTGAGAGTCCATATTGCACATGGGGGAGGTACAGCTGCCTCCCTGAAAGGTCAAGCCCAAAGAATCAGTAATACAATGACATGAAAGATACGCGTACAAATGCCGCATGCAAGATTGAGTAAGAACAGAGCAGACGATAACGTAGGATAATCAGTCCATGACCAGTTTACTCGCGACACGTAAGTACTCCACATGCGGCACAGGGTTAGATTGTACACACAACCTCTGAAGTTAGAGTTCCACGATGCATAGATGAGTATACGGGCCTGCCAAGTAAGTAGCGCCACGCAGGTATGCCTGCACGAATGATCATCATTCTGTTCGGCTCTCACCATCTGATGCAGTGCGTACACCCAAGTGATAGATGCCATCATTTCGAAACAGAACTTCACTAAGCACTGCACTGGGTAGCCTCGCGGCGTCAGCGGCAGTAGCGGCCAGTTTTGGCCTTCGCCGTTAGATAAATTACATTGCAGCGGGCACGTGCAGATATGTGCCGTAAGGACTCGTAAAGTTTGCTGTAGGTGGAGAATGCAGGATTTTGCTGTGCTGCATCGGTAAAAAAAATGCAGTCGCCCCGGACTCCCGACATTGAGGCAAGCGGGAAACTTGAAAAGTCTTTTGTCTTTTCCATGAGCCGTGCGTGCCTAGTAGTATCTATTTCAGTACTGAACGGCTGTATGTGGGGCAAAATTACCATAGTACGCGGCCCGTGCTGTATGTACTACTCAGGAACTTCTCCTTCTCCTACCTCCCAAGAGCAGCAGCTGAAACGCATGTAAATTTCAGACTGTTCAGTGGCTGGTACGGGAAGCGTTGCATCTTTGAATTTCAGGGTATCTCAAGTTGATGAAGGCCACCATATCAGCGACACGGTGAGTAGGACGTAGTAGCGTAGCAAAGTTTAACTAAGTGCAAGTGGACGACCTTCTTACATAAGACAGGACCTACGATTTCAGGTTCAGGCCTTTTCTCTCTGCGTCCCCTCGGTTGAGGTCTTCGTGGCGCGCATTTGCTGAGATCGATTGGACTGTAGTCTGCGATGGCAACAACGATGGCAACCCCAATCCGCAAGAAACGCAACTTCAAAGCTCTTCAGCTCGATGTTTCCTTGTCTGCGACGCCAAAGGACCCTGAGCCAGTTCCAACGAGAGTCGCACCACCGACGAAGGGCAAGAAACGTCCCCCACCCATGACATTGAATGCCCCCAAGCTTGGGCAGGTACCTGCTGCCAATGATGCCGACGGATGTGTATTGCCGGTTGCGAATAGCCTTCCATCTGCACCGGGCACTGGTTCTGCGTCCGCACGCAGAAACAACTATCATACAACCCTCTCGAACACACTTGCAAACCTGGACATGAACGCGGAAACGCGTTTTGACCTCCGCAACGAGGATCTCAAGGACTTGACGGAACTCGGACACGGTAATGGTGGGAGCGTCAAGAAGGTCGAACACATCCCCACTAAGACCATCATGGCCAAGAAGGCGAGTATCATCCGCCGTGCCACCGTCTCTGCTGACATTTGCTGTTTGGTATATCACTAGATCGTCCTTATTGACGCGAAACCATCCGTGCGCAAGCAAATCCTCCGTGAACTTCACATTATGCATGACTGCAACTCTCCATACATCATCTCGTTTTACGGCGCGTTCCTGTCCGACCCCAACATATGTATTTGCATGGAGTATATGGATAAAGGTTCCCTTGATGGAATCTACAAACGAATCGGGGCAATCGACTTGGATGTGGTTGGCAAAGTTGCATTGGCCGTGTTGGAGGGGTTAACCTACCTTTACGACGTTCACCGCATTATACACCGGGGTGCGTATCATCTTTTGCACCAATCCTGCTTCTCTTTGACGGGATATCAATCTAGATATCAAGCCTTCAAACATCTTGTGCAATTCGCAGGGCCAAATCAAGATCTGTGATTTTGGCGTTTCTGGAGAGCTCATCAATTCTATAGCAGATACGTTTGTGGGCACATCAACGTATATGAGTGTGCGCACCTCGTCACTTCATCTTCATTTTATCTCCTCACGTCTACACAGCCCGAGCGTATACAAGGCGCTCAATATACTGTCAAATCCGATGTCTGGTCACTGGGCATTTCTCTAATAGAGCTTGCATTGGGCCGTTTCCCCTTCTCCGAATCGGATCCAGACGACTCTGATTTGTCAGACTTGGAGGGAACGCTGTCACCGAACACGATTGGCATACCCATGAAGAAAGACAGAGATCAGACTGCGAAGAAGGACAAAAGGAAGAGCAAAGGTGTCAGCCTACAAGGTGGTGGCATGATGATGAGCATCCTCGAGTTGCTTCAGCATATCGTCAACGAACCTGCTCCTCGATTGACTCCTGAAGGGCGGTTCCCGAAGGAAGCGGAAGACTTTGTGGACAGTTGTCTATTGAAAGATCCCGACGCACGAAAAACACCGAAAGATCTTCTGGTATGTGACCATATATGTTCCCTACCACACCAACTGATATTTTGAAAGAAACATGCCTGGATAGAACAGGCACGGGCGTCGACCTTTGACTTGGAAGCTTGGGCAAGCACGTTCTGAGCCGGCCTCCCTATCTGTTGTACGGTCCCTTATTGACATCCATCTTCGATTACAGTAATTGATTCCCCATGTCACTTATTATTTGGTACTTGTCGCTGTTGCACGTCTTCATCCCATCCTGTCAGCCTTTTGTATTATAATGAGACCATGGAAACCTGGGTACAAACTCGCTGGTTGACGCCTTCCAAGCTTCCTGCTTGTTCTTGTGGCAGACGTCTACCGTGGACATTTGGAGGACACAACCAAGCCACTTGACACAAGCGTCGCTGCAAGTAAGTCATCTCCGCAAAACAAGACAGCTGAAGTCGTAGATTTGGCAGAAGTAGAAAAATAAGAATGAAACAATACAACTAAAGATAGACCCGTCGGTGTTCTTTTGGACATGGTTAGTGAAACATATGTCAAGCACACAGATTAAAGGATACCACCCACCTCAACCGCCTATCAAAGAGCCTCATGAGCTATAGCAGCACCAATACTCGTACGCCGTCTGGCCATTGATCGTGCAAGGTCTACGAGTCTCGAATTGTGGCGCGTCAGAGGGACATAGCTCCCCACAACCATTCCAAAACCCATCGCACCACACAGTTTTGGGCACTAATAGGTTACCTGCACTGCGCTCCACCGGCGCCGCTGCACTGTTCGTTATTACGGGGACTGCCAGAAGCGTTGCGGCGAGGGTTATCAGCGTGCGCAGCAGGGTCGCTTTCATCCTGAGTTTCATGCACGGGATCGTCCTGCTTGTCAGACTGCTCCTCTGGCACGGTCATATATTAGTATGCAATGATCTCACCTTTAAGCCTGCCAGGGATTTTGTGGGACCCCCAATGCTGTCAAGGCTGTTAATAAGTGACGTGTAGGAGACTAGGCTAACCAATGCGAGCGTCGCTAGGCGTTACCATGAGGGCGTACGGGGCTTATAAAACAAAGCATGCCATTTAAATTTGCCTAGCATGTGAAGATGGTCCCGCTAGTACGGATCTGGAGGTGGTTCTGTTGTCAATTCGTAAAGGAAGGATGAAGGGAAGCGACTTCTGAACGCCTTTTGAGATAACCCCTACCCTCACACTCCACCACACGTTGTGCCGGTGCGGAGGTGAGCTCATACCTCCAGCTCCAGCTCACCTGATTCGCGACCGTTACTATTTACAAGGTACTAACTCTGTATGTACATATGTAACCTAGTTCATCTGATCTCAGCATATTGCTCCGCGGCACCTAATCAGATATCGAATGCGGCGTCCTGTGTGTACTCATTCATGACCGATGATCACCCAATCATCAGGGAGACAGGGAATGGTGGAATCACGGTCACGACCAGTCAGCAACAGGTTTAAACCATGTATTCGCTTACTGATGATGGACGGCTCAAAAAACTCAGATGTGCATGCATTTACATCAGGATCTCCAATGACAAGCATATTTAATGTACAAATGTAAAACAGAACATAATCTTGCATAGTGAAGACTGTAAGGACGTAATAGAATTCGTGCAGATGAAAATAATCGTGCTCTACGTCGCGGTATTCAAACGTAGGTTTCGTCGTGATTGTGTGTGGCGCGTGGTTTGTACTTGAGTGGCGCATGGTCCATGCGCAATTACACAGTATGATGAAACATGGGTCGTTGGTGTTGTGGGATTATTCGGCCCTTGCCTAAATTGATGCTGGAGAACGATAACGATCAACTTCTCCCATGAAAACTGACCCAGGGAACCCACCTCCGTCTTTCGTGCCATTTGCCGCCGTGGTCTTGCCAAAGCCAGGGAATGATTTCGAGCAGCCACCAGGCCTTGGTGATCCGAAGTTGGTGAAACGAGGGTGCGATGGTATCCTTGAACTCTGGATCGGCCTCACCCGCCGGGAGAGACGGTCCCAGAGAATTGTCAGAGGTGGACGTCACGTCTTCCACGTCACCTTGTTTAACAAGCAGAGGCAACAGGTCCCGCCCCATTCTTTTCTACTTTCCCGGGCACAAGGCGAGGTGTGATACCGAGTTCTTTGAGACCCTCATCTTCAAACAGGACGCCACATTCGGAAGCAATGACTTGTTCGACCATCCATCGTAACGTAATCTAGGCTAGAGAGACTGTCACCTCATCCTCTACATTCCCACCCCCGATATCTGAGCACGCGATCATCAGTGATGTCAGCATTCGGATTCTCAGGCTTACGCACCGCAATGACACCCTGCGAACCAAACCTCTAGGACGTCCGTTTCTGATGGCGCAGGTTGCTCTGGGCCTGGTTCAGGTATCTCATTTTCCGCTGGGTTATTGCCTTCGGAGGAAGTACGATGTTTGCCGCGCAGGAGGTTGAACACTCGAGTGACTCCCAATGTAGCCTTTTGAGCTAAACTGGGCCTCTGATTCTTCAAGGATGGCTGATAGAGATTGGGTCTGAACTTGGCACGATGCTTTAGACTACATTAAGCCCAGTATTCGGAGGGCGATAGTGAGGAACCCTACCTCGTCAAGTGAGAGAGCGTGTCTGAAGGTAGTGGCGAAACGTGTTTGAATCCGTGAATGGCAGGCTTCGGCTCATAAGGATTCCAGTGCTCTGTACCGTGTCCCTGAGGAAAGGGGTTGATTCAGACGAGCGCAGATCCGATGTACAACGGCTCATACCACACGCCAACGAATTCGACATCGACTTCCTGGCAAAACTCCTCCTTGAATTTCTTGGCCAATGCAATGCCCTTCTTATCTTCTCGTTTGTAGTAATTGTACACAAACTTAACGGGTTGCAGGTTATCACGTGGGAGTAATCCAACCTTTCAGGGTAACGTGAATCAGAAACGAGCTACGATGCATTCGACTTGCATGCTTACTTTGGCTAACATCCCGCCGAGTGCTCGGGCCGTATAGGCACCGCGAGAAAACCCTGCGTAGGTCATGGTTTAACGGCACAGGGGTTGTTTTTGGAAGAGATCATCCTCACCGAACAAACATATCTTGTCCCCCGTGCGATAATTAGCCATCAAGAACTTGTATCCATCCATGACATGCCCGTCGAGATACCTGAGCACTCTGGTGCGTTTAACATTCATGATAATCACTATGTACACGTACCACGCAATGGCTTCGTCCATGATTTTTGCCCACCAGGAAATCAGCGGGGAAACGACCCCAGGCTCAAAGTAAGTTCCTATCCCCGGCTGCGAAGTGGAAAAGTGGAAATTGGACTCCTGCACCATGAGGTATAATTGCATCTTCCACTAACCTGATAGTAGCACCGCTGTTTGTCCATCGCATCCTTGCGAAGAAGACCAAATAGCTTGACCACATTCGTATTCTGGAATTCGCTCAGCAGTTGTGATCGACATACCGATCCCAGGAGAAATGGTTCACATTCGAATCAAACTGTCCTGCAGTACCGTCGAAGCATAAGATAAGCATTCGAGGCTCCGCTGCATCAGAGCATTGGTTGTCCACTTCCATGTTACCTCGCAAGTCCTGATGCCTTGGGTGTGTCTGGAGAAGTTCCCTGAATGGAACTCACCACAGTGGGGGTGAGTACACTCAAGACGGATCACGACAACGACAGAACGTGGACAGGCGTATGGGATTAAGCGATCAAGCGTATACGCTGATACAGGAGAATCAACAGAGAGAAAGAGGGAAAAGAAGAGATGACCCGTGCATACAGGCAGCACCAGTATATATCCCCCCAGGGTCCAAACAGCACAGCACAGCAGGAGGAATCGGAAAACCCAGACGAAGGCGAGATAGCGGTGTGTTAGTGATAAGCACACACTTACACTGAACAACCTCGATCCTGGTGATAAGCGATGTGAGGGAAATGGGGGGTATACGGGTGTCGTGTCTATCTTCCCAGCACTCTTTTGTAGTGGAGTCATCATATGAACGTGGCAGACCGACACTCACCACCTGCAAGGCTTGGAGTCCTTCACCGCCTGCAAAAATGTCCACATGGCTAAGGCTGTGGCGTAAAATTCTGTCCTGTTCGGAAAAAAGTCAAAGACCATGATAGATGTCAGAATCTGCGGATCTGAGCAATCATATATGGCATAGCTCTCCAGCAGTGTCTGGGGTGGAGAAACGCCGCTCCAAACACAAATGTATCTGCCGTCGAGCGCTTGCTTTGATGTAAGTCTGCTCAGCTAGCGTGTTGAAGATGCTTGCCATTTCTGGCCAACACTCAAGATCCGCCATGTACTTACTCAGAGGATTGTACTGTCGCCAAGCATTGCACTACGAAGAAAGACAAAGATCAGACCGCGAAAAAGGACAAAAGGAAGAGCAAAGGTGTCAGCCTACAAGGTGGTGGCATGATGATGAGCATCCTCGAGTTGCTTCAGCATATCGTCAACGAACCCGCTCCTCGATTGACTCCTGAGGGGCGGTTCCCGAAGGAAGCGGAAGACTTTGTTGACAATCGTCTATTGGAAGATCCCGACGCACGGAAAACACCGAAAGATCTTCTGTCACGGAACAGCTTTTGAGATAACCCCACCCTCATAAGTACTTCACCACACGTTATACCGGTGCCGAGTTGAGCTCATACCTCCAGCTCACCTGATTCGCGACCGCTACTGTTTACAAAGGTACTTACTACAGTCTGTGAGTAAATATGTAACCTAGTTCATGTGATCTCAGCATATTGCTCTGCGGCGCCTAATATGAGATATCTAGTGCGGCGTCCTGTGTGCACTCGTTCATGATCATGGACGGCTCAAAACGCTTAGATGTGAATGCATTTACATCAGGATCCCCAATGACAAGTACATTTAATGTACAGATGTAAAACAGAGCATAGTCTTGATACTCCAACAGTGAAGACTCCAAGAACGTAACAGAATTCGTACAGATGAAAAATAATCGTGCTTTACGTCGCGGTATTCAAACGTAGATTTCGTCGTTGTATATAGCGCGTGGTTTGTATTTGAGCGGCACGTAGTCCGTGCGCAACTTCACGGTATGATGAAACAAGGGTCGTTGGTATGGGATTATTCGGCCCTTGCCAAAATGGATACTGGAGAACGGTAACGATCAACTCTTCTCATGAAAACTGACCCAGGGAACCCACCTCCATCTCTCGTGCCATCTGCCGCTGTCGTCTTGCCAAGAGAAAGGCAAAGGAATGATTTCAAGCAGCCACCAGGCCTTGGTGATCTGCAATTCGTCAAACAAGGGTGCGATGGCATCCTTGAACTCTGGATCAGCCACACTCGTTGAGGGAGATGGTCCCACAAGACTGTCAGAGGAGGACGTCACGTCTTTCACGTCACTTTGTTTGACAGCGGACGCAATAGGTTCCGCCCCATTCTTTCCTGCTTTCCCGGGCATAGGGCGAGGTGGGATACCAAGCTCTTGGAGACCCTCATCTTCAAACAGGACACCACAGTCGGAAGCAATGACTTGTTCGACCATCCATCGTAACGTAATTTGGGCTAAAGAGACTTTTACATCATCCTCTACGTTCCCACCCCCGATATCTGAGCATGCTGGCATCAGTGACATCAGCATTCGGATTCCCAGGATTACAAACCGCTATGACACCCTGCGAACCAAACCTCTAGGACGTCCGTTTCTGGCAGCGCAGGCCGCTCTGGGCCTGGTTCAGATGTCCCGTTTTCCGCTGGGTTATCGCCTTCAGAGGACACATGATGTTTGCCACGCAGGAGGTTAAACACTCGAGTAACTCCCGATGTAGCCTTTTGAGCTAAACTGGGTTTCTGGTTCTTCATGGGTCGGTGATAGAGATTGGGTCTGAACTTGGCACGATGCTTTAGACTACATTAAGCCCAGTATTCGGAGGGCGATAGTGAGGAACCCTACCTCGTCAAGTGAGAGAGCGTGTCTGAAGGTAGTGGCGAACGTGTTTGAATCCGTGAATGGCAGGCTTCGGCTCATAAGGATTCCAGTGCTCTGTACCGTGTCCCTGAGGAAAGGGGTTGATTCAGACGAGCGCAGATCCGATGTGCAACGGCTCATACCACACGCCAACGAATTCGACATCGACTTCCTGGCAAAACTCCTCCTTGAATTTCTTGGCCAATGCAATGCCCTTCTTATCTTCTCGTTTGTAGTAATTGTACGCAAACGTAACGGATTGCAGGTTGTCACGTGGGAGTAATCCAACCTTTCAGGTCAACGTGAATTAGAAGCGAGCTACGATGCATTCGACTTGCATGCTTACTTTGGCCAACATCCCAGCGAGTGCTCGGGCCGTATAGGCACCACGAGAGAATCCTGCCGTAGGTCATGGTTTAACCACCGTCCAGGGGTTGTTTTCGGGAGAGATCATCCTCACCGAACAAACATATCTTGTCCCCCGTGCGATAATTAGCCATCAAGAACTTGTATCCATCCATGACATGCCCGTCGAGATACCTGAGCAGTCTGGTGCGTTTAACATTCATGATGATCACTATATACACGTACCACGCAATGGCTTCGTCCATGATTTTTGCCCACCAGGAAACCAGTGGGGAAACGACCCCAGGCTCAAAGTAAGTTCCTATCCCTGGCTGCGCAGTGGAAAAGTGGAAATTGGACTCCTGCACCATGAGGTATAATTGCATCTTCCACTAACCTGATAGTAGCACCGCTGTTTGTCCATCGCATCCTTGCGAAGAAGACCAAATAGCTTGACCACATTCGTATTCTGGCGTTCGCTTAGCAGCTGTGATCGAAATACCAATCCCAGGAGAGAGGGCTCACATTCGAATCAAACTGTCCTGCAGTACCGTCGAAGCATAAGATAAGCATTCGAGGCTCCGCTGCATCAGAGCATTGGTTGTCCACTTCCATGTTACCTCGCAAGTCCTGATGCCTTTGGAGTGTCTGGCTAAGTTCCCTGAATAACCTCGATCCTGGTGATAAGCGATATCGGGGAAATGGGGGGTATACGGGTATACGGGTGTCATGTCTATCTTCCCAGCACTCTTTTGTAGTGTAGCCACCACAGGAACGTGGCAGACCAACAGTTACCACCCTGCAAGGCTTGCAGTCCTTCACCCCCTGCCAAAATGTCCACATGGCTAAGGCTGTGGCGTAAAATTCTGTCCTGTCGGGAAAAAGTCAAAGATCATGGTAGATGTGAGAGTCTGCAGATCTGAGCAATTATATATGGCATAGCTCTCCAGTGTCTGGGGTGTAGAAACGCCGGTCCAAACACAAATGTGTCTGCCGTCGAGCGCTTGCTTTGATGTAAGTCTGCTCAACTAGTGTGTTGAAGACACTTGCCATTTCTGGCCAGCACTCAAGATCCGCCATGTACTTACGAGGACTGTACTGTTGCCAAGCATTGCAAACACTGGTAGTCTGCCTGAGCCAAGACCTGCCGGGGCTGATGGGTTCTTATAACAAGGATACAAATCTGCAAGGACTGTGATGGTGAAGCCACATATATTTAGTAAAATTTACATAAGTTTCAAGAGGACGAAGCCCAGAAACCGAACATTCAAGATATGGGAATGCCAACCTTCTGGTTGACCAATTGCAGCTCCTCGACCAGCGTCCGATGACGGTAAGCAAGGCGAGTGTTAGGAACGTTCGTCTAGTTGGCAGGGCGTGAGTATTTTCATATCAGGCACGTGCATCAAATTTAAATAGTAGATGAAGAACTGTACCTTGTGAATGTCGTTTCCAGCAGCTCCAGGAAGGTACCATTCCTGGCCAAGCCAGTGGCGCTTAACTTCCATTTCGAAACCGCTTTGTATGACGGAGTTGCGGGCCAATTCGGCTAAGGAACTTTGTGGGAGCTTGTAAATCTGTTTGACAGGAATTGATTGAGTTATTCCGCAGCATTCTCAGATCTGAAACTTACATGGGCTGCGACACTGTACTCCTCGAGCAGCGGTTCCTGAAAACGCAATTACATGCATTCTAGGTATCCGCACTAAGGGTGCGCCTACCTTAGTGAAATGGAACTGCAAAGGATCATCCGTACTCAGACTGACGTTGAGTCCCACCTTGAAGAAGTCAGGGAGAGGGTTGCGTTCGTAAGTCAAAAACAGGGCATTATTGCTGAGAGGGCTCATCGCCAGGCCGATCTGCCTGAGGTAAAAAAGATATTGTAGTGCGGGGACCTTCCGGAGAAGAATTCCATGAGAGATCGAATGGGATGTAAGGAAGGCGGCCGTAAGGTGGTCTGTGTCCCCGGCCTCCCCAGCATGCGGCCGGAACACGAAGGTGTCTCTTTGAAACTTAGACTATTTCACTCGTTGGAGTTGCGGAGGGACACTTACTAAGCCCGCGCGCCTGCCGCCAGTGATTGAGGCTAGCCATGTTGGCATACATATAATAGATCCTGGATGCCCGTTGATGACGACGTTCAGGGGGCTAGGATTAAGCTTCACACGCACCAATACGAGAACGGAGGGTTCTGGTCCAAGTCCCAAAGACGGGGATATGGAAACTTACGATGAATTCGGCGTTCGGCCTTTGATTCGTCATCCACGCTATCAAAGCCGACTACTCGTTGAAGGAATACATGGAGTTCCGGGTGGGAAGTTGGGTCTTTCGTCACCTCGAACAAAGGCTTGAACACATCTGTCAGGGACATGAGGCAGGAACCCAAAAACAGTAAGCAGACAGCCCACTAATGACGACGTCCTCGAATGTTTTCACAGAGCCACTTTGTTTGTAGACATGATACAGTCTCGGCACTTGGATGAGCCAACGAACGTTGTGGGAGTACAGCTTGTTGTTCACTACCCATCTCGCAACCTTGTCCCACTCGTCCTCGGATCTGCCATAAATACTAACACGCCATTCGCAGTTCTAGTTCGCGAGGAGTGAACTATCAAGCGGCGTAACCTTATCAGCGAGAACTTGCCTGATACTTGCTCTGTTCTAAATCTGTCATAACCTCTGATATCATAAGCTGATGGCCGACGTGACAAGTTAAATATAGATAAATCTCACCCTTCGTGAGTTCGGCGAAGTAGCGACCGTCAATCTTATTGTCAATCTTCAAAAATATTTCCCGCAACCGTGACTCTCCAATAGGGTTATATTTTAGATTGAACTTGTCAAACCGATGGAATGAATCTTGGTGTGCATGCATATCAAGTGTATCGATGGAAAGGTCGTATGCGCTTAAATTCAGTGACTGGAAAACTTGCTCTAAAGTTAATTCAGCGCCGTCACGGAAGATGACCACGTCCTAGTTGCACTGGTTAGAAGTGTTTGCCTCAAACTGTTAATGCTCACGTCTGGGTTGCGCTTCATCTTGGATTTGATGAACCTCAGAAGATGTTTCTGGTTCATGCAACTCGCGAGATGCACGTGGGTATCAACTTTGCGAACGTTGTAGAAATCTCTGAGGGAAAGCAATGACGTCAAAGGAGTCCACGGCGTAATACTGGTGATCGGACCTATGGGGCACACTCTGGATCACAAAGTGAATACACATTTTCGGGAAGGGAGAGATTCTCCTACTTTCATCTCTGCGAGCTCCTGAGATTCATTAAGTAGGCTGTACATCTCGAATTGACTTGCAAGGTATTTTAGCCTGCGGTACGCAATGCTTTTGGCAGGACCATCGGAGATGACTGAGAGCACGAAATCAAGGTCAACGAAGTACTCGCGAATGGTTGGAATATCAAAGATCGGGGTTTTCTCTGCTACATGAGGCGGGTTCAATCATGTACGAAACGACATGTACGCCGCAACGAACCTCCATCTTCAGGATATACCTGGTATACGCCCTTGTCGTCTAGTTTAAATGTCCATTCATGGGGACCTGAGAGGTCACACTTATCAAACTCGAAATCTTCCTCCTCGAAGCTGTCGAGGCCATCGGCTGTTGCCGCGGCTCGTTTCTTGGGGCTGAAGCGCCAATGCGGTGGCGGAGGTTTGGGGTAGATTTTCCAGGGTTGGTAAGTGATGTGCTCTGTTCGAGAATTTGCAAAGTTGGCATCGGGTTTAACTCCGGCGACATCGGCATATCCTTCAGTGATACCATGGAAATGGTCGTCGTGATGTCTGGGATCATCACCTAGCCTTTGGAGTGACTTGAATATGTACTTGTCGCGCAACTCCAGAGCCCTCTGGAATAGCTGGAAAACCCGTGCATACTCGGGCGTGATATGTACTGAAATGACATCTCAGCACATTAGATCAAGTAAACTCGAGGATCCGCACTCTGGGCCTGGGCCTCGGCAGTACGAGTTCTATCTTCTCCTTTGTAAAAGGGGGGTACATAGGTGGGTTCTCCAGGCTTGCGTGGTATCTGCGGCTCCGGAATAGCAGTCAGTTTGAGGCTTCCGGCGACCTGTGCACCACCATCTGTGACGACGACGGAAACGTCCGAAGCACGGCGGTGCGCCCATCTCTTTTCCTCCATCTGTCACCGGATGATAATATTACGACTGAGCGATTGGGTGAAAGGCGGCCTGCGGCAACGTACGTGTTGCAGGCTCTTCTCGTCAGTGTACCCGTAGAAGCCGTCTCTGGATTCGGGGACGTGGATGTGATCGTTGGAGAGGGGTGTGTAGGGAGGAGATTGGGACTCGTCGTCAGACTGCATGGTTGGTCTTATAACAAGCTATGGAGTGGATCTTCGAGATACAAGGTGGTAGTACGAACCGAGAAGGAGAGCCATTTCATCTCCTGAAATCGCTCACAGCAACTCCTGTCTCTAGACGCACGTGATCGTGCTAAGTCAGATTTGGTAATAATTACTTAATTTCGGATTTTACTTATCAAATAACTTGGCTCAAAAAAAATTGATCTGCTTTCGTTTACGTCGTTTTAGAGGGCAGCAAGGTTTGGGGATTTGGAGGTGAGCTTGTGGAAAACACACAGACGCAGACGACGAGCACGACGACGACCAACGATGGGCAACACGGCGTCGTCCCATGCAAACCAGTCCCGACCCTCGCCGGTGTCCGCCAGACGCATCGAATCATCCGCAGGCAGACACTCGCCATCTCCTAACCCTCACCAGCCACACCGTTCTCTGCGAACCAAGAAAAAATCCCTCGAGTTGCCAGATCTCGCACTTCTCACGTTGACGTCCGCACCGTCGGGCAACGCTTCCCCCTTATCGCAGCACCGTCGCGTCCCGAGGGCAACTTCTCCGATCCCGATCCCAATCCCCGTATCTAACAATGGCACCATGAACAATGCTGACAACACTGGCACTTCTCCCCGCGGACGACAGCCCCATGTTAGACCCAACATCCCCAGAGACTTGGATTCGGCAAACTGCTCCGCCGAACTGCTTTTTGATCAACCCCCTTCGACCCATATCCCCATCAATCATTACCATCGCCGTCCACGCGATGGTGCTTACTTCCGCGGCGCCCACCTTCGATACAACTCAACCCATTCATTCGCTTCCCGCGGTCAATCCACAGCTCATCAACCTCGCATGCAGGAGCTATACGTAGAGAGCCAGGTGCCAGTGTCACCCCAACCAGAGCAGCTGGAGGAATTTGTCCAGGAGACTGTTCACTCTACGCTCCCCCTCGTTTTGCCAAAGGCAGAAGAAGAAATATTGGCCACAAACGCGGACAATCTAGACGAAAATGGACAACCCATTCATAGCCGTCCCACTCGTCCCCCCGACGAATCAAAAGAACCCGTCAGTGTCAAGATCACTTGGCGCGGTGGTGGGAGATCGGTCGCCCTTGCACGCGCAGGTGACAACAATTGGAAAGGCAGACAACTCATGGAACCCGAGTACGTACGCACCCCTCTTTCCTCTGCATGGCGTTGATATTGATCCGAGTCACAGCGACCCGCCGGCAGATACTATGTGGTCAACATGGGTATCCCTCATGCCTGGCACTCATCACATCCGCTTCATTGTTGATGACCACTGGCGCATTTCCGACGACCTTCCAACTGCTGTAGACGACGAAGGCAGTCTTGCCAATTATGTTCCCGTTTCTATCCCACATACACCCCCTCAGACCGCTGCACTTCCTGCTACCCCCGCGAAGCAAGTAGTCAGTCACCATGTCCATTCGTTCTGGTCAAGCACGTCAACGCACGACTCAGCCACTGATGCTCCGTCGACGTCGGATATAGATGTTTCTAAACATAAATGGACAGACGAGATCCCTCCAGAACTTGTCGCAGCTGCGCGCGAGGAGGAGGCCTACCTTGCATATACTTCCGCTTTAGAATATGATCAGAATCCTGATGGGAACCTAACACCCGTTCCTGCTCCAAATATTCCACCCGCTCCGGCCCTCCCAAGGCATCTAGATAAGCTAATCTTGAACACAAAAGCCGGACAGCCCCCGGTAACGAGGGGACGTGATCGAGAACGTGAGAGGGAGCGTGAGAAGGAAAGGGAACGAGAGCACAGGCGGAGGCAGGGAAGATCATTGCTTGGTATGACAAGCACCCTCGCACGAGACCTCCACAAAGAGGGCAAGGAGAGTGAAAATCCTCCGATTCCCATCACTACGGCAAGTGGAACGGATGTCACCTCAGCTCACCTGTCTTCCCCGTCCCAGCATACGCGACTGGGATTGGATGGTCCTGGCATGACCGATGACGCCAGCGTGCTCCCCGTCCCCTCTCATGTTGTTCTGCATCATTTGAGCACCAGCGCGATACGCAATGGAGTGCTTGCGGTAGGAAACACTACCCGCTACCGCCAGAAGGTTGTCTTGCTTCCGTTGACGTCACGATTTCTTATTGACATATTTCCAATCACAGTATCTCACGACGATCTACTATAAGCCTACTTAGGACATGCGATGGACAAACGGGTGAGATGGATTCTCACTTCTGTCCTGTGCAAGATCAGCGTCGCCCAGGGCGGCGTCATGCTACCATGTTGTAGTGTGCCTGAAGAACCTCCCACTCTTTTTTCTTTCTTTCTTTCTTTCTTTCTTTCTTTCGGGACCGCCAGCATTATTCCGTCTTAGGGTATGACTACATGATGCCCCTTCAACAGTAAGTACAATACGCACAGCTGGGAGGAGTATTACACCACATTCATCTATGTCACAAAGTTCAGGTTCAGGTTCATGCATCATGTACGTCATGCTTGTATACGTATGTGAATTCTTGTTTTGTTTCGCCTGTAATTCCTGCTCAAAATTTTTTCGCCTACACTTCATCATGGACGTGTTTGATTGTTAGACATCGAGTGCTGCATAGACACAAAAATGACTGGTATACTCGTCTGCAGGTGCCAAACTTGGTAAGAGATTTGAAATGGTATAAAAAGTATTAGCCCACCGCGAGGGTCGAACTCGCAGCCTTCAGATTCCGAAGGGAATCACCCCCGCCGTAAAAGTCTGACGCTCTGACCAATTGAGCTAGGCGGGCGACATTGTAGAACCATAATCGAACAACTTGGCCCATTCAAATGTTCGCCTAGCAAAAAACCTCAGCGACCTCCGGGGCCGTTATCAGCTGACCCCGCAATGTAACTCAACTCCACGAAGGTTCTCTGCCAACCAGGCAGAATTGCCCCGTACCGTGGAGTAAACCTCACACATACATCTCCTCGGGTACCCTGGTGTGGCAGTATCTGCACTCCACTACTGTCTATTATAGGACCAGGTATCCCTTCTCAAGCACCGAACAACCTGCCACATTGGATGTCACTACGTGTTCAGGAAGCACGTCATCCGAACGTTGACCTTGTTCAAAAGTAATTCAACGCATCCGATACGCCCGACAAGCAGTGAAGCTCCGTTCCTGTAGGTACATACGTGGTAAGTGTAACCTATGCTAGAGAATGTCCCTTGCGATGCTCATCGACGAGGCGGTTGCTACGAGGTACGAGCACAGGAAATCAGCCTTGTATTCCAAAGAGGGGCGAGGATACTTGAACACGTGCCAAACCAGATGCTGTAGCAAAGTATCTAAATTAATGCAAAGGACCCGCGTGCCGGAGGCACCGATTGGTTGATCATGGGTTATGCAGTTCAATGAAGTAGACGCCTATCTATCGAACTATGCATGACACGAACGGGAGTTCCCTCCACTAATATTATATCTTACGTCTCCCTTTAATCAACGCTAACCGGTTATAGCCCCATAGTACAACACATTCCTATCTCGTCAATCGCCCTTCGTGATCAGTTCAATTACTTTGGCAAGCTGGGCCTCCCAGACTTGAGTACCCCTTGCCTCCGGACTTCCCCGTTCTGATCCGAAGTGTCCTGATTGGAGGCGTCTACGCATTTTTTGCTACTTCTCGATGGAAGCGACAATTTGACTAACCACGGGCGCATCTTGCCACAGCATGAGCGGTTTGCGCAGGTTTTCGTGTAAGAACGAGCAAACCCAGCATCAGTAACCTCATGCATCGAAGAGTCCTACTTACACTGTCTCAGCAAGCCTCAAATCCTGGCGCTTGGCGGAGCACTGCCTGGCGTTCCGGAGTGAGCGGTATCTATGTAAGCCGATGGGCCTTGATTTGCTGCCAAGTTCGTGGCACTGAAAGCTTTCACGCCCCCACCGCATTGCTAAAGATATGACCTTGCGGATCAATCTCCTTTTTTTTCTATTACCTCACCCTACAGGTTCGCGCGAACTACTTATAAGATGGAGCTTCATCATAGAGAACCCATCATCGGTCGACCCTCGGCTCATCTGTTCCGTCATCTCATCTATCGACAGGACGATCGCAAAAACCTCCACGTGCTGCATAACACTATAAAATGCCGAGCAAAAAAGAGATGCAACAGGCCTACCGATCTAAAGAGACGCAAGGGTTCCAGGACCTTCATTGTGCATTGCAGACCGTCGATCCACACTCGCCTATCCAGAGAGACGTTGCACGATACCAGCTTCTGAGTATGGGTAAGCGACAGAGACCATACACGCGGATTTCAATCACTGATGCGTATGTATATGTACGCTTAGCTGCAAAGCGACTCAGGGAGTTGGCCCACGAAAAGCAGCTTCTTTCACAAGAGCTTAGTTTGCGCCGACAAAGTCAAAGTCCCCGACCACCACACATGTATGCTCCCAATGAGCTCCTATGTTCACCTGACCAAGTGTTTCCATGTATGTCTTGTCGTACTACCTTGTCCAGCTAAAGCTAACGTCGCTCAGTGGGTACACCTAGTGTGGACTCTATGTACGACGATGGCTACGTGCCTTACACTCCGGAAATGCGAACTGTCACATTCAATACCAACGCAAATGTACATCCTGCGTACTATGGCGCACCGTATTACACAGGGGGAAGGGTTTGAGGAGGTACTCTCAAGTAGAAAGGAGTCCATTGCCGCTTGTGCTATTTCATGCATGTATCCTGCGGATGAGGCTTGTAAAAAAAACAAAACAATTTACACTAGAGATTCTATAATATTCGTAATACTAAATATTGCTTTATTGGTGCGAGTCTTTAACCGAAAAGGTGGTCCGGGTGGAATGTTGACGGAAGCCGTGCTGGCAGTATGTAACCGGACGAGCGCGATATGTAGGTTAGACGCCGCAAGAGGTTCACCAAAAGCGGTCTAAAATCGCTAAGGCAGATACGAATCAATTGATGTTGATAAGAAGAGAACATGGAAGACAGGCCAGCTTTGCGCCCAACGGTATATCTAGATAGTCGGGAAGGACGTTACCGACAACCGGCTGCGGTCTATGCGCGTAACGTCGCTAGCGTTTTCTCCCCAGTTTCCGAGGAGCCTGCCACGAGTCGGTAGTATTGCTCTGATCGCAGCCATAATCTCCTTGATAACGAAGGCCAAGCAGCCACCCAGAGGCCGCCCTAATGAGGGGACCCCCTTATCTCAGAGTGGACCCACGGCAAACCGATTCTCGTCGTGAGAACAGAAGCGAATATCTCGTCTCGATCTGGTACCGTGGCGCAAATGACAGAATGGACGGAAGTCTCGGTCCTGACTATCATATCGAGGCATTAGCAGCGTCAACGTTCAACCGCATCCTCCATATGTCCGCCTGTTTACATAAGGCAGCGCGTCCGATTTGGGAGGACACACATACCAAGGAACTTCGAAGGTGTGAACTTCACCAGAAAGTCATACATGAAGTCATCGACCTCGGAGTTCCTGTGAACGAAACGAGGTGAAACAGCCTGTTCACATGCCAGCCTGCATCACGCCCACGGCGACCTCGAAACACGAGGTATACCTATACAAAAGTTTACCTCCGCGAATATACAGCATGGCGCAGGCAAAAGGTGAAAGCCGGAATTATGGGCGTTTAGACTTGACAAGGGTAGAATTGACTGTTGATTGGTGCTTTTCAACAGACAAGGATACTAGCCCCTAGCCTCCAGCGTCATTATGAAACCACGTTTCAGAGCCGTGGATGGATACGGGCTGCTGCCCACGGACCGCAAAACGTGTAAAGTACATAAGACAGTCGCGTTCACATTCCCTTGCAGGTCGGATCCAATGGAGCTCCAGACAGGACTCAAGGTGGTGCATGGAGATTAAGCCGTAGGTCCAGGGATGGGTTGGATGTGGGGAGGCACAGGTAGCTGTCATATTTAAGCCTCCTGCCGTGCCATCCTCCTAGCTACCAAGGAACATATATCATCAGCCCCTCGCAATTCTGCTACTTTGCTGTGGTCGCGTGGACCACCAGAGAGACGAGCCTCTGCTCTGTTTACCTATACTGTTGATTACCTTTCCGCATGTACAGCCCTGCGCACCCTCGTGGCCTACACACCACTTGCGAAGTGACGATGTCGATTCTGGTGAGGACGTGGTTTTGCTGCGACGTATGGTGGCCTAGAAGCTGATGTCCCAATTCCTAGGAAATCATTCGCGAATTCGTCACCCGCGCAGTAGAGATACTGAAGGACCCAGGACGATGGAGAAGACGATCGGAGAAGAAGACGAAGGAGGACAAGCGCCACGAGACGGAGTTTCCAAAGCCAAACACGGTGGTGGTCGTGGAGAGACAGATGAGGATGAGAGAATTCGCAACCCCAGTGAACCGAGTGCAGAACGCACCACAGCCAAAACGAGTGGTTGTTCGGCCACAGTGTACGGACCCACCCAAGGTGACCGTCCGTGCACGTCTGGCTGTGGTCCCGTAGTGACGCTTTGAAATAGTATCCCGGAGAAGAGATTCAACAGCAACAACGCATCATCCGGAGACGAATTATGGTCGTAAGTAACCCAGACCCCATCGAGAGCGACAGCGAAACGGACACCGCACCAAGGAGGAAGGTATGTCAGTACATCTGTCGTCTGTTCACAGTCATGTGGGCCTCTGCTATCCCTCTGTTGACACCGGCCCTTTTTGTTCCCCCTAGAGCAGTGACATCCAGCGAGAGAACGGAAACGGGATAAGGCATATTGCAGTTGTAGGGACTTGGTAGGAACTCACCATCGATGTCTCTAAGTACACGAATCAAAATGTGCAAGTCTACCTGCACAAGTCCTCTGACAATACGTCGAATGTACGCCAAGAGCGCCGACTGCCGGTCTTCTCCGCGAAAAGTTCACACAACCGGCGACAACGTCATAACTTTGCGAAGTTCTTGAACTCTTCCAGTTCTTCCCAAAAATCAAACCGACACGCAAGCTGTCGTGTCCAACTCCTATCAGTTTCTGACTTAGAATCGGCTCCGTTCCTCTATTTACTAGTAATTTTTTCCTGAAAATGGTGAGACCCTCACAACGTCTCTGCTCCGGTCTGCGCTCCGGTCTGCGGGCCCACCTCGTCGCCCGTTCAGTTCCACGCTCACCCGTCGGCAGACGGATGGCAAGTTCGCATGCTGGTCACGGTGACGGTGGAAATGAAAAATATTGGAGGGTGTGTGATACCCTTGACTACTGTCGTCCCCCGCAAGCCACTCATTAAGGTCCTTACTCCCTAGATAGGTGCTGCCTTGACATTTGGGCCCGCAGTAAGAAATACATATCAGAATCAACGGTGTTCATCTTTACAGATATCTCCGGTCAGCTTCTATACCTTCTCTCGCCGGCCGCGCGTAAGACCGCACATAAACATACCGTTGAGCATATCCATGAGGTATGAGTATCAAATTTGGAAACGCGTCCGTGTATCTTACCCCGTCGCTACCAGCATGAAGTACGTTGACTGTTGCACATAAAAGGTGTTGTGGTAACGGGAAGTATATAGGCCGAGCCGGCGTCAGCGGAAGCAGCACACACGGATGAACCCCCGATGACGGACGACGAGGGTACGGCGGTTTCCGGCGAGGAGATTAAGGAGTCGATTGAACACGCAATTGTACGTGGAAAACCTTCGGTCTAGTCCCGAGTTGTACGCTGACCGTTGTCAGGCCGAGGATTCTCCCACACATGCTCAAGCACACGAAGAAGAGGTAGTCGCGTCATCCTCTGCATCATCGAGCCAGCCCGAGTCCGTCTCGGAGGGTGATAAAGCCGCCGGACCTGAACCGGACAGTGATACAACACAGGAATCCAATCCCGGGCCAGCGGAGACGGACGCTGAGACGGAAGATTCGCAAAATGAGACGCCTGCAGAGGTGCAGAGTGAACCAGAAAAGCCTGCTGTGGGTTTTGTTCGCGGCTCGCTTTAAGGGAACGGCACTGACATGTCCGTTCACCATAGCAACCCTCAGCTGGGGAATCGTGAGGCCCATATTTACAGGCCCAGTTTGAGTAGAGGCGTCGTACAGAGATGTGATAGACGAGTGCCGACATTGCGTATTAGAGCAATCGATCAATGGCTTGAGTGATGAGTGACATGTTTTTGCTTATCTTGAGCTGTCATCGCTGGGACCTTCGAGGGCCAGGGGCAAGGACCCATACAGTGGTAACATTCGAATCTCACGGTTGTTGATCGGTTGTGAGGTTTCCAGGGGGTTGAAAAAAAGCACACAAGTATGGTATTGCTGTGGGCCATAGAGGGGTTTTCATACCGCTGATAATAGGTTTCCCTCAATAACCAGTTTGAATGCGCGTTGCCAGCTAAGTTACCTGAGTAATTTCCGTCAGTTCCTGCACATATGTCCTTATGGACTACCACCAACTGACTACATGTGTAGGGTCCACCACTGACGTGAGACTGGTGCCTCCCAGACTGCAGACATTTTCTGGAAGGGCCATGCGTGCACACTGCACTACTAACGTGAGTTGTTTGACACAAAACAATACGCCGAAGAACAATGTTTCCAAAAAAGGAAGGTAATGATATCATGCAAACAATAGCTTCCCGTCATAAAAAGCTTTTGGGCCGCCCGAGGTGGACTTGTTTCGTCCCCCGAGTCGCCCATTCCCGACGCCAGCAAGTTATACACCAGCGGCTGCGCCCTGGTCAGCCATTCTTTACCGTCTGACATTCGTTAGAAATGTTCAACCTCCTCCTCGTCCTGTTTACCTTATTTGGCCTTACCTGTGCAGTCCCCATCGATCTTCCCCGTTCGATCCACGATATGCGTACTCAACACTTGTCCAAGAGAACCAACTCCACGAAATTCGTGGTAGCTCACTTCATGGTTGGAAATTCCTACCCTTATACCGTCGACAATTGGCTATCCGATATCCAACTCGCCCACCAGAGCGGCATCGACGGATTTGCTCTCAACGTCGGAACTGATTCCTGGCAACCCCAGCAGGTCGCCAATGCGTAAGTGTTTTTGAATTCTTATTTACGTTCCGCGTATCGACCTTGCTAGATACGAGGCTGCTCAACAGTCCGGCACGGGCTTCAAGCTGTTCATGTCGTTCGACATGAGGTGAGGATTGACCTCCTTGCCCCTTCTCAATCACTGATTTGCGATCAATAGCTCCCTCCCCTGCTCTACCGCTGCAGATGCCGCCACTCTCCGCAATTATATAACCACCTACGCCACACATCCCAACCAGTTCTTGTATAATGGCCGCGTATTTGCCTCGACCTTTTCCGGCGAATCCTGTACCTTTGGTCAAGGGTCCGTCGTATCCGGATGGTCATCCCAATTTATTCAGCAATTGTCTGGATCAAATGCTGTGTATTTTGTCCCTTCGTTTTTCGTGGATACATCCACTTTCAGCACCTATAGCGGTGTAATCGATGGCATGTTCAATGTAAGATCTACTCCACTTTTCCATCGAGCTGATAACATAACGCGGTGATCAGTGGAACTCTGCTTGGCCCGTCCAAGTGACTACTTCGTACGCCAGTTCGATCTTGGGTGCTATCGGGAATATACTACAAAACCCCTCATCTGCTTTGAATTCGTTGTCGTCCCTGGTGGGCTCAACGACTCCTGACCAACAGTACATCAATGCGTTGAACGCAATGGGGGATACGAAGACCTACATGGCCGCTGTATCCCCTTGGTTTTTCACTCACTACAGCCCTCAAACTTACAACAAAAACGTACGTGTCCCCTTCTTACAACAGAAAACTCCTCCGACACGGAATTTTTAGTGGATCTACCTGAGTGACGATCACCTCTATGCCAAGCGCTGGGAAAGTTTGGTTCAGATCCGCGACCAAGTTGACATCGTCGAGTGTCTAACCTGGAACGACTATGGCGAGTCACACTACTTGGGACCTATCGAAGGCGATCAACCCAACAGCCAAGCCTGGGTAGACGGCTTCGATCACACGGGTCTGTCAATCGTTACATATTTCGTCCGATTCGTCCCTTACGTATTCACAGGGTGGCTTAATCTGACCTTGTACTATGCCACTGCGTTCAAGACTGGATCATACCCTTCTGTGACTAAAGACCAGATTGTCATGTGGTCGCGCCCCCACCCAGCACTTGCCACTGCACCTGACCCGGTTGGGCAACCTCAGAACTTCCAGATCGTACGTTGTGTCTGTTATCTTTCCACCGTTCCCCGGCTAACGTAACTATTAACAGACCGAGGATAAAGTCTGGGCTGTTGTTCTCGCTACCTCGTCTGGCACAGTCACACTTTCGACGTCCTCCTCCCAGTCCCAAACGTTTTCCGTTTCCGCCGGTGTTTCGAAATTGACCATCCCGATTACTTCTGGGGGATACATGGCCGCGACATTGTCGCGCAACGGTCAAACCGTGATCAACTTGAAGTCAACCAACTTTACGTTCAACCCCAATCCGCCCTCAGTACAACTTCAATGCACTTGTCATTTCTTCAGACTGAGCAGCGGTTCCGGTAACCACCCGCATGCGCGTCGTGTTGACTGCGATCGATCTATTTTTTTCAGTGAGGAGACGTGCTGGTTATGTATCACGCTACAATTTGTTTTCTGTAGGAGGGTAAGGATAGGTTGATCTAATCCTCCCCCATCGACTGTTTTTATAGCCGTGTACTTTTAGGCATTCGTTTTTCAGTGTCTCGTGTTGTTTTTCTAAGGTTGCAAGATTTGGTGGAAAGGAATTTTGTACTAACACAAACTTCGCATGCTTCCTTGTGTATGATATCTTCTTGGATAGATGATAGAACAAATGAATTCCATTCTCGGCCCGGAGTCGGAGACTTTCTACTGAAGATTGACTAAAGCTTGCATGTGCAGAAAACCCTCTTCGTGGTTCGCGATCCACTATAAGAATGGCACTAGCCTAGAGTCCGTTCATGATCGGCGACCCTCAGCTAAGGACTCAGATAGGGCCCCATGCGTCTTGCAGTATTCTGATAGACAGATTCCGATGCTAGCTACCCTGCTTTGAGTCACCAGTGATATATTTTGGCTCATCTTGAGGTATTACTCGAGAGTCGATGGCGGCGACAGGAAACTTGCTGGAAAGGATCAGTCAGGACTCCTTCCACGGGAGAGCGGATAAGTCCGAATAGCTGTGGTTATATTCAAGGACCGCCAACTTGAGTGCTTGTACAGTTTCGCCCCGACTCTGTGAACCTGTGTTACACGGTCAGTTGTGTGGGAGGCTGTTACGTGTGGTTTCTGATCCCTTTTCCTTGCTCCGGAAGATGTTCGGACCTGAGGAAAAGGGAACAAACACCCCAAACAATCCTGAGGCAGGAACTGGTAGACAAGTTCATATGGATGTATGATCCTGCCCCTTGTATGCTGAGTGAGTAGTTCTACAATCAGTTACATAGTCATCTGGACCCCCTTCATGGGCTATTACTGCCATGGAGCGGAAATGACTGTCATTGACGCCTATGGCGCCTCAAGCCAAGCCCCAAGAGAGGCACCTAGGCTTCATGATATGATCACTGCTGATTTGAAGATCGCATTGCCACTGCGTAGCATCTGATCTCTCTCAATAGTTTCTTCATCTGCTAGCTAGTCTTGGAACTAGCTCCTTTTAATGATTTTGGGGGACGTATGAAAAACTGTTGTCGAGTTGAACGCTATTTACCGTGCTCGTGAATGTGCGTAATACTGCACTAAGGATGAACATTATACTTGTTGTGATTGTCAACGAGAGTCGAGCACACTGTCGAGAGAAGCTGCAGACATCTTGGTCACTGTCAGGCTATTTTTGCGGCCACCATCATCTTGCAAATGAGCCAAGTTCACAGACACAACGCTCAAAGCCCGTCAATCCACAGCAGGCTCTCGAAAGAAGGGGAAGAAGAAGCGCGCCGAACCGTCAGACACTTCCCGGACGGTGGCTGCGGACTCGATAGACCCAAATGCAGACATCATCGTGCCGAAATCCAAGGAACAGAAGGACGATGAGAGGAAGGAAAGGCTCTTAAAAGAAGTGGGTTGGGCAGTTCAGGTCAGCTTGTGTAACGTCCGGACTCAAAATGCCTTTGCGTGTTATGCGCTCGCAGCTCGTCGCGCAGTCCGAGTCCAAGGTGTCCAGTAAAAGAAAAAAAGATTGGAGAAATACATCGTGAGTCTATCAGTCGATTAACAGCCCGTTCACTGAACTTATGCCCTCAAGGACAAAAAACTCAGGCAGGAGGAGAGATTACAGCTGTTCGAAAAACTAGGCGTACGTCCTCTCCACTGTTCCTCGATAGGTAGCGCAGTGCTCACACCCTTCTCACAGCCAAACGCAAGCGACGATGCCAAGCCTGGAGTTGCATTCTTCCTCCACGCTTGGGACCGGGAAAGTGACGTCAAATCGAAAACGGCTCGAGAAGGCCGAAGACCTTCAAGTTCAACGCACAATGGACGGCCGGACGGGCAAACGCAGGCGGCGGATCACGGACTATTCTGGTGCAGATTCCGAGAGTGGAGATTCTGAACTGGATAGCCGTGTTGACGGCGAGATCGATGCGTCCTCTACCCAAAACTACTCCAGCACCCATGGTTTCAGTCATGGACTACTCCTCCGGGATAACGGTTCCGAAAAAGGATGTGCAGCAACCTCCATCCATTGTTGGAGGAGCACTCAAGCGAAATGCGGATGGCACCGTCGTCCAGCCGCGCGTCGTCAAGAAGGAAAAGGGGAACAAGGTTGCTTTCCATCTGGAAATCGTTGATTTTGTCCTCATGAGCACTTGTGATGGCTTTTTAGACGACATTCCGAAGCTGGAAGTTGAAGGCATCACAACCTGTCTCTCAACAGGGCGAGTGCGACACGTCTTTCGACAGCTCAGATTCCGCGTATGATACTGACGAAGGTGAGCACAAAGTCGAGGGAAGTGTCGAGGAAGAGAGTGGTTCGGATTCCGGAAGTGAATTGCAGTCAGGGAGCGAGTCAAGCGCGAAGGGCTCAAGTCCCGTTAGGGAGGAAGCGAAGAAACCGCCTCTGAGCTTTAAAGCATGGGCAATGAAACAACTCAGTGCTGTCAAGGGTTATGTCGCACCCGCCGATGAAGAATTACCGGTCTTCACAACCAGAGCCCGAGACTCCTAGACAGCCCCCAGCTAAGAAGCGCAAGGTGTCTCATCCTCCTGATGGCGTTATCCGTGGTCCTTTAGGCGAAGAAATTAAACTGCCTGCGACTGCCCTCGCGGAACATCTCTCCAAACAGTCTTCGGATCCGTCAGATACCAAACCATCAAAGCGAGCCAAAGCCGTGTCGGTGACGCGTCCCCCTGATGTCGAAGAAGCCCGATTGTTGCTGCCGATCGTAGCGGAGGAACAGCCCATCATGGAGGCCATTCTTCTTCAATCCTGTTGTCATCATATGTGGCGAGACTGGAAGCGGTAAGACAACACAGGTACCTCAGTTCCTCTATGAGGCCGGCTTTGGTGACCGTAACGGAGGTAGGACTTTCAAGAGCCATCTTCTATGACGTATGCCCTGATTGTACCGCAGAGAATCCAGGTATGATCGGCGTAACCCAGCCGCGGCGAGTTGCAGCGGTTTCAATGGCTGCACGAGTAGCACATGAACTCTGCTCTAACATCCTCGCGGGTCTCTTATCAAATCCGCTACGATGCTACCGTTTCACCTTCGACAAGCCATCAAATTCATGACCGACGGTGTGCTGCTTCGTGAGCTTGCCACTGATTTTCTACTTTCTAAATACTCGGTCATTATCATCGACGAAGCACACGAACGGAGCATGAACACGGATATCCTCATCGGCGTGCTGAGCCGTGTACTCAAACTGCGTGAACAAATGTGGAAAGAAGGCAAGGAAGGTATCAAACCTCTCCGCCTGATCATCATGTCTGCCACCCTCCGTGTTAGTGACTTTGCAGAGAACCAAACACTCTTCGCTACGCCCCCGCCTGTGATAAACGTGGATGCCCGCCAGCACCCTGTGACGATTCATTTCAATCGCCGGACACCTTCGGATTACGTCAACGAGGCGATCAAGAAGACGGCCAAGATTCATGCTCGGTTGCCTCCTGGTGGAATACTAATATTCTTGACTGGTCAGAACGAGATTACTGGTGTGTGCAGGAAGTTGGAGGCGCGCTTTAGTAGAAAAGCTATCGAGGCGAAAAAGCGGAGACGGCAAGTCGTTGATGCTTTGTCGTTCTTTGTGGACGAGCCAGAGACTCCTGTCAATGTTGTGGCTGCAGCCGAGGGTACGCATTTTGGCTTCCCTGTCATCCTGACACTCCCTCACCGCTGACTTAGTCGCATTGGAAGCGGAGGACGTTGACTTGGGGTCAGGTAACCACGACTTGGCGTTGGATGTTGACGCTGGTGACGTCCACGAAGATTTGGAGGCCTTGGATAGTGAAGGTGAAGACGTGATGGCGGTTGATATTGAAGAAAGCGATTGTGAGTTGGCCATTTTCCCTGCATCGTCGATGCACGTCTGATGGCTTTCAGCACCCATGCACGTCGTTCCGCTATATTCATTGTTGCCCAGTGATAAGCAAATGCGTGTGTTTGCGTCGCCGCCACCTGGTTGCCGTCTGGTGGTCGTGTCGACGAACGTGGCAGAGACTTCGCTCACAATACCGGGCATACGATACGTCGTGGATTGCGGTAGAGCCAAAGAGGTACTTGCCTCTCTTCAAGCTCGAATTCCCCTATATTCATTGACCTCCATATAGCGAACATATGATGCTACGAGTGGTATCCAAAGCTTCCAGATTAGCTGGGTATCCAAGGCTTCGGCAGCGCAGCGTGCCGGAAGAGCAGGACGTACAGGTCCAGGCCACTGTTACCGCCTGTACTCATCTGCGCTCTATGAGCACTACTTTCCATCTTTTTCCGAGCCAGAGATTCTTCGCACGCCTATCGAAGGGATTGTCTTGCAGATGAAGAGCATGAACATCGATGCGGTCGTCAACTTTCCCTTTCCGACGCCCCCAGACACGCATGCGCTCAAGAAGGCAGAAACGACGCTTACTCACCTCGGCGCGCTCAGCAGCTCACCTGCAGTAGTGTCTGGTAGCGCACAAGCAACCGTATCGATGTCAACCATTGGTGGCAAGATTACATCCCTAGGACGGTCAATGAGTTTGTTCCCGCTTGCCCCGCGGCATGCCCGTATGTTGGTTGTTGGTCGGCAGCACGGGTGTCTGCCGCATGTAATTACGATCGTATCTATTCTATCCGTTGGAGACCCGTTTTTGCGGGAGGAAGTCTTGGCCGAAGCAGGGGGTTCCGATGGCGAAGATGAAGAGAATTTGGATTATGATCAGCGTGGTTGTGCGAGTATGAAGGAGGCACGGAGTGCTCGCCGTCGGGCCTTCTTTGAGAAGCAGCAGGTAGGTTTCATTTTTGGAAATAGCGAAGCCTTGTCCGTATCTCACATTTTTACGCAGTTGCATGCCGGGTTAGGCAAGTCAACCAGTGATATTCTGAAAATGCTTTCGGTTGTGGGTGCATACGAGTATGCGGGAGGTGGACTCCAGTTTTGCAACGAGCACTTTGTTAGACCTAAGGTGAGAAAAATGCATTTTAGAACTGTGATCTGTATTCACTAACTTTGTTCCATTAAAGGCGATGGAGGAAATACATAAGCTCCGGGCACAGATTAGTGGCATTGTTAGCACCACATTCCCAGGTGTAGATACAGGTCACCAGAGGTACTTGCAACCCCCAAGTGAAAAACAGGTTCGATGACTCTCGATTTCATGAAGTTGGCATAACACTAATCCATTTATAGTTGAAAGCGCTCCGACAATTGCTTGCTGCAGCCTTTGTTGATCAGGTTGCTGTAAGGAAAGACCTCGTAGAGAAGAAATCCGCGACTGGTGTCCAGTACTCAAATACGAAAGGCGTAGCGTATCGCGCGCTGGGAGTATCCGAAGATGTATATATACATCCTTCATCTGTCCTGTCGCAGAAATCACCTCCAGATTACCTGATTTTCACGGAGGTCGTACGGACCACAAAACCTTGGCTAAAAGGTGAGTTGTTCACCAATCGTTGCCTACAGGGACTGACATTTCTCTAGGTTTGACATTGATCAACCCGGCCTGGCTGTCGAGCCTCGGAAAACCGACACTCTGTACTTTCACAAAACCTGCAAAGAACAGTAAAGGTGAACTTGTGACAATACCCAAGTTTGGTCCAGACCAATGGGAGCTTCCCCCGATAAAAGTACCACAGCAGTAGTAATAATAATACGTAGAATAATGTGTACAGTATGCGACAGACTAATGTGTGATGTATAACGGATGCAGCGCGGGTATGCTGGTGTGAAATCAAGAAGACATAATATCCTTATGGCTTGTTCTTCTTTGGAATGAAGATGCTAGCTTTCTCTTTCTTAGGCTTCTTCAGCGGTGGGAGGTTTGGTTTACCCGTGCTGGGGGCAGCAGATGAGTTATCTTCGGGGGCGAGTGGTCTCTTCTGTCCCCCCTTTTGCACGGGAACATCTTTCCGTCCCTCCGATCCAGAGAGTCGGCGGATACTTGCAGGTTTAGCACGCACTGACTCCACCAGGCTCTGTGGAGTAACGAGGCTGTCTGGTGGCTTTGGACCGCTGGGTGGTTTGACGGGTTTACCGGCCTGCGCTTGCACTTTTGGCTGGGAAGGAGACACGGCACTCCGCTCCGTGAAGTATGACAAGTCGACCTACTTATGCCTCAGTAACGGAAACTGATCGTTAAACAGCCGACGTACTACATCAGTTAAAACTCCCCGAGATCGGGCATTGCCAACAATTTCTTTCCAGTCCTGGTTACTTCTTTCAAGTGTCGGGGCGTTTCCCAAGATGAACAAGGAGGATTTAGCACGAGTCAGCGCTACGTTCATTCGTCGGACGTCTACATCACCAGTCAGTCAGATCATACAAGCATGCAAGGTGCGGATCGTTATACCTGCCAAGAACCCCACTGTTTGTAGTCCTGGTCCAGCCCTAACGCAGGAAAGGATGATAATATCTTTTTCCTGGCCCTGGAAGCCGTCAACGGTGTTGAAGTGAATTTTGCCACGAATATCGTTGCCAAATCGCCTTTCGAACGCTCTCTGCAGTTCGTTGACTTGGCCTCGATACATCGAAACCACTCCAACACGGAAGTCAAGGTCCGTGGTTGCATATTCTTTACGTAGTCTCATGTACAGGGCCACGGCAACTTGTGCCTCAATAGGATTTTTTAATGAGTGTCCAGGCGTTTCCTGTTCTTGACCACGGTTGACGTTGAAAAATCGGTACGGCCCGAATTTAGGATGGGAGTGCCACGGTTTCGCTGTCTTGAGTGCCATATCTGGACCGTCAAGCAAGCGCTTTTGATAAAATAAGTGGCTCGGGAGTTGGCTGATCTCTGGGTGCATACGATACTGAATGCTAGAAGAGATTCAACAAGCAGGAGCAGTGAAGTAGATTCAGAGCTTACCTTAATAAATGAACGGCATCCGGCCTATGTTTTTGTAATCGAACAAAGAGAGATTGATTGTACTGGAATTTGCAGGCCTTCAAAGAGCCCGAGTCAGCATTTACATATTAGCTAATCACGAGTCCTCACCTCTTGTGAAAGGACAGTAGGAGGAAGTTGTTGTGGGTCTATTGGCCGTGTCAGACCTCGACATGCATAATCACCAGATGTACTCACCTCCAACCATGATACATCTAGAGGAACGGAATTTCAAGGGTATCAAAGAACTGAGTTCTATTGCCTGTGCGGCCTCATCTATGATGATCATTTCAAACTCTAGTTGCTCAATGGATTCGTGGCCTGAGCCTGCAAGCGTAGCGCATATGACATCCGCTTCTTGTAAAATCTCCAAACGATACCGCCTCCGTACGGCGTCAAGGGTTCGATTGTCAGACTTTTGCTTATCCTTCAATCTATCAAATTGCTGAGTTAGAACCATTCGGCGGGAGTTAAGCTTTTTGATCTCTTCCTCGAGTGCCGCCGTTCGTGTCGTATTGTTCTGAATGGTAGCTAATTCCTCCAGCTTTTCTTGTTTTGCACGCTTTACCGAATCAATTTCCTGACGAAGGGCTGCTATGTCGTTGCCCGCAGTCTTGGATGAGACCTTAACGTTATCGCTGTTGATCTTCTGCTCGACAAGGTAATCCAGGGATATGTCCATCACGCTGACATCCAGGGACCTGTCGTGGCCAATACGAACCACCTTGATGGGTGTACCACGCTTGTGCGTTCCTCGGCACCCCTCTTTCAGGCGACTAGCGACCTCGTCGATAGCTGCATTGCTGGGTGCACATAGAAGGACTTTTTGCACGGGTCCCTTGTCCGCTTGAGTAGAACTCCGACCAACGTGGATCGAGGTGGAAGGTAAGCGCCGTTTCAGGAGGAAAGCTTCCACTAGTCCACAAATAGTGGAGGTTTTACCAGTTCCTGGCGGACTTGATCGGTGTAAACAACAGAATCACAAGTAGGGTAATCTCGTCAATCTAATCTACTTACCCTTGAATCAGTGCAAAACCCTCTGTCTGCAATGAACTTAGGATAGCTCGTGCTTGTGGCTCGTTGACACGATAGTTGGTCATGGTTTCCTGCACATCGTGATGGTCCAAATGAGGATGCCCAGATAAGCGAGGTTGCATAACCGTAGGAAACAAGTCGTAATACGGCAAACCCATCAAAGTAGCGTACTCGCGATGGAGAGTACTCAAGCTAAGTAAGAGTTAACTCACGCAAATCTCAAGGTGAAACACTTCACCTGATGACCTTCTTTAGATTCCACGTGGTGTTGATCTGTGGTCCCTGATCCCCTGCATTCACAAGCACGAAGCAACGGAGGGTCACCTGGATGCCCGCTACAGTTTGCCTGTAGGACTGGGTTTTAGCGAGATACGATTTCTTCCCATCGGGCTGCCGAAGCAAAACCACGTCCGTCTCACTTAGGCGCCAGTCTTTTTGAACGGCTTCTGAAATACTGGCATCAAGATCGACAAAATCGTCGGTAAACTGCTTCGATCCAATCTTGCATTCAACGACGGGAGTAGCTTCCTCCTTTGATTGCAAGATTTGAGCCCAGCATTCCAAAAGTAGCAATGGTTCGAAGACGTTCAAATATTGGCGGTGATCAATGAATTTGTCGGGAACGTGGAGCAGCCGTGGCTTTTCTCCCCGGTTCGGTGGATCTGGTCCGGCGTGATCGTAGTCCCAAGACAGGAGTGCACGATGAAGACCGGAGATGTCGGGTTTTAACCTCAAGGCTCGACGACGAGCATCATCTCGTCGATTGAGTCGTTCCATGGTGGCATTCTTCGCTTGATTCGTGACATCCATCATTTTGACCTGACGGCGCTCAGCAGGCTTCTGAATCTTGGGAGATTTTTGGAATTTCCCGAGCGCTGCTAATCCACGCACCGGTCCTCCAGCATCAGAATCAGAATCACTGGAGGACGACTCGGGTGGAAGAACCTCGGGACGATCTCGAGGGGCGAGGGGTTTGCGACTCGGTCCTGACGTAATTGCGGGTTCTGCTCTCCGGAATGTGGGAAGGACCGGAACTTCTGATCGTGCATCCTTCCGATCGATCTGTACGTGTTTCTCAGGAACCTGGGGTCCACGAACTACCGGAGCTATAGAGGATTCCTGTTTCACGGGTTTGGACTCTGTAGACTTTGTTGCGGGTGCCCGGCGATCAGTTGTCATCGAGACGAACACCACGTCTTCTTCACCATCCTCCCCAAAGGATGCGAGAGCAGCTTCTAGCTTTGATATTCGACCTGCATCCAGTCTAGTCTTAGGAGCTCCCTCAGTCTGCATTCTCCCATCCTCGATGTGCTTGTTCAGTTTTGCAAGCCCTGCCTCGGACGGAGGTACCCCAGTCGTCCGGAAGCATTCTAATGATGTTTGTACGAGTGCGAAAGATTGGTGGAGAAGTTCCTCGTCAGACAGCCGTAACCAGCGAGCGAGTTCCGGCAGAAAAGGCTGTAAGTCGGTCATCATCCGCTTCCCGACCCTTGAAAGCTTTGGGGTCTTTCCAGGGCGCGGAGGCGGTTCTCCTCCAGAAGCTGATACAGCTGCTCTCTCTATGACACGCCATTGAGCCAGCATATCCCGGCCAAAGATCAGTGCATCCCGCATCCAGACAGTCATGTCCGGTATCTCGAAGTATGCCGCCCATAGTGGTGTCCGTTTAAAGATGACAGTAATGGACTGGGTCATAAGCGTCCATAATCGTGGGAGCTGAGCTGCCGGGCCCTGTGGATCGTCGGAACGCAGATATTTGTTGGATAACAGAAGGCCATCCGGACTAGAGCAAAGAACCTCGACCACATCGGTGAGACATTGTACGAGAGACTTTGACAAGCTGCAAGCTTCAGTGACGAGGGGTGCATAGCGGGTAAATTTCTCCAAGAATCCCAGAATACCAGCGAACGACGGGTCCGTGAGATTGGATAGGAGAGCGCGAAAACAATCGAGACGAGCGTCCGCGTCGAAAGCTTGCCCAACCAAAACCTTGGCGGCTGTTTGCAGGTCATCAATGGGGGAGAACATCAGTGTCATGACATCCTTCGCCACACCCTCCCTCTGAAAGAGGTCACGGATAAACTTCTGTTGGTTGTAGTTGGCCAACTTTGAGATGGCATCAACGAAGCCCTCTCGGGTGACAGATAGTGACCGGTTGATAGCGTCGAATGCGAGTAGGGCATCTGGTTTGGATAACACCCGCTTATACGCCAGCTTGTTCAAGACATCCAGATGTGAGAACTGTGCGACTACCCCTAGGATCACGGCAGCACCGTCAGAATCGTTGATCTGTAACGATTCGTATGTCTTTTGCCACAACTGCTCCCGGACTGAGCACACCGGGAATTCGAGTGCCAAGCCTGCAAGGTATTCGCACGATCGTAAGACTGCGTCAATCATCTCCCGCACGTCTCCGTTAAGGCTCGTAACGATAAGTTCACGAGCAACGACTCGGGCAGACTTCCACTTTTCGTCCGCGTACTGACGACCAAATGCAACCGCCACGAATGTGTCGGAGTGGATGTCCAAAACGCCAGATATAGCACCCCGATGACGAGCCCACTCGTCAGTTTGTGCCTTACGTAGAAAGCTTGCGAGTAACTGAGGAAAGGTAAGCATCCGCGTCAAGACATGAGATCCGTAAGCTCACCCGCGCGGTCATGAACATTACTGTCGGTCGCCCCTCTCTGAACCTCTCGTGCTGCAGTTCTTCGCAGAGTAAATCGGCGACCTTGGCAAGTACGTCACCAAAGGCAGGAGTGTCGTGGAGTGAGATGAGGTACTCTCCAAACCACGAGAGGAACCATGGTCTCTCTTCAGAGGGCTCTATACCTTCCACGAGCTTCGTAAAAGATGGATTGTCTTTGATGGCATCAAACACGACTTGGGGGTACTCAGGACCTTCCCCTTTCCACAACTGAAAACGAAGGCGCTTCAGTAGAAATAGAAGACACCGCAATACATCCATGAATTCTGATTGGATACATTACACTGCCTGAAGGTGTAGACAAAATCAAATACTTACGAGGGCCTACGTCGTGTAAGTGTCCGATCACCATCCGCCGGCAGTCAACGCCACCGTAAGATTTGAGTAGAATACGGTTCGGTAGCAACCGAAGAACCTGAGAGTATCCTATCCAAAGCTCACGGGGATCTGAGACAACCGTAATAGACCGAAGAACTTCTGGCACAGTCTCCATTGTGAGTACAGTAAACACAGTAGAATCAGAGGTAGAAGCGTCTCCTCTTGTTTTTGTTAGGAGGTTGAAAATGGCTTGCAAAGCTACTTCATGACCAGTAACGAAACGTGCCTCCGGCATTGGGATCTCGGTACAAGAGGAGATGAATGACCTCGCCCACTGTCGTACCTCCTGAGATTCGTCAAAGAGAAGGATAAGAAGCCCGGGAGGGGGGACATCCTTTGGCCATGACGAGGTAGAAGGACGACAACGTATCACGTTCATAACCATCGGGTCACGTAGAACGCGCAAATTTGAGACCATGTGGTACAGAACACCAGGTGGCAGTTTGCGCAAGGCATTAGGATTAACGTTGGCGCTGTTGATACCAGCGCTAGTCAGTGCGCCTTTGACGAGACTCAGCTCCCATTCGTCAAAGTTGCTATAGAATCCTTTCACTACTTGATCAGAGAAGGCACCGAAATATCTGCGTGTAAACCATCAGCGATATATAGACACGAGAGGAACGCGAAGACGCCTGCGTGCAAGACAATTACGATTGACTGCCCGCAGGAAGCACAGAAGACACGTTTACTCACGTTGAGCGCGAGCTAACCTTGACCTCTCCGAGAGCCTTAACACACTCGCTACATCCTGCCAAACAGCTCCTCAGCCTAGCTTTCCATTTTTCCACCTGGGGGCTGTCATAGGCAAACAATCTCAGCAGAAAAGCAGCGGCATCCACAGTAAGGGGGTCCGCGCGGCTGCAGAACCAGTGATAACATTTATCTGAGCTGTTGGATGGGACTGTCATTAAATACGTGTAGACGGGTGCTAGCACCTCGTCGGTTGCCTCTGAGGTGCTGAGAGGGGTATCGCGGACGCTGGCGAGTATGCCATTGATTTTGTCGACATCGTCCCCAGAAGTCATGAAAGAATGCGTCTAGATGATAGCAAATTCACAGTCGAGGAATGGGAAATCTAACACGTCTATGGAACGTGAGGTGACGATAAGAAAAGTAACGGGACGTGGGTCGGTGATCGTTGTTGCACTCAAAGAGTCGAAGGCGAGTGAATTGAATGGGTTGGCTGACATAAATGGAACTTGACTCACTCCGTAAACCGGTACAGTCTTATCATAATAGTTCATGGACTCACACTGGGACCACGTCAACAGTCTCCTCGAGCAGGATGGCGAGCTCAGAGAGGTGAAGCGTTCCCAGGTTAGAGATTTTGCTGACCTGATCTTGCCGACCAGAAAATCAGAGAAGAAGTAGCGGATCTGGACAAGAAGGCCCGCGATATGGCTGGGATCCTCGATAAAATCCATTCTACTCCATCTAACTCAAGTCAGTCCATTCTGTACCTGTCTTGGCAATGGTATCCTAAGTCTTTCGAGTTAACCCGTTACTCGATGCCGTGCGTCCAATCTTGCATAGTTGCCACGAGCCATTTGCTGCTCTTGCTGCCATAGTCCCTCCCAATCAATTCTGGCGCTGGAAAGATATGTGGTCGCATTCACTCAGAACAGTGGTTTATGCTGCAGCTCTCGTGGAGTACCTCGCGAATAGATCTCTAATTTCACTTGAGCAAACTAGCGAAACACTTGGAAGTGAGCTTTCAATTTCTACGGGTCATCAGCCATTTGGATGTTACCCCGCTTTCTAGTAAAGGAAGAGTGGAAGGATAGATTTTGTATAGCAGTCGAGGACTATCTCCATGGGCTGATTACTATGGTCAATGAATTGGTGAGGTCCTGGCTCGGGAGTTGTCGGTCGGTCGCTACTCTGGGCTTACCATCCCCTGTTGTCCTAGTCACGGTTGGCAGTCAACTCAGTGACTCTAGGGGATTATGAAGCACCCATCCAAATTTCATTCTTTGCCAAAAACCTGTTCGCCGGATTCACCAAGGTGAGATGCCTGCCTTGAAATATTCCATGAAGTTTGTCAACTATTCTGTTGACGCAGCTGAACTTGAAAAATGACATGCTACGTCGGCGTTTTGACAGCTTGAAGTATGACTTGAAAAAGATAGAGGAGGGTCAGCTATTGTTCATTCATCGTTGCGCTTCTAAGCTCTGATTCACCCCGGACTCTAGTGGTTTACGATGTAAAGCTGCGGAAGCTAACTACACCGAGGACATAAGGTTGCTGTAACTGAACACAAGGATCTACTTTTTACATGTACTGCTTCGTGCGCTGTAGATTAGAACTTGGTTGTATTTGTCAACATTGCTATTCGGAGACAATGTAACGGCTGCCTCGTTTAGGTCACGACGCCATAAACTGTCGTCCAGTGGATTGCATGATCATTGATCGTGCTGTATTGGAGCCACACTTGCTGTTATTAGTAGGTTCTGTCGCGGTCACTAACTTCAATAGTAGGTGTTAGAAACATATTACGATGGACAGAAGGCGAGGGTCAACACGACCTGCATCTTCAGAAGGTCGGTTCTCAGACATTCGATTCCCTCTGTCCCCTATTGATAGCGTATGTATAATTTAATTGTCACGGTACAGAGCTAGACTGTTGGTCTCGCGCGAGGGAATCACTTGCTGCGCTGTCCAGCAACTATGCCAGCCCAGATACCGTTGGGACCATTAGGCGCGTCAACGGGCTAATGGCCATGTGGCCAACGGATGACTCCTTTTCAACTGAGAGCTATGAGAATACCAAGACGAATTATAAAAAATTGTCCTCCGCACTCAAAGACGTCCGTAGAGACGCAGAAGAGGAGGCCAGGCGAGTAATAAACCCTCCCCTTTTCGGCCCCGAACCTCCTAATAACTTCTCAGGGCACTCGAGGCCGCAATAGAACAAGTAGGAATCCTCATAGCGCTTCGGAAAGCATCAGAGTCCTACCCACAAGGTTCTTCGCAGCACCCCTGGGAGTCGATGTCGCATTCGCTGACTCATGAAACAGAGAAACGGAATAAGCGCCCTAGACCCCCGTCACCTTCACCAACCTCTATGGCTGCATCCGCTGCCGGTCCGCGTGCCACGCAGGTTGCACGAGGCTCGGCCGGACCTACACCAGCGATACCATTTTCACGCGAACCGAAGGCCCGTAGGGAGGCTCTGGCGAAGCAACTACCTCTGCAAGAAGGCCGTAAGGTGGCTTTCCGTCCGCCCATAGGGAAGACTGCGGATGGCAGCAACGCAGATAGCGATGAGAATACATGGATACTGGCTGTTATCACCAAGTGTATTAACCAAGACAAGAATCGGTACGCAAAACTTGTCAGCACGTAGATACATGTTTCGCTCAGTGTTCCGCAAGTTACGAAGTCCAGGACGTGGAACCCCAAGAAGATGGACAGCCTGGCCAGTAAGAAGCATTTATTCCCTTGCCTACCATGACTCACTACAGAAATGAAGGTGTTATAACACAACGCTTCGAGCGATCATGCCACTTCCAGACCCTCATGCTCCGCCAAACAGCGCAGCACATCCAAACGCTTATCAAGAATTCCCAGCAGGTTCAACGGTGATGGCTCTCTATCCAGACACGAGCTGCTTTTACCGTGCCGAAGTAGTAATGGCCCCCAGTGACCTTCACCCTCCTGGTCGTGTGAGTTTTCTTTGCGGAGAGATGCCTCCGAATCTCACGGGATTGGTATGCTAGGGTGTTTCGTCCAAACAGAATATATCTATGTATAAGCTCAAGTTCGAGGATGACGATGATCAGGAACATTCTGTATTAGCACAGTTCGTCGTCGAATGGCCTGGTTCATAGCTATAACTTGTTTTTAGGGTAGCTTTTACTTCGCGGGAGGAATCACTGCGGAAACGGGTTTTTAATCAGGTCCGGAGGTAGTCGGGTCAATGACAATAACCGTTGTATATCCCGAGGGTAGCTACTCCTAATAATATGTCTGAATATAGTGCCGAAGTGTTCTCGTTTCGGAGCATAATCTGGTTGGATTTGCATGCCTATCACCATGACGATTTTTACCTTCGCGACAATAATCAGATCAGATTCGAATGTGACTATGAGCTATGTACACCGAGTTAAATCGTATAAATGCAATTGATCCTCCCGCCTTCAGTTGTGTTTTTCAGGATAACCAGATCAGATTATATTCGATGAGTGCCTAGTACAACGCATGCTTCCAAAATGCCTACCCAGCGCCCCCAGCTGTGCAAAAAAATCGCCCATGTTTGCTTGCTCCCCTCCTTGGTGAACGGCAGGATATGATGCATTCGCAGAGGCTCACAGGTGGCGCCCCACCGCTGATGCCTGGGTCCCAGTTGATGAGCCAGGAGGGAACTCATCGCGGTCGTCATGTACCACAGACCCAGACACACATGACGCCCTCCAGCTCCTTGCACCTTCAATGCCAAAGACTTCTGAGTGGTGGAGCAATACCTGGATCCCAGTCGTTGAGCCAGAATATTAATAGCATCACGTGTGGACATCACGTACCACAGATGAACATGGCGCCCTCAAACACCCTGCAGGGCACTCACCTCCCTTCTGCGCCAGGCCTAGATGATCCATTTGGCCCTGGCCCTGCTCAGCGAAGAGACCACGGTGGACCATCGGTCAGTCACTACTAATTGTTGTTGTCAGTCGATCAACTCACCCTATCTGCCAAGCTCTTGTCACCCGAGTTCTCCTTTGATATGATGGAGCCGACCAGTGCCGTTGATTCGCAGGGATCGCAGGACGAGGCATCCTATCCACACTGAGGAAACCAACCAAGCCAACATCTTGGCTTCACTCCTTACCATGGGGGTGTCAACGGTCGTGACGAAACGTCCTTCTCGTATGCTGGAAGACCTTCCCATAGTCAGTCGAATGGCAGAGGACGTAGTGAGACGCCAATGGAAGACTATCAGACTTTATATTCAGCATCCCGCTCTCGAACTGGATCTTACCAAGGAGACCAGCTTAGCTTGCATGCTACAGTTGCACAGCTCACGGCTCATGTCAAACACCTCAACGAGGCCAACACCAGCATGGAAGAACAGCTTACCAGCGTCAGGAAGGCAACTGAATCTCTCGTTTCGCGCCTTGAAACCGTCGAGCAAATGCTTAGAGAACTGCAGGAGAAATGTGTGGATCAACAGAAGCATACTTCGTCGAGAACAAACTCAAATGACCATTCTGTTCTCAAGGTACGTTACGCTATCATTCAGTATCGGAGTGCGCACTCACCGGGCACTAGTCTATTATCCAGCTGCTCTTCTCTCACATGTGTGGAATCGAGTGTGAAGGGACGAAAAGAAACCGCATCGCAGCCCTTGCTGCTATCAAACCACTCGAGAACGACGAACCTTTCATATCGACAAGTGACAGCACACATCTTTGGCGCCCCAACTGGCTCGGCAACGTAGATGACAAACTGAATGACATGTTCATTAAAGAAGTCGCCGAGCGTGTCTTTAATAATGAAAAGGTATCATCTGGTAGCACGTGAATAATATGAGAATTGCAAGTGCTCACCCGACATGCAATAGAGCCAGAGGGAACAGCTCCAATTAAAAACCATACCCGACAAGTCTTTCGACCTCCAAATAATGAAAGATTGCGCGAAAACATACTTCCGCACGATCCACAAAAGGGTAAAAGAGGAAACGAGTGATCAAGGTGCACACAGGACTAAGGAGAGGCTGGGACAGAATCGTCAGCGAGCTCGGCGTGTTACGGTACTTGAACTCTCACAGATATCGTGCCCGAGTGTGCCTGACATACTGGTAGGTTGCAACAGCTAGACGCAAGGCAGCGTCACAGTACGAAGCGGAAACTGGACATCAGGGCGCAGAAGCCCTCATCCTTACCGACCTCGGATCTGATATTATCAGCTGCAACGATGATGAGGTTAGCGATGACATGCTCCAGCAAAGGAAGGATGCAGAGGTTGGGCAATCTGCAAACTGGGTTGTAGGTCAGGCTTGGCGCTCAGTCGATGTAAGTTAAATTCATATCTGAGCGGCAAAGGTGACTCACGAATCCGGCCATATTAGTATGTTGCATTTCTGTGCTATCTCAGCATGCGTGCCACGAAGCAGCAGCAAGATGTAACTGAGGACCTGAACACGAATACTAGCAATATGAATCAGGAACCACAGCGTAAACGTTGCAAAACCACGAAGAAGGTGCACAAACAGGTCTTTGACGTCGCCCTGAAGCATTTGAGTCGTGACATGCCACCGGCAAAGGCCATGGTCTTCAGGGCAATGGTAGATGAGAGGTGGTTAGATGAACACCCGGGAATGGTGGTGCACGAGGGCATCAGCTGGCTAAAAGGCTTCTATTCTCGCATCAACCAAGAAGAGCTTTTCGAGGCGGATGCCACCTACCTCAAAGAATTGGATGAATGGCTCAAGACATCTAATGAAAATGGGTCATTGGATGACGAAAACAAGTATTGAAACTTCGCTTTGCTGTTCGCATTCTGAGCAACACATGTTGTAGGATTTGTGACGCTCTGTTACAAAATTAACAAACATCATGTTTAATTTACCATCCATCCTTGTAATACATGAACGTCTAGACTCCAGTTACTGAGTATTGATTGAGTAGCGAGCTGGGTATCAGTAAACAATAACGCTACGCACCTTTGCAAGGTCTACTGTTGCCCACACCTTGCGCTGATCCTCTCCAAGTGAAACAACAGTTAATGCCAGTAAGTTACCAATCCAGTTGAATTCCACGAGCGAAGGGAGGCGTGATTCTTGCATTTGGTATTCCCTGAGCTCCCATAATCGGACATCTAAGGCAGAACTTCATGATGTTAGTGCGAACGATGGTTAGTAGGTCAAACAGGACGACGTACAAGTCGTCCCAAATCGTCCTTTGGTTCCCGTGGTATGGCTTGAACCATCGCATGCGCGCAAACCATAAGCGTTGCTTCCCATTGTGTAAGGGTTGATCCAGCTGAAAGATCTCCAGTATCTCTCCATAGCCGTGTGTAGGTACCTGACCTGGTATCATGACGTGAACTAGGGAAGACCGGTGAGTGCCGACTGCTCTTGAAGCATGAAATCGCTTTCCGTTTATCACAACATAGTCGTAGAAGATGCCATTGGGATTGAGAGGAATACTGTGGGGAGTAGTTGGCCACTCGTGTTGGCAGTGCACTGGTGAAAGCGGAAAGCGTGCATTGAGTGTACGAGTGAGTAATCGATAAGTTTCTGATGAGAAGACATTTTCATGACAGCATGGACTTAGGGAGTAAGTTATCCCGGCTATGCAGTCTATGGTCAGACGGCCATCCATTCGTTCTGTGCCAAGGGTAACTCACCATCTGCGCTGACCTCATCAAGATCGTTGCAGAGGGCAGCAAGCCCTGCGACGGTTCCACGTTCCTCATGCGTAGCCTTCTGCATGATTCGTGCAGCTTCTGAGCCGAGGGATTTCACGGGATTGGCACGCAGAGAATAGATCTAGAGTTCCGTAGTCAGTAAAATAGTATTTGTATTCCAATTTACAAATGCATTGCACTTACCACCCTTGAGCTCTCACATGCGCGATGGAACTCCTTGAAAAAGGTCGTCTCGAGTTTGCTGTTTGCGTGGTTGTTTGCTTTGAAGGACTTCAGAACCTTGTTAAGGCGCTCGAATAAAAACGTCCAGAAGTCATGCAGCGGTCCGAAGTTGCGAGCGCAGTTGCTGACATGTGTGGAATAGTGATGATTTGGCTTTATGGCACTCGATCCATAGAGCTTAAGTTCAAGCACATTAGTGTCATTAATATTGATGTATAGTCTGGGCGATGACATACCTTAATCAACTCAACGTTGTATTCACGTAGTAACCGATCAGCCTCAGTGATATTGTGGTCGTTGATTGTGTGCTTGATGAGAATACGGATGGCCAAGGACAGCTTAAGAAAGTTCGCCGGATCGGTAGGATGAAGGTTGAGTTGCTCGTTGCGGTCTTCAGGAACCTCGGGTGTCTCTGCATCGCCTGGAGGGGGAGGTGGGCCACGTATCTGACCTTCAGGCAAGTCTTCGACAATCTGGGTCGCTGCCTTTCGTTTCTTCTGCGCCTGGGACGGAAACCCATATGTAGTACATAGAAGTACACGAAGATGTATGTGAAACTCACTCGTTTGACTTCGGCCTGCCACGCCTTCTTGGCTTGCTTTACTACCAGCTGTTGGAGCTTTTCCTGCTTCTTTGCCTTGGCGATGGCCATATTCTCCTGCGCAATATGGGACTTTTTGGTTTCAAAAGCTTCCCTTCCACGTTTCTTGGCTTCTGCGAGGGACGTCTTGTTGTTAGCCTTCTGGGAAGCTTCCCGTTGTTTCTCGGTTTCGGCCTGCTCAATCATGGAGATGCGGCGAAAGGGTGCTTCATCAGACGTCTGGTGCGGTAGATAACTGTCCCAAATCTGAGGTACCTATGCCTGTATAAGTTGTGAGCTTGATGTCAAGCGTTGATGAAACATACGATGATCAGGCCATATACGGTTGCCAAAAGCAACCACTGATCGGCCATAAGAGATCCACCGGCAGGGGTCCCAATGTCAGTTGGCAGTTTGCCGCACGAGCCTGGGATGATAAACTAGTAATGTTTTGAATGTTAAGTCGCTCTTGGAAGGGAAAAATAGGACACACATACATCTGCGAGCATGCTGTGTAGCGTGGCGAGCTCATGATTCGGCCGTAATATCTTGCTTTGAACCCAGATATTGTAAAAGTGTGTCTTCACTAATCCTGAGAATAGAAGACATGTCAGTTTTATACAGACTCGAAGTAGATATTATGATGCACCCAGGAAGAGATTGTGCATCGGATCTATGACGATTTGTGCGACCAAGTCGAAATATGGTAGGCGGGATAGCTGCGAATATTGTGTTGCATACTCTTTGACGAAGATCTTCTGTGCATTCGGCGTCGCAAGGTTGCGATACTGATCGCCTAAACGGCGCTGCTCAGCATCTGTTCGTGGCGGAAAAGCTGATATGGATAATAAGTTATTGTATACTGTCTGTGCGAGAGGCGGAAAGACATACCTCCTTGCTGAAACGCATTTGGATTTGTCTTGTCTGCCACAGATATCCAGCACTCTGTACAAAAATAAGTATGAGAGTGCAATGCGAAGCCTCCAATCTTGTGCGCTGCAGGCTTGTCGCATACGACCGCAACAAGGGCAACACGGACAAGCCATCCTAAGATAAGTCAGTAGACACTCACATAAAATAATATTAGACATACCTTCAGGCCGCGATTCAGTGGGAACTTTGATACCATGCTTCCAAAGCCGCAGTAGATCAGACACGATAGGCCAAAGAAATCGTTGTACCTGGTCCGGTGATTGCTCCTTTGGACCAGGCATGATACTCGTGCACATTAGATTTGCTGTCCGATACCTGCAAGGAAGGACAAAGCTGTATGAGAAGAAAGATGCGAGGATATCATAAAACTTACCTGTATTCTGGTGGCAGGTTACAGATCGAGAACGATGTTGGAGCCGATGAATGGGATGGCACGATATTGCTCCGAATGTATGAAAACCTGTCGTGAAGTACGTTCAGTCAAATCATAAAGTCAGCGGGAAGAGCGTACCAGTCCATGCCCAAGTTCACACCTAAGCGAAGCTCGCCATTTGGACCACCGCATTCATTCGTCTGGTTTGAAAAGAACAGATTGCCGTTGGGACCTTTAAGCTTCATGCGGCAGATATTGCCATTGAATATGTCTGTATACATGCCAGGTTTTCGTGGTTTGTCTCGCCACTCGTCGAGAGTAGCCTCGATGCCAGGAATCTTGAGGATTGACACAATTTGCTCAGACAGTGGGAGATAAGGGTACTTAATAACTGGAGTCTTCAGCGTGCGAGTGTTGCCACGTAGAGTCTGCCCTGGAAGAAAAAGTTCAACGTGGCAGGATGTGCAGGTATCATGACAACGCGGTGACGAGGCCGGAGGGTATACATTGCGACAATTCGGACAGACCGGTAACGTATGGATGGGTCTATTGACTCCGAGAAGGCGATTTCCGGACTGGAGTGTTGTGAACGGGGAGGTAGCAGTTGGGTTGAGAAAGAATAGTAGAAGAGTGAGGATCGCCAATAGTGCATTGCATGCAATGCGCGGGAGATGGAACTGGAGATGGAGCCATGATACGAGAGCATGTATGACCGTGACGTGCTCTGGGATGTCAGCGAGGTCTAGGTTATCTGATCGCACCTCTTCATCGATAAGGAAGGGATCGGGATCATCTTCATTGACGCTGGGGTGGGGGAGGCCATCTACTACCTCTGCATTGTGGGCATGATCAGTTTCATCAGCATAAGACCAGGATCCATTAGCGTAGGACATATCATCATAATTGAGGGGCAGGGCATTGTTCCGACTATTGTTCTGCTCGTCACAAAGTTCTTCTGCAATATGTCGGAGCTGACGTTCCACGGCGCGCTGTTCTGGGTCAGGAGGGAGATGGTGGGCACGAAATGAAGTGAGAGGGCAAGCGCCAGCAGACGTCCTTGCGTTGTACTCTTGGAAGTAGTCCACAGCGGAAAGCAAGGCCTTGGGGCTATGGAAGTTCGGTCCCAGATTCGGTAGTGCACTGCCAAAGGTCAGAATATCAAGGTCCTCGCCACTGAGAGTACCGTGGTCGAGCATCTCTTGTTCTACAGCGCAGGTCAAAGTATGCAGTGGGTCAGCAAAAGAGACATCAGGTGAGAGGGGGGGAGCAGGCATGCATATAGGGTATGGAAATAATCGTGAGACGGGCCCTGCATCTTTAATGACCGAACGGATGACCCTATGCCCTGATACACGCAGCTGTGACATCTGGGATGCTTTCGTCCTCGCACAAAGGTCATATCGCATATGGGCGGCGGCCATATGTGCAGGCACTAGCGCTCCATTACACCTGAAAGATTTGCAGTTGCATTGCCGGAACCCCATTGGAGGCGTGTTCTTAGTGAATAGAGTGTGAGGCCTTGAGGAGGTAGCAGGAGGACGTGCACGACGTTAATGATCACGTGAACATTATATTAGTTCCAAAAAAAGACAAGTACTACTTGCGAAAGCGTTTAGCGGGAGGGGTGGGGGTACTAGCTTCAGAGAATATGGGCATGCGACATCTTTTATTATTTTCCTGGCCAGCGATAAGTCCCTCTCGAATTTGGGCCCATCTTTCCTGAGTAATGATGAGTATGTGACAACACAAATGATGAAGTTTACTTACACACAACAGTTGTGTACTCACAGTATCAAACATCTCCGATCCAGCAAAACTGTCTGGGGTAAAAGTATGCCTAATGGAGGGGCCAGAAACCTGTGTGGGAAGAGATGAGACTGGTATTTCTGAAGTAGTTTTCTAGAAAGAGGTCAATATCAAGAAAAGAACGGTTCATGAGTCACAACGTACCTTGACAGCCGCAGTTGGGGTCTCCTCCATACTTTTGGGCTCAGTTTCACTCTCATCAATGAGAGGAATGCGAGGGGCGATAGGCAGGGCAGTACCACCCTCAGGGTTTGTCTGGCTTTTGTCGGCAGGTGGGAAATGGTCTGGAATACATCCGAATGGTCCTTGCATGGCAGGAAGTGGCTCGACGTTGACGAGTAGAGGATCCTATGTAATACCATCAGCAAGGAAATGAATTATGCGATGACTTACTGAGACGGCTGAAACATGGGCATCTGCAGACTCCAACTTAACCCCACCAGTACCAACGTTAGCACCGAAGTCGACAACGCACGCTTGAGTTGCACGAAAGGTATCATTGCCAAGCTCTGGTGACATCGTCGTTAGGGAGATTTCTATGGTCTGGTGTATGGCTGTGAGTGGAAGACACATGAACGGTAATTAGCCACATGTACCACAGGGCCTTGGGAGTTTGGCTCGAAAGAGAGCGTAACATTTTGGATGCTGGTTGGGACATGAAGTCGAAGGATGTGTGGCCTACGTTTGATGACTGTCGGGGGACCAACAAACTCGGTTTCGTCGGCTTGTGAGGTTGGAACCACTTGGTTAGCATCGATATGGAACTTTTGGAGGTGAGTGCATAGGCCAGAGGACTCGAGTACCACATACCTTGGGTTGGTTCATGGTGTACATGGCAAACCGGTGAACTTGGAGACCAAGGAAAATTTTCGCAAAGTCCATTATTTTTTCCGAGGGGTGCAAGGGCGGCAAGAGCCACTCTTCCGATGGTATTATAGTTGGACTATGGCCGATGAAGTCAAGCATAGTCAGAGTGGGGAAATGCACGTGCAAGAGGTCAGGCTATTGGTGTATTGACTATATTCAGATCTTGCCTACGTCAGATTATTTGGATATGTTACTCAAAAATCGTGGAGTCGGACTTTACTCAGACTAATAGCTATATCTTACAAAAAAAAATCAAGGTCAGATTATCTACATTTGGAGAATCCGGTTATGCCCCCTGCTAAAATCTCGTTTCCGCAGTGAATTGAATATTCTGCACCAGTGTAGAGGACCCCAGGCACTCCTAGCATCTTCCAGAACTTGCCAACGTCATAGGTTACAGTTGTTTTCCCAAACGGCGCAACGCTTGCGTAGTACGCCGGCAAGATTTGGAAAGTAAGCTTGCTGTTTTCCCGTCGTTTCGCGTGGTTTCGGTCACCGCAATCCCCGTGGCATAAAAGGGAAATGAGGAATCGTCATCGTTGTAGTTTCTTGTCCAGTCGCCCTTAGCACTCGAAAAACGCACGATCGCAATGTCCATTGCCAGACAACTTCTCCGTGAATTCAGGCCTCTCATGCAGATGTTTGAGGAGCCGTTCGGGAGGTCTGCCGTTAGTTACGGCTTCCCTCATCACCACTCTCTCTTTTCAGACCCTTTCTTCGGATCAGTAAATGCCCTTCGTCCAGCGGTGGATGTATCTGAGGAGGGGGACAAGTATGTCGTGGAGGCAGACCTGCCGGGTGTGAAGAAAGAAAACGTGGAGATTATTGTGGGTGACGGAGGTCGGAGCATCACTATCCAAGGGAAGACTCCGGCCAGTCGGCGTAATGCACCTGAACCCCAATCCCAGGAGGTCGACAACGATACAGCGGCCAGCGAAGGTGCGTCGGTCGTATCTGAGTATCTACTCTCGCAGCTAATCCCGTAGTCGTCACAGGAACAGGGGCCGTCACCACCACTGACCAGAGCCAGAATCAACTGACTACTGAGCGTTTGTGGTCTGGAAGCTCGGTCTTCACGAGGACGGTCTGGCTTCCCCGACCTGTTGATCGCTCTAAAGTGAAGGCTAAGTTGGAAGATGGTATTCTGACGCTGCAGGCTGCGAAGGCGGAAGATCAGGAGACTGTAAAGGTGCCAGTGGAGTAGAGAAGAAACCGATTATTGTATCGTTGGCTTCTGTACGTTGAGGACGTCCGAACTCTCTACTCAGTCATATGTAGCACTGTTTAAAATCATGTATTAGCACGAAATTGTATACGTTACACCCATTGCATGGTATCTGGTCGGAGGATGGCGAAGGGCAGCAATTCACTAGTCTGAGAACTCGACAAGACAGGTTTCCTCTCGACTGTATGAAGTGACTCGTCGCGGATGACGTTCCCCTCGAGCGCGTGAATGAAGTGGGTGGAAAGAGTGGAGTTGTCCCGGGATGTACGTGGGTCGGGTGGCATAGCACTGGGCCAGCGGGTGGCTAACGTATGTACGCGTCCAGAGGAAACGAATCTGGGCTCCCCACAAGGAATATCCTGCGCCCGTCGGAATAGCTGTGGTTGGGGTGGCGGGGTTGCCAGTTGGGACTTGGGACTTGGGGGAGAGAGTAGCACTAGCAGCCTCGTTCGCGTCGCTACCCTGCAGGCTGCAACCCAAAATCAACCGCTGCCAACAAACCTGTCAGTCTTCTTCCCATCCCATCCCCCATCGTGGCCAGGGAATCCGAAGAACAACAACAAGACCCCCGTACTCGGCCATAACAATCGTCGCAAACTCATGGCTGCCTATTACGCCGATTCGTCCATCTTGGCACATACAGCATCCCTCCAACCCTACGGGCGTTTCAGTGACCCCAACGAACCAAACACAAGTATGAGTGTATACGATCTACCAACAGACTCCGAGGGCGACGTTGAGATAGACGAACTAGTATCAGACACGGAAGACGACGAACAGCTGGCGAGCGCGTCTGCGGCCGGGCAAAAAAAAGGAGGAAGAAAGTTGGGAGAGCGGGTACCCGGAACGACCCTACTTCCTGCCTCCAGAGTCGAGAATATGATTCATGCTGATGGTGCGTCCACACAAAGATGCGTTTAGCTGCCTCGTCATACGTTGATACATTCATACTTTTAAAGGCGTCACCGGTAACCTTTCCATGTCCAAGGAAGCCGTGTTCATGCTATCAATCGCAACAGTGAGTCTTGACCACGCTTGAGATGTTCGAACAGGACCTCAGATGCACTCGTCGTTTGCAGGAAGAGTTCATAAAGCGCATGGTACAGGCCGGTCACCGGTCGGCGGCAGCCGTGCGGAGAAACACCGTACATTACACAGACATGGGTATGCTTGGACATCTTAATCTGTGCTTAGTTGCTCACTCCTTTTTCCCAGCAGCGTCAACGGAACAATACCAGGAATTCATGTTCCTGCAAGGTGTGATGCCCCCGCCCCCAAATTTCTTGCGCTGACCGCGTTTTTGCTCAGATACAATACCCGAACCCATAAGCCTTTCAAAGGCGCTAGAAAGACGCGAAGCCAAGCTAAGAGAGGACCTTGCAGCCAATCCTGCCGTGTCCTCCTGTATTCAAGGACAGTCGATATCGTCAGCCCCTATCCCTTCCGGTCAGCACGCCAATGGGAAGGCGAAAAAGAAGAGTCGCGCTCCACAGGAAAAGGAGAAGTCTGCGCGTAGCAGTCCAAGTGCACACCACGGAGGGTATAACGAAGAAGTGGAAATGGAGGTAGATGACCAGGAGGTCAACCACGTTCCTCCCTCAAGAAGTTCAAGTGGCAGAGTCATAAAGGCATCCCGAGTAGTGCGAGAAGGCATGCAGGAAAGTTCGAGCGGGAGTGTAGTCAATGGCTCCGCTCACCACCAATTGGAACCAGTAGAATCTTCGTCTGGATCGGCTTCACCACCCGGGGCGACGTCGGCTCAACGACCGACATACGACTATCAGCAACCGCTCCCCCCCAGTTGGCCTGGCCAGTATACTGGTCCAGCCAGCGGATTTCTTCAGGATCCGTCTCACGCGTGGGCGTACGTCAAGCAAAATCCGGGCCGCACAATATACTCGCAACAATCGCGGCACGAAAATTCCACATACCGTTAGTATGTGGCCTTTCCGACTTTGCAAGGACTTCCGCATGTACCACGGTCATTTGAGGACCGACGTTCTTGTCTACTACCCGCTTCACACATTTATCGCCTACATTAGTTTCGCAGAGATTATAGGGCAGCGTATGTACGCGTACATCACCATGCTGCCGATAATGCGAGGTTCGTTTAACCTTGCGCCGGGGTCCCGCTTACCAGTTACCGTTCAAAAGAAAGAAGTAGGGTGTCCCTAGTAAACTTGTATAGTTCAGGTGAAGTACTTGTAAGGCCAAGGCAAGTGCTCACCTTATCAAGCTAAGCCCCTAACGCTATCAGGCGCGGGAGCTCCTTGCTGCTGCGCCACGTATCTCGAATCGTCTACGAATTCTGGAGATGGGCCTCACCGAAGCACCCCTCCGACTGCCTACAATCGACATCGCACCTTACCTCGAAACTACGCAGTCCAACAGCTCAGAACGAGCAGCGGTCTCCAAAGCTCTTCATGAGGCTTGCGTAGAATATGGTTTCTTTTACCTCGACATCTCCAAATATGTGGATCCTGGCGAGCCTGAAGAGCTCACTCGACTAGCTCGCGAGTTTTTCTTCCTACCACAAGAAGAGAAGGACAAGATATCTATCACCCTCCAAGATAATGCCCGAGGTAGGCACTGGTCAAGACCGTCACAAGATACCACCCCTCTAACGTAGTACGTTGCAGGGTACCAGAGACTCAAGGAAAATGTTACTAACGGCAAGGCTGACAACCATGAAGGGATTGACATCTACAAGCCGGTTGAGAACCCCGACAAATCGAAAACCCTCTGGGGTGAGAACCAATGGCCAACGATACCCGGCTTTCGAGAGAAATATGAGCAGTGGATTGAGAAGATGAGGAAACTAGGAATGATCGTCATGGAAGCGTAAGTCATTCTCCTTCCTCGTAGCTGCAGCCCCAAAAAGTGATGTGTCAGGATGGCCGATGGACTTGGTTTGAAAGAAGATGAATGGAAGGAGTTCCGCTCTCAAGTGGAAGATAGCTTCTGGTATATGCGGATTATTGGTGAGCTGTACTTAGAATATTTCCCATCCTAGTCGGAATCCGTTTCATGGGGGATTTCATCTAGGTTACCCCCCTTTACCAAATGATTACGACGGGTTCTCGGTCGGAGCACACAAGTAAGCTAATCGCGCTTAGCGTACATTAGAAAGTGCTGAACACATATCCAAGGGACTATGGATGCTTGACGTGAGGATCAAATTGTCCGGCTAGTGCACAATATTGGCCAAGTCTCAATGAATTTGTGCCACACAGCCTGCTTTACGCGGATCCCACGCGCTCAGCTTTACAAGTGTTTTTGCATAGAAGTGGACACACAGTCACAGATATAAACGGACTTCCAGATGAGCAGGACGGTGAGGAGGGGGTATGGATCGATGCTGACCCTATTCCTGGGTGTATAGTTTGCAATATCGGCTCAAGTGAGTCGAGAAGAGCAAGGTGCTTAACAGTACCAGTGCTGACTTCAGTGTGTAGTGTGGGAAGTATGGTCGAATGGATTGTACAAAAGCACACTGCATAGGGTAATCCACAGGGGTGCCAACTACCGGTACGTCTTCCACGTTTGTTTCCATGCTGCTCACTCGACCGTTCCATTGCAGCGTCTCGTGAGTGCCTCTAGTCCAGTGTAACTAATACGTAGCTATTCAATCGACTGACTTCCCCACAGGATTCCGTTTTTCTTTGAACCCAACTTCGATGCGAATGTGAAACCACTGCCTGCTGCGATAGCACAGACTGGAGACGTGCAGGTCTACAAACCTGTGGAGTATAGTAAATTCCTGCTCAGTAAAGTCAGCTACAACTTTTCTTTGGAGGGTATGTAGTTTGTAAGTTGTACGTGTTACGGGAAGTCAATTGCTTTCGATCCTGCGGCGAGCCTTGTATGTCACGTGCATCTACGGATCGGACCCGGCAAGTCATTTCCGAGTCAAGAGGCCATGATTAATGTTCTGACATCGATCAATCGACATTGGATTCCTTGGAGGCATTTGAAGACCAGGAAAATGTCCTACGAAGCATCCCTAGCGAAACTAGCCTCCCCACTCAAGGAACTCGTCTCGAACGCGCAATCTGACACGGGGACATCCGATGCAGACAAGGCAGAGGTAATCAGCTGGATAGATAAGGTTGCAGCGGGGGATGTCGCGAAGGCCGAGAACTTCCAGGTCAGCCAGCCTAGCTTGCGCGTTGTGTGCCGTCTGATATGATGATTTGCCTATAATTTCAGGATTTAGACGCGCTTCTGACGCCTCGAACCTACATAGTGAGCAACTACTTCACTGCGGCTGACGTCGCGCTCTATGGCGCACTCCATCCAACAATGGTATGTAGCACGCTTCCTCCCTGAAAGACACGTCCTATAACGTGAGAATAGTCTCAACTCCAGCCTTCTCAATACTACGCTACCCCTGCGATCACCCGTTACTTCGATCATATCCAATTGAAACCCTCGGTTTTGAGTGCAGCACGGGCGCTGTGTCCAGCTTTCTCACTTATCACGTTCGATTTGGACTCTGCCCCTAAGATCGAGAGGAAGGCGGAACTACCGAAGAAAAAAGAGAAGGCGCCAAAGCCTACTGGTCAACAGCCACAGGGTACTGAAAATGCTGAAAGAACAGCTGCTACGGAGGTTTCCAAAGGAGAGGGAGCGACCGTAAGCAACAAAGAGCAGAAGCCCCAGAAAGAAAAGAAGGAGAAGAAGGAGAAGAACAAAGATACCGCTGTCGCTCAAGCCGAAGGCAGCAAGAAAAAAGGGGGTGCAGCTCCCGCCAATAAACCTGCGGAGGATGATGGCGAACCGGTTCCATCTATGATAGACATGAGAGTTGGACACATCATAGACGGTGCGCCACACTTCGCACCCTTATTTCTTACAGCGTTGAGCGTCGACTTCTAGTGAAAAAGCATCCTGATGCTGACAGTCTGTACATCGAGGTTCGTATCCAGAAATATTTTTGCCACGCTACCTATTAACTAAGTGTTCGACCAGCAAATAGATCTGGGCGAGGAAACGGGTCCTCGGACAGTTGTCTCGGGGCTCGTCAACTACATACCTATAGAAGAGATGCGTGATAAATACCTTGTTGCAATTGTAAGTGTGCATTCCTGCTACTAGATGCAACCGCCTACTTACGCTCGGTCAGTGCAACCTTGAAACCTGCAAATATGCGTGGCGTCAAAAGTTTTGCCATGGTCCTTGCTGCACGTGGTTTGTTCTTTCCGTAAGCCTGACTCCGCTGAGATCTCTGCTAGGCTACATCGAAAGAAGGTAAGGATGGTGGGGTCGAGCTGATACAACCACCGCCGGGAGCCAAACCTGGTGACCGTGTTTATTTCGAGGGACCAGAGTACGAGAGTTGGTGCCCTAGCAATTCACAGCGCGTTCTGGCCGCTGACGCCCTCTACAGACGCACAACCACTACCTCAGTTGAATCCAAAGAAGAAGATCTTTGAAACTATCCAAGCAGGTATTGCCGCCCATTGCTTCATTATAAACCAGGATTATGACTGTGTCCCGCAGGCTTCACCACACTCGAGACGAAGGAGGCGGTATGGATCAATCCCGTTACGAAGAGTGTGCACAGAATTCGTACCTAAAGACGGTGTTTGTCTCACCCCGACGTTCGTTGGCGCCTCCTTGTCGTAGTAGACATACTTGCGAATTGAAATAGTGTACTTTACGGTGGCTGTGCCAAAAGTGGTTGTAATAGGCGAACTAAATTTCCTGAGCGGATGTCATGACGCTCCGGACAAGCTTGGGGCTAGCCATCCGCCAGTTCAGTTCAACAGCTCGAGCGTGCGGGCACACGTCCAACATCGGCAAAACGCCTATACCGATTCCTCCCAATGTCACGTTGACACCGTCTCCAGCGTCAGTCGCTGTTCAAGGACCGCTGGGGTCGACCTCCGTCCGGCTCGAGCCTTACATGCGACTTGCATTTCCTCAACCGAATGTCCTAACGATATCCGTGGATAATGCAGAGGAGAAGAAACAGCGTGCTATGTGGGGACTGACGCGGACTCTCATTAGCAATGCGGTCGTTGGGATGACCGAGGGGTTCACAGTACCCATTTACTTGGTCGGCGTCGGGTACAAGGCAGTTTTGGAGGAGGACCCAAGAGGGACTATAGATGGTGGAGGTGGACAGAGACTCAGCATGAAGCTCGGTCATTCACACAACGTTTATGTGCCCATCCCTCCGTACATCAAGGCCGAGGTTCCTTCCCCTACTAAGATAGTGCTCAGTTGCACGGACAAGCATCTACTGGGCCTTTTTGCTGCCAAAATACGGAAGTGGCGGCCTCCTGAACCTTACAAGGGAAAGGTAGGCGCTATCTGCGCTCCTCTGTCTTCAATGCTTGCTTATATGTTTGCCTTGAGGGTGTCTTTGTCGGGAATGAGACCATACGTTTAAAAGCTGTCAAAAAGAAGTAGACTACCGTATACCTCGTCGTATTTCATGTTCGTCTTCTGTTGGGGTCGGCGTCTCTGGTTGTGCATCAAAAGACATCATATATGTGATAGCAAGAGTCTTAGATCAGTACCACCACCTGGTCGAGTACCAAGCTCCTGCATATGTGCCCACTACTCCCCGAGAACTTTACGAGCAAGATCTACTACTAGGAGCTTGAACACGAAATGCGGCACTCCGTTGCACCAAGTCGCATGTCCCAGGCCGCATCCCAGGTCACCAATGCCGTTGCGATGAACCGTCTTCTGGAGAAAAAGAAAGAATATGATGCTGTGGACCGCTCTCGAACGCGTTACAACACTCTTTCTGAATCGCATCGAAGGCCTCGCTGATGACTGCGAAGTGATGGCAGATGCTGGTCAAGGTGGGATCTTCCCTTGAGCACAAATAGCCGTTATACACCGGCCCATACACTGACACGTATGCTGTTTCAGTTCACGGTCAGGTACTCGAGCAATGGCAGAATATGTTCCGTATACTCGACCTCTTCCGTGAGTCCATTTCGTATTCCATCGTCCATATAACTAGTCCCAACTCCTTGGCAGTCGCAAACCGACAGCCGCATGGAATAGACGACTCTGCAGTAGTTGAGTCGGCTCCGGGAGAGCGCCTCGTGCGGATTCCTTTGGATGAGCTGCAGGTAGATGCCACGCATCCCTCGTGAGGGGCATAATAGACCTGTTGACGGGCCAAGGAGGTTATTTTACTAACTGAGAGTAGCTGCCTGCTTTTGTTGCACGGTTATGCAGATTGGTGTTGGCGTCCAACAGTCCTTCAGATCACCGGTACTTGATTCGTTCAGGTTCGCTGTATAGCCCATTTTCTTTTGACGGATGTTTCACCCTCAACAATTCCGAATCACCAATTATTTGGTCTTTCCATGTCCCATCTTCTTGCTCCGAAGGTACGCGCCTTGCGTTTAAAGTGTCTGGTCTCCACGCACCTGTGGATACACTTGCACATACGGTCATGCTAGTACACAGAGATCGCCACGAGAGTAAGTAGCTCAAATGCAGTTGAATAGCAGGTTTGACGTCGCCGCACTTATCAGCTGAAACGAAGTAGAACCCGAGAGAAATACGGTAACAATGTCACAACGCGACGCTCCACACTCAGGAAAGCGCTAAGCCACCATACACTAGCGCAGCCATCTCCCCAGCTAATGATAGATTCGCAGAACAGCCTGCATTCGGTGTCGAGTATGAAATAATGTCTGTCTTTCCGGTCATGACGGGTTCTGAGACGGAACAAACATGATGACAGGACCTGCGTATACGAAGGTATCGATGTTGGACGTGAAACGTGTCCTATGTCTCGTCCCACCACAACCAGCATGTCATCTAATAAGACACCCATTGTTCACCGATTCATCCATAATAGATTTGAAGAACGGAGAACCACTGCAGTCCACTGCCTTGTACTGTGTTGACCCTGTTGACCCACTCATTTATTGCCCCGATCTGGTTGTCCCTGGCACATATGATAGTCGGTTGTCGAGGGAATGAAGTCGTACAACTCTGTAGTGCCATTGATGCTCACAGTCCCGCAATCCATGTGTCAAGCTTCAAGTTGGATAGGCACCATTTCACCCACAAGGATGGTATGGCAGGTAAACTGAAAATCGTTATCATAGCCCGAGCACCACAGACTCGCTGTGGAGGTATAAAATCAGTTTCATCTGTCTGGTCCCACATCAATGAGCTTACGTATCACGTGACTTCAGTGGTACCGTGTGCCCAGCAGTGGCTGTTACGCAGTTGCATAAAACATTGACGTTCGAAGACGACTGCACCCTCCAATCGAATTGCAATGTCTACAGATCTGTGTCCACCATACGCTCCTTTCTTTGGTTTCGCGGGGGTGGCCTCGGCGGTTCGTTTCAAATTTCCCGGAAAGCTATACTCAACTGACGCTGCGTCTGTCACTGGTTGCAGATGATCTTTAGCAGTATGTCTGACGTTAATGGGCAACTCGTGACGGTACTGATCTGGAGGGATATCTAGCTGTCGGTGCAGCATTCGGGACCGCCAAGTCTGGCATTGGTATCGCCGGGCTGGGTACATTTAAACCAGAGTTGATTATGAAGGTACGCATTACCTTCTCCACTTGTTCGTAGTACCCGTCGACTAACGAGAACCACTAGTCCCTAGTACCAGTCGTCATGTCTGGTATAGTAGCTGTATACGGATTGGTAGTGTCGGTGCTCATCGCAGGGTCATGTGAATGTTCCTATTTTTCTTGTTGCTCGTCCACCCACTCACCTTGCTCGGCTCAGTGCACCCTTCTAAAGACTATCCCTTAGCTGCCGGATTTATACACCTCGGAGCAGGGTTGTCGTGTGGAATGACTGGGATTGGGGCTGGCTACGCAATTGGCATAGTGGGCGACTCGGTGGGTCGAAAAACTACCCCCACAAAGCTGACTTGAACTGAACCAAGCATAGTGTGTACGCGCCTATGTCTACGAGCAACGAATATTTGTTGGGATGGTCCTCATTCTCATTTTCGCAGAGGTACTTGGGTTGTATGGGTAGGCTATCATTTATGTTGTCTTCGTCATCTCCACTGACCGCCTGACTGCTCGTTAGGCTCATCGTTGCCCTAATCATGAACACGCGAGTGACTTCTCTTGGTGGATGTAATTGATGTTACCCTTCCATGCGACAAGTATCGTACAAATAGCCTCATGGCATACGACGTAAGATATAGTGATTCAAGACAGCCATTCGTCCATGAGCCTATCTTGACAATGAAGATGAATATGAACGACCGCGACTGCGACTACGGCTGCGGCGCCCGCGAGGAACACGTCTCTTTCTGTCACGTTCTCTGGAGCGCGATGAGTTGGAGCTTGAGGACGAACGAGAATCGGAGTCGGAATCATCACTGTCATCACTGGAGTGCGAAGTCGTCGTGGAATCCGAGTTTGAATCCGAGTCTGATTCAGAATCAGAATCAGACGTCGAAGAGGAATTCGAATCCGGGCTATCTGTGGTAGATCGGCTAGACCTGTGATAGAAAATGGTTTGTAGGAGCACAGCTGCGAGAGGTCCCCATACCTTCGTGCTTTCTTCCTGGTATCGGAGGTGGACGCGGAGGTGGCTGTAGACGATTTTTCTTTTGCTCTCTCTTTCTCTTTGGCTTCCAAGATACGGTTTGCCGTCCCACTCCTACACGATTGGCCATCAGACGTAAGACTCATCACGGTTCACAAAACACGTACTTTCTCGTAAACTCTTCTGGCACCTCTACGGATGGCTTTCCATCTGCCTTGAGTTTGGCGAGTAATTTAGGATTTTCCATCATCTGCGTCCTCGATGGACGAGATACATACGGGCGGGGCGATTTACACTCGTAAGTGAAGTGACCTGTGTATTAATGAGCTGTATTCCTGTCATGATTTGCCTAAGATTTACCTGTTTGTAGACATTTCTGACAGATCGTGGACGACGTCGCACGAGGTGCGGACCTGTGATGAGGCGCGTACTTGGACATCTCAGTGGGTCGCACTCAACAAGTATTGGAGTCCGACCAGAAAGTCATTGTTCGTGATTACATAAGGTGATCCTTTTTTGTTCATCGTAGATCATGGTCAGCGCTTCGGGAAACCTAAGAGAGGCCTTATTGAGGGTAATGTATTAGCACATGTTGCAGCGGTCACATCTGAAAGCGTCCATCGATGGGGGGAAGAGCGTTCTCAAACGACTTTCCACCAGGTTCATTCCCGAGGCTCCCACCAAGGCTGTACCAAGATCTCAAAGATCGTCTCACCCCCCTGTTACAGACAATCTACACCCTCGTAGAAGTACCGCCCGAGGCTCCAGGAAAGAAGGATCACGGGGATATCGACTTCGTCGTTGCTCAGCCAATTCATGAGAGTGAGGATGCATTAACAGCTCTGGTAGCACAGGTCCTTGGAGCAGTCAAGAGCGTGGAGATGGACGGCAATCGAACGTCTAACTACGCTCTTGAACTGAGTCAAGAAGACTGCGAGCTCTTGGCATCTAATGGTTCACTACCCATCCAAAAATTATACCTCCAGGTCGACATCCATGTTTGTCTAGACGCAGAGGAGTGGGAGTTACTCAAGTTCATGCATGGGTACGGCGACCTCGGAATCATTATAGCTGGCATTGCACGGTGCCACAACTTGATACTCGGAACCAAAGGACTCAAGGTTCAATTGAAATTAACATTACGGACCTATCTGTCAATTGACGTTCGAACAGGTCTCGAGCCCACCAGACCCCCCAATATACCTGAGCAAGTCAACCCATGCAATAATGGAGTTTATGGGTCTTTCCATGGATAGGTGGAAAGAAGGATTCACCGCAGTCGAGGAGATATTCATCTTTGCATCGACGTCACGCTTCTTTGACCCTCGACGTTTCCGCAGACCTCAACTGCACTCGTTAACCAAGTCGGCTGGGGGCCGCGAGATGTATCATGAGTTTACCGCATGGGCACAGGGTCTGCCCCCCGCTACACATTGCCTTGAAGCCGGACCGGAAGCAGTCGAGGAAGCATTGGTGCATTTTGGAAAGAAGGGGGAGTGGGATGCGGCTGCCCTCGCACGTGATAAAAGGTTGTGGTCAAAGAACAATTTTAGCGGAAAACTGGTAGCGGAGTGGACGGGGCTCGGGTGGAAGGGAGTGAAAATGGTCATGGACAATGTCAGAGCATCGGTTGGCGGAGAAGATAAGCTCTACGGGCGACCACTGCAGGACGTCAGAAACTTGGTTTTGGCGACCAAAGATGCTTTGAGCCTCTGATAATACGGTGTAGTGGAGGAAATTGGGAGCAACACGATGATGCCGGAGAATGATACCATGACTACGAGGATCAAATGCGCATCATTTCTACATCCAATTGGAGATTTTGTTTGTTGTGCGGTAGGGGGCGCCTGAGGAGGAGCATTATTGCCTTCGTAGGTGTGCCACTGCACTCACAGTACTGGTAACGCTCGAGACCTGTGTTACCATTCAAATAAATCGGAACCCTTTCGTCGTTATTGTCCATCCGTTCCCTATCAGTTCAGTAGAATCCAAAAAGCTGGGGGATGTCATACAAACCAGTAGTTCCCGACAACCGAAAAACAGCGAATTCAGTTACACGTGGGGTCTTCGTTTCCCAGAAACCTTGATGGCGTCCAGTATACCCCTCACCAAGCAGCAGGAAGACATACTAGAACAATTTCGTAGACAAGTATTCGAGGAGGACATCCTTCATGAAGGTGATTCGATAGGGACTGACGATCTGACCTTGCTGTGAGTAGTACCTTTTTGGTCGGCATGCTCCCCGGAAACCAACACGTTCCACTGTACACAACGTAGTCGGTTCTTGCGAGCAAGAAAATTCAATCTCAATGAGGCGAAGAAGATGATTAGAAACGCTCAGCACTGGCGCAAAACTGTCGCCGGTGTTGGCATAGACGAGTTGTACAACCAACTCGATATATTCAATGTGAGCGTCGGATGTGTCTTTGGCCACGCTACTACTGACACCCAGCGTCCGCCTTCGTCAAGTACCCTGGTCGCGAACATGTCTTCAGGTCTTGGTCAATGTATTTCCACAAGGCATGTTTCTCACTCCACTGCGACCTTGAGGGGTTTTGACTGTCTCGTGCTTTAGACAGATAAGGTGAATGATACAGCACGTTTTCATTCGCCTTCTTCCTCTGAAAGGCATGGTGGCAGATTGGACGACCTTTGAACGTGCAGTTCCTTGCCGGCTGCGACTTATCTGAGCTCTACAAATATATTACCCCTGACAAACATTGGGAAACAATCGTTGTATCAACGGAAACCCTCGCCCGTAAGGTAATCCCCGCTGCTAGCCATGCAGCAGGCCATCATATTGGTGGGGTACTCGCTATCGTAGATCTCAAAGGATTTGGGTACGTGTGTCACGGGCTTTTCAGGCTAATTGCTTGTCTTGAAAAATGTTTGTGTCAGCCTGTCTCAGTTTTGGCAAGTGAAGTCTTTGACACAAGCCTCTCTTCAGATGTCGCAAGATTACTATCCGGAGATGTGCGTCTCATCTTCAGTGCTGCTAATCACCCGCCAACATGCGTGTTTGCTCAAAGAATGGCCAAGCTTGCTATCGTCAACGCCCCATCTTCGTTCACGTTTATCTGGTCCATCATCAAACCATGGCTGTCGAAAGAGACAGCCGAGAAAGTCGATGTGCTAGGGTCGGATTATCAGAGCGTTCTTCTCGAACTGGTCGATGCTGAGAACTTACCTACCACTCTTGGCGGAAAGTGCACCTGCGAGAACGCCGGTGGTTGCGATTTGAGCGGGGCGGGTCCATGGATGGATGAAAGACTTGCACAACGAAAGCAGGAAACAAACGGTACTTTCACCGTGGACGCTAGAGCAGAACCTGTGTCCGACCTGTGGGAGACGTAGCTGATGGGCCTCAAAATGTCAACCTCAGGTCAAACACCTTATCCGATGATACCACCCTGTGACATGTACTGTCCTTCCTCGAGCTTATCACTTGCCGTGCTGATTAACGACCTCATGAGGGCTGGTTTTGGCTTCCATTTGTAAAAATGATGAGACCACATGAAATGAGAATATTTGTCATTGGTGTGGGACTCACAGCAGACGCAGTCTAGCTGGAGGCGGACGCTGGGAGATTCAACGAAAGACGAAGAACCTCCCAGATCTAGCCGGGCGGTGTGAGCATGTACACTACAAGTCAAAGCCGTCAGCGCGAGTCGCTCGCTTCTCCGTCAGGGACTACAGCAATAAGGAGAGAGAAGGGGCTAGCACGAGGATAAGGCCATGATGGAGACATGATTATGGCAATTGGCCGCTGTGGCAGGTTCAGTGGCGTTAGCTCCAGCAACGTGTCCGTCTGGGGGTGACCGCAGATCTAATAATGATGGTGCAACGTGAGCGGTTTTCAAAGTGAGCATTCAGGCTGTGTGAAACCTTGAGTGGCTGTACAACTTGCAGAGTCCAGAAATATTTGGACAAGATACTTGTCACTATATATTTAAATTGAAAAATACATTTAAATGCAGAGGAATCAATACAGAACAATCCTCAATAGGGAAGATATAGAAAAATGTCGAAATGGTACCACCAAAGAAGTGCCGGCTTCAATCCAAATGACATATGCGTTTTGGCTGCCGCATGTTCCGACGGCTTCTCCGCTTGAATGCGTCATCAGTCACACCAAGAACACCTGTGCTCGGAGTTTAAAGTATGTCAACTCAGATTCTAACTTGTATCTAAATCATATGATTTGATTAAGTCGGTAAGTTACTGCGAGAAGTTACTGCGAGCTTTGTTAAGCTGTTTATTAGATCCTGTTAGGTTGGGCAGTTATGTTTGGTTAAGATCTGGCAACTATATTTCATTCAGAAGTTCAGTTAGGGGTAAAGCGGAGCTTGAATTATCTCGGCGCTGACTCTTCCACAGTCTAGTTACTGTACTGACAGAATCTCGTTTCCGCAATACTCAACTGCCTAACTCACAAATCATCGATCATACACTGTTATATCACTTGCGCACCCCGGAAATCCAGTTCACAGGATCACATTGCCATGGCCCACAGCTGCATCCGCACAGTCGACCCTGCGAGTAGTAATACACGCGACTTGCACGACTCTGACGATCGCCGTGCAAATCATGGTATGACACTACCACCTAAAGAGTCCGTCAAAGACTCATAGCCCCCGCCATAGATGTGATGGCAACTAGGACGCTTCGTTCTGGGAACCTACGGGAACTGCCGCACGGTCTCCGAGTCGAATAAGCATATGCTACCATCTGGCAAGGGAAGGATGGTTTCCTGCGAGTGCCCAGAAGGTTCAATCAAGCGTGAATCGTTCATATTCCACGCAATCCTTCTATCCCTCCCTTCCATATCTATCCATGTTCTCGAGGAGTGGCCCATTTATGGAACTGTAATCAGCAACAGGATGTTAGACCCCTCGTTTAACGTGCGTGTGGCGCTCATTCGGAGGGCCATTCGACTTGGAGCAGTAAGTTAGTCGCAGTCACCCTGTGGACCGGTGATGTGGCGATGATAGAACCATGCTTACAAGGCTACCAACAACTTGCACTGCTACGGTAGACTCCCGTTCAAGTTTCGATATATTCAGCAGCAAGTTACCACTGTTACATGTTCATGCTACGAGCATTGGAGTCAAGACAGCTGTCCGTTCCACGTTGTGTGCTACCGACTTTCCAAGCGTCTTTTTCCTCGGTGCATCAGGCTGTGCGTAATGTTCATAATATGGAGGTCTGGCACAGCGCCCTCCCGTTTATAGCAGCAAGGCGTGTATTTTTGCGTGTATTTTTGCGTGTACGCGGTGCTTGGAAAACGCGCTGTAGGATTCCATTTCCTTCTCCCTGTATTTACCGTTTGCTACTTCAACAGGGGACTGTTGGGCGCAGCCAAGGGTAGCGGTGCATTTTACCCACCCACTATTGATCATGATCCCTTCAGGGTCCTCAGCGGCGCCTGCGGAATGGTCGAGCTCGCATGGTCCGGACTGTATAAAACGCATGTACATGGCGGGATTTCTTCTACAAAGTAAAAATGTACCCCGACCAACCTAAGCTGACCTTCTCCCTTTCTACCCTTTTAACATGTTCATGTGATGAATCCAACATGTTTAACGGAGCCGTTAGGGACACTTATTTGGCGCCAACTCAACTTGCGTGTTCCCCTGACCCTACTTGTTCGGGGTATGGCGAAAGGAGGGGCGATTCATCATCACAACTGCATCACCAAGGTCAGCCTTTTGTCTTTCTTTCTTTGTGGTCGCCGCCTGACAAGACTGAAGGACTCGTCGGCAACGACCCGTGCTCGTTCAGTGACTCTGTCAGATATACTTCGGGGCAAAGTCAAAAAGGACATTCATGCACAGTATTTACACCTGATACTATCACTTGGGATGCAGAGTTGGATCTAGCCCGAGTGGGTGATGCTGATACAGTGCTTCCTCAAAACGCAGTACAGGAAGTGACCCACGGATACCGAGCGAGCTACTGCACAGGAACCCCAACCAACGTAAGCAATGTTTATTTGATTTGTTACCACGACCAGTTCCTCACATCATGCATCCATTCAACATTGTATTTCTAGAGAGGCCAGTATTCCAACTGCCCCTCGACAAGTTGCCTCCATTTATGTGTAGATGGGACTTTGTGTTTGCAAGAGATCAGCTGTGCTACAGTTCCGAGCCACTTTGTTGGCCATGGCGTAAAGAAGAAGTCTCGCAAGAAGGCGGTCCGCTGTATGTGGGAAGGGTGTGTCAAAACAGTTGCTCGACACTCATTTGTCCGCCACGTTCGCGAGAAACACCTTGGACATGTCAGGGAACGAGCGTCCACAACTCGGAGAACGAATCGGGCAACAAGCCTAATCCCCCTTCCTTGGGGGATGGTATGCGGGGCCATCCCAGCTGAAAGTGAGTACATTTGTACCAGACAATACTTCGAGACTACCTCTCACCTTTGAATGACAGAGCACAAGTTATGAGTTGGAACGGACTGTTCATCGACAGGATTGTTGGGACTTGCCCCTTTATATATGTGTAGTGATTCAAAACAAACCACTCTTGAGTGGACGTAGATTTCTAGTGGCCGTCTTTCTTAACTTTTCAATTTCAGTCTCTGTTGCTTAACTTAGATCCCGAACAGCGTCCATGACGGCCCTAAGTACTCGTGCGTCTGGTCGAAGGTAAAAAGACGGCTCTGGGAGTACCGCCGTTGCCACTGCTATCGGCTCGCATGCCGCTATTCGTTTTCTATGAGTACCGACCTCATCATCTAAATAACCAGTCTTCAAACTCGTCCAGTTCACTGGACTACGTTCAAGCTCGAGTTGTCGTTGGCTATGAACATACCCTGACTTTATCGACGCTGGTCACCTGGCCCGAATTGTAAATATTTTAATTTATGACCATGATGAGGGGGTTACTTTTACACGGTGCACGGTAATGATAATTACCACACGTGTTTGCCCAAGTTACATACACCAGCCCTCCGAGCAACCCAGGACCGCGGTTTGAATCGGATTAACAAGTTACAGCGTTCCCAGAATTGCCTGATTTAGCAACAACCAGCACACCTGTAGAGCCCCCTGATCGAATGGTGACGAGGCAACGTTCCATGCCCAGAACAAGTTAATCACAACACTGCGGTCACTGCAGCTAGCATGTAAATAGGAGTTATAGTTCAAATAGTATGTAGCAAAAACCTTGGGTGTGATTCCACAACAATGAATGAGTTCCATACAATTTCCGCAGGTGTTTTCACAGGTTTATGTCTCAGCGTCGGCAGGGACGCCGACCACAGGATTGATATTGGAATCAATACAGTCACCAGCAACAGTATGCCTGTCTCGGACAGTTTTGGCATTGCGTTCAGGGTCGAACAGCCTCATGGACACCACTGATCTTCTCAGCTGAAAGTCATGTAGGACTGTCTAGCGAGCTTCCTGATCTGTAGTCCATCCTGGTTTTCAACGCACGTCAGTATTGCTGTCTTCTGGGGAAGACACCTTGAAGCTTCATCAGCAAGTAGCAGTGCATGAGGATTACTAAAGTCCCCGTCGATGATCGCTAGTACACGGCAGAGAGAAGAATGGCTAAACGCTTGGTTAACTTCGATCGGAAAGACTTCCGGGATAAATGGAACATACCTCACTATGACATTCCGCCCATCTACATCGCTGTGTCGCAACACGAAGGGGTGTCCGCGTATCGCTGGGCCTTAAAATCATCCCCCCTGCTCTTCGCGAGCTCGAACGCCTCCTTGGATATCGAGTTGGAAACTGTCTCTTCCCTAAATTCTGCTTCGTGAGTCGTAAGTGTGCCTTTGTGCAACATCTGATCCGTGTAATGATAGGTCGAAGGCCGACTGAACGTATTCTCGCATGGATTTGTACCTGTTTAAAATGTGAGTGCACAGTGCAGATGGTCGTCGTCGAAGCGCTGACCGCCCCGATGTTATATAGACCAAAAGTCCGGTAAGCAAACCTTTCCACTCGCGGCGTCCCATTCACTGTGGGCCACAGGATACCATCTAGGCTGATCGCCCCGATCAACTTTAAGTTCGTCTTTGTCCTCATCGTACGCATTATTACCTGTGCGATTTGGTTGGCTGCATTTAGCTTTTCCTCCTCTTTCTCACACACAACACAGGGTATTTCCATCGATGTATTCTATGGCTATGAATTCCGATCTACAGGTGGAGCTATAAGCGTAGATAACCGGATTGGGTATGTTGAGATCGAGGTGGTGTTTACTATACAGCATGCACCCTACGGCGGAGCACGTCTGCCATCGGAAGTGGCATCGGAATCAATTGGAAAGTGCAGGACAAAGCGAAAGCGGCGGTCGGATTGACTAGTGTCAAGGTTAAGTATGTGTACGAAATTCTAACATCCTTGCTCTATGTCACTTCGTCCGTCCGGGGCGAGGTGAATGCCCATCATGTGGCATGGCAACGGAGGTACCATAGCTGGTTGAATCCAGCGTGGTTACCACATGGTAGCGAGGAAATCCAGAAGGTTCTCGAAAGAGAACCACCCTTACTCGAGGGCTGGTCGCTGACCTGGGTGCGCATCACATCGCAGGCCTTGAAGGCTGGGGCAGGAAGCTTCCCTGCCCCCCTCTCGTCTTGATTCCCAACCCGTGTATACAAGACCTGGGATGGGTCACCCTTAGCACCTCAAGCATCACGCCTCGTCGGTCGCCCCACTGGTGTAAGGGCAACACCCATCGTTGGTAGTCCTACTGGTAGCTACCTAGATGGCTCGGGATAGGAGGTGGTTGGGGTAGCGGTCCTACGCTTACTGTACACGGCCCTGACCCTCGGGGAGGGGTGACTGACGGAAGTAGTAAGTAGATGGACAGCCCCGATACCTCCCTAGCACATAGATCTAAAACTACCCCCCGAAGGGGGGTAGTTGGCCAATAACCTCGGTGGCATCTACTCTGGAAACAAGTTTTGAGGATAAAGTCACGGTGGGACTCGCTATGGGGGCGAAAAATGTCCCCTTTGAGAGAGAATCAACGACCTCAGCGAGTCAGAGGGCGGAGTTTTGAGAGAGATGCCATTGTGATATGGCAGTTAACGTTGAGGCTCCGTACAGACGAGGTACGTGCGGGGTGGCGTTCTTTAAGGAGTTCACGCGTCCGGGTCGCCGTGGTACGACAGAAGCCCTAGACGGCCAAAAGTATAGAGGGCATGTGGTTGAAAATCCTTGAGGTTGCCCTGCGATCTTGGTCCACCAGGTCCGCAGTGATGTAAACACCTAGCACACAGCCTTTGTACAATAGATTAGATGTCACCACCGAATATGTTACAGAAATTTACTGCACGAATAGAAAAGCACCACCTAAATCGCTGGAGTGAAGCGAGGCGTCTCTTGTCGGTATATAGTCATGTATCCTGTCCCTCGCGTCTTGAGCAATACACTCCGCTATCCACGTGAGGTTACGAATCTCCTGCTCCTTCAACTTCACATAACAAGGTAATCCCCACTGCTAGCCATGCAGCAGGCCATCATATTGGTGGGGTACTCGCTATCGTAGATCTCAAAGGATTTGGGTACGTGTGTCACGGGCTTTTTTCAGGCTAATTGCTTGTCTTGAAAAATGTTTGTGTCAGCCTGTCTCAGTCTTGGCAAGTGAAGTCATTGGCACAAGCCTCTCTTCAGATGTCTCAAGATTACTATCCAGAAATGTGCGTCTCATTTTCAATGCTGCTAATCACCCGCCAACATGCGTGTTTGCTCAAAGAATGGCCAAGCTTGCTATCGTCAACGCCCCATCTTCGTTCACGTTTATCTGGTCCATCATCAAACCATGGCTGTCGAAAGAGACAGCCGAGAAAGTCGATGTGCTAGGGTCGGATTATCAGAGCGTTCTTCTCGAATTGGTCGATGTTGAGAACCTACCTACCACTCTTGGCGGCAAGTGTACTTGCGAGCACGCCGGTGGTTGCGATTTGAGCGGGGCAGGTCCATGGATGGATGAAAGACTTGCACAACGAAAGCAGAAGACAAACGATACTTTCACCGTGGACGCTAGAGCAGAACCGCCGTTATCATCCCCGCCTGGGTCTGCTTCAGGGCGCGATGGCAACCACAGAACCTGTGTCCGACCTGTGGGAGACGTAGCTGATGGGCCTCAAAACGACAACCTCGGGTCAAACACCTTATCTGATGTTATCACCTCGTAACATGTATCATCCTTCGTCGAGCTTATCACCTCCCTCCCTGCTAGCTAATGACCTCACGAGGCCTAGCTTTTGCTGCAGTATGCATAAATGATGGCACAGCACATGAAATGAGAATAATCGTCGTCGATGTGGGACTGAAGAAACAACCGCTGCCCTTACGCTCGGTCACAATCTACCAGCTGGTGCTGTGAAATGAGCGTTGTGTGGCAGGCAGGCAACTTCTTATCTAGGCCACCTATACAAATGACTGGAAAAAATATGTGCGAACCTCAAGATACAAATTACCTGCTCTTGGTGCCCTTCTACCGAGTTGTGATCTTTTTCTGGGACTATGAACTCGCTAAAAACGGGTACGCGACAGGGTCAGCTGTATATAGCTATGCATCGTCTTAGGATGGGGGTACACTAGAATTGCCGCTCATTATTCCTCACCATTGATATTATATTTGCTGTCCAGCCCAGAGTGGAAACTCGCTAGCACATATGCAGGGAAGCGTGAAACACGACATGGTCGAAACAATACGTTTATATTACCTTTTTGGTGCGAACAGCCCACGCCCAAGTCGGAGGATTGTGGGCCGAAATTACGGCTCTGTTCTGTTTTCATTTCGCAAGGTCTGTTTTGTTTGAAGGGTCTGCTCTGTTTTCATTCGCAAAGGTCTGTTCTGTTTCAAGGGTCTGCTCTGTTTTCATGTCGTAAGGTATCTCACGTGCTGCTATGTGCCGCACCTCCTCATTCCTCATGTTGGAAATATGACTATATGTTCCGACGTCTAGATTGATCCAGACTAACACGTGTATCAACACGTTGTATGTCACATGACATTCCTTAGCAATCAGCTCCACAATGATGTCATACTGACATCATATTATACGTCATGTTCCATGACCTTCTGCACTATTCTTTACTATACTGAGTAGTAGTTTCCTTTTACGCTCTTGGTCCGTGCGTATCTACTCATGTATATAAACTCGGGGATTTCTTCCTCAATCCCCAGTTCGAATCAAGTATTCGTTCTTCACTTGTCTACTCGACAACTGAGCCCTCAAAGCTTACCTCAACTTCTTCAAAAGCTACTACCTTTCTGAATAAAGGCAAGTGTTCGTGCCTCGCTCTTTTATTGCTTCCCGTTCCTCTGCGCAATAGGTTATGAGCCCCGCCTATTACTAGGTGGTAAGCTATTTACGGTATTTGCATAGAGCGATCACTGCCGACGGGCAATATCGCTATGGATATCGTAGGCCTAGAATGCGCTAGGATCGGTAGTAGTAGTCTTCGCTGTCGCATGTAGTCGCAGGCCTTAATCAGGCCGTTTTATTACTTCATTATGGTGGACATGACCCTGCTTATCTGCGAGAGCTGGCTATCCGCTCCATCGCATTTTGGTTCTCATTTCTAGGTCTCTCCGCCTTGGTGGCGAAGGCGACAACTTCTTGCTCCAACAGCAGATTGTTCGCAGGCTGCTTTTACAGCGCCTTGTTCTTCGTCCGCCGACTCCTCCGCCTCACTATTTACATTTTCATCTTCCTGATATCGATCACGATGCAGATCTCGACCCAGTTCCGCCGTATGATGAGGTTGAAGCGCGTGATCCGCCTTCTCCTCGTCGTGCACCGACTCCTCTTCCCGAGGAAGTAGCGGCTGTCAACGAATTGTTGGAACAACCGGTCGTTCTCGCTGTCGCTGACGACATCGCTGAGTTCGATCTACTCTAACTTTCGTTTGCTTTGTCGCACTGGAACTGATCTAAAAATAAAAGATGTCTCTCGTCGTTGCAAAGAAAACCGAACTCCAAATCGCTGAACAACGTGACGGGATGTATGATGTAAAGTGGAGGAAGTACGCGGTGAAAGAGATTATAGAATATACTGAGATGTTATATGTACGGGATTGTTCGTCTTGGAGAGAGGCTGTTCCTTCGAGCGTCGGGTTCTTCAAGAAACCCAATCCTGCGACCTACCTCGTTCCAATTGACACCGTGGAAACAGCGTGGCAGACTATGCCCCACTTTCCCGGGTTCGAATCGCCGTATTTTTATCCAGGGATCCATCTAGCCTACCACGGCTATCTTACCGACTTCTTTCCCAAACTCTCCCATACCTCGTCTCCACACGCAATAGCTAATTTTAACGGTTGCGATCTTCCTTCAGCATACTATGAAGATCCTGCCCTCTACTCTGTTCCCGCCTTTACCGTTACCCATGACACATTCGTCTACGTCTACTATAACGTCCATCCCTACTATGACCCCTGCTTTAACGGCCTCATCCCTCCTCTCCTCGTTTGGAACCAGCATCTTGAATATTGTTTCCGAGGAACTTGGGATGACGGGTCAACGGATGTCCGATGTGTCCCAAGATGGTACAGGGAACGACGCCGCGGAGGAGACCGCTTTGATAGCAGTCTCGCTAGGTTTATACGACGGTATAGGGATGAAGCTGATGTGGGAACTTCCCTGCGATATAACTCTTCTAACCGGCATCTTCAATGGGGTCTCGACCCCATTAACACAGACTTCGCTTACTGGCCCGGAACAGAAGAGATTTTATGCGATCTCGAACGTGTCATGGACGACACTTCTTATGACTATCTTGCAGCTCCCCGACCTCGAGGAATACGCACCACGGCTCTTAGCCGAGCTCGTGAAGCTCAAGCCGTACGTCAAAAATTATCCTCTTCCAAGCTCTCTGGACGTACCGTACACATCCGGCGGCCGAAACCATTCGGCAACTAATACGTGTACATTATATGAATCATACAATGTTTTCGAGGTACTTGTAAAGGACAAACATTTTCGTCACTCTTATGCCATAAATGTACCATATTCTTGCGCCGAGTCCTATTTAGGATTTCGATCGGATGGGATTCCATTGCACGATTGCAATTGGAGTTTTTTGTCTTATCATTATTTCCCTCCGCTAGACTTTTTAAGTCTAGAGCGCAATAATTCTCACATCTCATCTTGGAGATTCGCTGAGAAAGGTACTTTGGCACCACGAAACAAGGTGGAGAAAAGACGAAATCCACGTCCTTATTACAAGAATACCTGTACACATATCCGCTGCAAATCTCAAAAGGCTAGAGCATCCGCTCGTCGAACCAAAATCAGGGATCATGAACTCAATCCTCCATCCATCCTTATTCATCCGACTCATTCGTATCTGTTCGAACACCTGCTTATGGACTTTTAGATGTCCGAAGGTCTTTCGAAACAGATCCCCAAACTTAACGGTCTTAACTGGGCCTCTTGGTCGGTTCTTATGAAGGCATATATGCAAACCCTTGGTATTATGGGAATTGTTGACGGCACCACGGCTTTACCGGCTGCTCCCCAAGCTGCTATAGATGCCTGGCATGTGTCTGACACACGTGCACAAGGTATTCTTACCTTATACTGCGATCCGATGATCGCTATGTCAATTGATGGACACGCGAGTTCTCATTTGAAATGGGAAGCTCTCAAAACTGCATACGGAGCTCCTTCGGCCATGACTACGTTCATGGAATTCCAGCGGCTCATCTGCATTCAAATCAAACCGAAGGACGATATTATGCAGAAGATCGCGGAGATCACTATGTTAATTTCCGCTATCAGCGCTCAGGGCATTGCCCTAAATGACAAAATGAAAGCGCTAATTTTGGTCCATTCAATGACTCAAGCTTGGGAACAAGCACCGGTTAATATCTTATCTTCAATTGCCGCCGATCAACTTTCCCCTGATACGGTCATACCTCGTATGAAAGAAGTCTGGGCCCATAAATTGGGCAAATCTATGCTTCCACAACAGGATAAGGCTGGGTCGTCGTCGACCACAGTCAAACAAGAATCAAATTCACTTCTGGCACGAATGAATAAGCCGCCACTCTGTCAAGTATGCAGAGGCGCACATAATACTTCCGATCATCAATCTGGATCAGGATCAGGATCCTTTCGTGGTTACCGTGGAGGTCGCGGAAGAGGTCGCGGTAATCGTGGACGTGGACGTGGAGGTTATACTCCCTATCAACAAGCACCGCAGTCAGGCTCTGGTTCTCGTGGCCGAAACCAGAACCGCCGCCGAGGCAAGGGCAAAGCCCGAGCCCACAACGTAGAAGTCGAAGGCGCTGAGCCTATCGACGCTGCCTACATAGAAGAAATTCCTGAGGACTCTTACTATGGGCAAAATTCTTATGAACCTGAGTACACTGCTCAAGGTCAAGAATTCTACGAAAATGCGGCTGCTTCTTTTGAAGCAGGTGATTTTGATATCACTGCTATTAATATTCCGTCCCGACAAACCTCTCCTGAATATTCTCTCCCGGATCAAACTCCGGTTGAACGAGTCTATTCAACCGACCTCAATACTTATCTCGGATCTCATGTCATAACCGACACCGAGATGTATGATCCTGATTTATCTCGCCAAGATCTTACTATGGCGATGGAAGCTGTGGGGGAAACCCCTAATTATCCAGTTGATGCTACAACCGGAAACCTTGCTCCTTGGTATCTGGAGGAAATTCAGAATTTCCAACCGGATCAAGTTGAGTCAGTACTGATTCGTGTAAACATTCCCGGCTCTAATACCTGCCAATGTTCTATCTGTCGTCGAACAGCCAAATCTTGCTTCCGACTGGGTCTATCCCTTTCGGAACCACAACAACGGAGCAACTCGGACTCTCATCCGAGGACGATTTCCCTTCCCCCTGCTGAGCAGAATGGGATATGTCAGAGTGGTTCCTTCGAACCCTCAGTACGAATGGGAAATTCCGTTTTGGCTAGCGAGGATATGGTGGTTAACCGGGATGCAGAGGACCATGGCAATGCGTCTGCGACGCAGTCACGGATTATTAATCTCTCTTCCCCTCGATTTCGAGGATCGAATTGTAGAGATGGAGGATCTCTCCAGAAATCCGTATTATTAAAAGCCGCTAAAAAGCGTGCGAAACCAATGTCCTTGTTTACTTTTCACGAATCAGTGCCAGAATCTCCTGTTGTAAAACCACTTCGTATAAAGCATAATCCAGACATCGAGTATGATCCCAACGAATCTGCTTCTGGGTATTTACCCATGCAGTTCGATGGTCATGCCTTCGATTCTTATGACTGTTACCCTTTTGGAGTGACATCATATGCTTATCTTAAAAAGAACCTTCCAAAGGGTGAGTCGTTATGGATGTTGGATTCTGGAGCATCACATCATGTGACTCCTTTCAAAACTGATTTCTTGACTTATCGAGCTTTTAAAAATCCACCTTTGGCCTCTACTGCAGGCTCTAAAAAGGTTCAATTACTCGGTCAAGGAACAGTGGTTATTCGCCTGGAAAATGGCAGTAACCTTCCACTACATAATGTTGTTTATAGCCCTCTCTTTTCAAAGAGATTATGCTCGCGAAATGCGCTCCTCAATAACGGGTATAGGAGCACAGCAACTTTATCTGGCGAGACTATCAGAGCACCAGATGGCCGGATTGTCCTTGAAGCCAAAATAGCTTCACCAACTTCGCCTCTTCATTGGTTTGTGGGCGTACCGCTTCCACCTACCACTGCCTATGGGGTCCTTTGCCCTCTGGTTAAGGAATCTCAAGAGTCTCTTTGGCATAATCGCATGTGTCACCCTGCTAATGCAGTTCTCCGACACATTCGCAGATTGGGCCTTCCACAAGATATACAAATACAGGGGGAGACTACCTCTTGTAAAGGATGCGCACAGGGCAAATTGTCCTCAGAAGCATTTAAACCTTCATGGAAACGAGCAACTAAACCTCTCGAGTTGGTTCATGCCGACTTACTTGAATTACCTGTCGAATCCTATTTTCAGTCCAAATATATCTTAACCCTCTTGGATGATTTTTCATCCTCCTGCTTTTGCCAATTGGATGGTGTCCATGCAAAATACTACTGGGCATCATCTTCTTGCGCTCCGTTCGGATCGAGGGGGAGAATTTATGGGTCATACTTTCAAAGCGCTCCTTTCTTCGCGCGGAATTACCCATCATTTATCAATAGCCGACCAGCCTCAACAAAATGGTCGTGCTGAACGATTTAATCGAACGATTTCCAAGAAAGCTGGGACCATTCGACACCATGCTTGTATTCCAAAACGCTTCTGGAATTTCGCTTTTGATTGTGCACTTCATGTGTATAATCGAACTCCTCTTAAAAGGATTGTATTCAAGACTCCGGTTGAACTCTTCTTAGGAAAAGTCCCGGATATTACCTATTTTCGCACCTTTGGCTGCAAAGCCTTTGTATGGGTTCCCAAGGAACAAAGAAAGGACAAATTGGAACCACATGCAGTCGAAATGGTTTTTATGGGATATGAACCCAATACCAAAGGATATCGGTTTCTTTCTGGACAAAAGATTATCCTTGCTCGTACTGCAAAATTTGTAGAAGACTCTTTTCCTTTCTGCTCTGGTCAAAACAAATCCGAAACCTTTGACCCCGATACCGAAGACGACCAGGATTCAGATTCTTCCGACTCTGAAAGCCTACATTCACTTCCGGATCCTGATCAGATCCAACCGGCGCCTCATCATCGCCAACCACCTCGTCCTAATACTCCTCCACAACCAAACCCACAGCAGAGACCTCCGGACCAAAACATTAATAGAGGTCAACAAAAAAGAGCACCTGCTGCTGTACCATCAGTCGACCCTCGTCATCTTAGGCATCCTCATCAACCTGAATTTATTCAAGGAGACTCGCATAATATTCGCAGAGCTCAACCTC